TTAGCCTCAGAACCATCGCTCGATAAGCGGGGCGAGTTATCGAATGGCGACTCGGAAGGATCGTCCTTCTCCAAGGACCCAGGCCGTGGGAGACCAAGATTCTTACGAGAAAGCCAATTTGCCGCAAAGCGACCAAACCGAACTCGCTTTTCTATCACATCTTCGGCGATACTCCCCACACTCATGCCCCGCGCATGGAAAGTTTCACGGGCCGGGGAGGTCGGGGCGCTGCCAATCTCCGTTTCTGCGCCATCGGTCGCATTGTCTGGTATATCCTCATCAGAACCCGAGTCAAGATCGGGCTCTTCCTGGGTCACTTCCTTCCGGGCTTGGGCAATTGCGCAGGCAGCGTCTGCCTGGGAGGATATAGGGATGACGGCAACATTGGTGACGGCGTAGATCGGACGGCCCTGGATTTGGGCAACCTGTTGGCGCTGAGTAATGGAGACTAGGAACGAGAACGATGCGACGGAGAGCAGGCCTGTTGGATATCCATAATGTGGTCAGGGTTGGGTCTAGGTCTAGGGGCGTCGGATATTCAGCACGGGGAGCTGAAAGTCGACATACCGACGAGCCCGTATACTTCTAGGGTGTCGCGTCCCTCCAGTGTACCCGGGCTTGAGACTGGTAGGGCTGTGATTCTGTTCGTCTTATAGTCGATTCGGATCGACGAGGCTTCGTTGTTGCTTCCATTATTAGGCCGAGGACCGCTGACGCCATGGCCATGTAGGATCAAGCCGTCAACCGCGGCAACGATAACAAGCTTCCGCAGCAGACCCGGCATCGCGTCGGAGTAGAGATCTGGGGAAGGGAAAGTCGGCGGTGCCCGGTTTCTGGCATTTGACAACCGTTGCGTGGGGCAAAGGGCACCAGCATACAATAGGGCATGCACGCGCGCCCGCAACTTGTTTTTTCGGATGGAAATCTTCCACGACAGCTGACCGGCAAATACATCATCGGGTTCGGGGAAAAGTGCCCCACCCGCTTCAAGTCTATTGATTGCAAGGAAATTTCTCAATGGGTGTAGAAGAGGAAGAAGAAAAAGAAAACCACGATATATACAAGTGATGCAGCTCGGCCATTACCAAAAATCAACAAAATAAAACAGAACCATTCAGGAAACCCCAGTGTCATATCCAATCATTTCATACGGGCATGCCCAGTGCCTAGGTATGTGCTCGAGTCGCAAGCCCACGGGTATTTTGAATGAAGCAGTAAAAATACAAAGAATGCCCGGGGAGCGAGGCGGAGAAGCCGGCAGGGCTGGTAGCTCGGGAGAGTAAAGGTGAGGAGGGAAAAGCGTCATGGTAGAAGCCTGACGAGGAAAGGAAAGATGCGATGTAGCAGACTCAAATCGGAATTATCAGACATTGCTGTTCTGTTTGGTGTGCTGAGCCGTGCGATCCCGCTCTTCGTTACTTGAGTAGGTCGGTCCTGGCTCTCCGTCGCTTTCCTCGGCCAGGTCCGCCAGGCCGATGGCGCTGTGATTTTCCGCATCGTACGAGTGGATAAGCCCCTCACGATCACCATGTCCATTCAGGTAGATGCTGGAGGAGCTCCGACGATGCGGCTCGCTGCTGCGACGAAGCTGCATCGACCGGCGAGTCTGGAAGCTCGCAATCCCGTCCGTAGGCACTCCATCCTCATCGTATTTAGGGTTAACCAGGTGGTGCCCATCAGGATCGTGTCGCGAGAGGTTGAGAAGATAAACACCGGTAAAAATGATGAGGAATCCACAGAGAAGGGAAATTGTATTGACGGCATCCGTGGTATTGAATCCCTGGAACAGAATGAAAGAGGCGCAAAGCGTAGCGGTCGTAAATGTGACATAATAGAGAGGGTTCACGCTGTGAAAGGAAGAAACCATAGGTTAGCAACAATAGAGACATTTGGTTGCGCGTTGCAACTCACATGGAGGTTGAAAATTCATTCAACGCCTTGTTGAAGTAGTTCATTTGTGTAAGAATGCAGAATGCAGTGACAATGGCGAAGATATAGGTTGATGGTCGGCCGAATTGGTTGTGGCCACCGATGGTGAGCTTGACTGCGATACCGAAGGCTTTGATGGACATGACAGAGACCGAGCCAACGGTGGAGCAGATCGAGATGAAGATGAGCGGGTTCTTCTTGCCGTGTCTCGGGGCGACGCGATATATCATGACGGTGGAGAATACCGCGACAGCCAGGCAGTAAATGAGGAAGCCGGGGCGAAGGGCATATGCCAGCATTTGCTCGATCTTATCCACCGGGGTGTCGGGAGGTGCGTGGAGGACGATAACGACGGATCCGAGCAGACACATTGCGCAGCCCAATTTGCCCAGTGTTCCTAATCGCTCATCGAGGACGTATGAGCCAAGAACCGCGCTGAGAATCGTTAGCGATGTTGCGAGCTTTGCTTGGGCGAGGAATGTAGTCGTACCCGATCAGAACACTCAGCGCACCCAAAGGCGTTACTAGAATCGCAGGAGCAAAAGCGTAGGCGGCGAAGTTGGCAATCTCACCCATGGCGACTGTAATGGATGTTAGCATCTATCTCGGCCAACCTTTGGCTTTCCAATCAAAGGCGATGGGAGGGCTCCGTACGCATGATGACACCAACCCACCAGATTGGACTCCTCAAGTATGAAAATCCTTCGCCTTCGAAACCATGTCGTTCAGAAGCATGCATCAATCCCTGATCACCCTTCATTAGCACGTCCGCCGCAGACTCGATTGTGATTATTGACCATCGCTTCAGCCGCAGCTTCTCCGGTCGGGGACTTGCGCTCGAGGCAAACGAACCTTCTTTGTCACAACGAAACTCGTACCTAGCGAAAGCCGGTTAGTAGACCATTCCGAAGACTGTGAAGATCGACCGCGAACATACCAATTGCCATTGTTGATACGATGGCCAATATTAGCCCAACATATCTAATAACGCCACGCGCGGACTTGTCAGCATATGTGGCCTCGTTGGCTCTCGAGCGGCGGCGAGGAGGGAAGGCAGTCGGGCTCACTTGTCTGGAAGCATTTTTGAAAGGATAGAGGAGCGGTGGGCTCCTACAGTCGAAAGAACCCCAGTGCTAGCGATGGAAGAATCGGGGGAGACGTGGTGGCGGAAATGAACGAGAGTGAGGGTGGTAACGAAGGGATTGCGGCGATTGCGGCCAGGTTGGGACGAGGAGGAGGAGAACCGAGGGACACAGGAATAAGAGCAAGGCGACGAGATAGGGGAGGCGCTACAGAAGAATGAGCCAGCCCAATAATTCCGTGAAGATGAGTAAGGGTGGGAAGTTGAATCGACAAGAGTCCAGACGAGGAGGTCCAAGAGTGTTTGGTGCCTGCGTGCGGTGGGGTTCCGTTTCGAGACTGCGGCCGATCGGACGCGCGTAAGGGAGATACACACACTCCAGAGTACATCAACTTACATTACACTGCATTTACTTACTTTACTTACTGTATTTGGTGAATGGACTCAGTAAGAGTATACTATAATCTGTACTATACTTCGTTATGATCATTATATCATTGATATCATAATGGGTACCCTAGGAAATGCTCTTAGTGAATACACTGTAACACATATTAGCCAGGACTGCTGATCGCATGAACTGCGACAGAAGAACAGGGGCAAGCATTCTCACTTGAAAGACCCTGAGTTCCAAGCCCGTGGCGGCGATCGTCGTTTCATATCGATCTGATTCAACCAACCGCATTCGGCCACTCCCCTCTATACTTAGCTGGATGGCTCCACAGGGCTTCCAAGGCACAGTTTAATGAGATCTCGCTTGCATCCATTGATGCTTGCATTGGAACTCAACTGCCACCTCCAATTTGATTCTTGGACTTAGAGTATCCGCACCTAGATAGTAGATTACTAGTATTTATCTATGCTCATGCTTACGCTTCTATGTAACGCGGAGGACTATTTGTTCCAGTTGCAGATCGACATCTCTAGGGCTGTCACCACGAATATTGTTGAAGACCCCTCAATTTCAGGCTTTGACAAGATCTCCTAGTACTTAGGTGCTAAGTAGATGACATAGTAGGTGGGAGTAACTAGTAGTTAACTATATAGTACTAGTACACAGATATGGTGGAAGCTTAACCCCCCGAAGCCGCTGCCGCGCCTCTCCGGACAACTGCCAGTGGAGGGCCACGCTAGCTCGCAGGCAACCACATCTTGATTCATTTTACTCCGTACTGACTATGCACAAATATGAATAGACGCTATGTACGGAATACAACATATGGCCATCCAGTTGAAGGCTGTGGATCTCGGCTAATTTCCTACATAAATGTCGATCAACTCGGTACCACATGCAGACCAAAACAATTGATTACACAATTGACTACTCCACGGTATTACTACTTAACTAGGTACGCAGGGCATTTAGGACATCATCTCATTGCAAGCACCTAGTTATCCTAAAAGAAAAGCCACTATGCCGCCAGAATGGCGCCAACTATGTGACATGCAGATGAAACACTGTCCGACCGAAAGAAAACATAAAAACTCCTCCTTCAACGCCCGAGCAAAGTGCAAAGTTTTTCGAGAGAACCGGGAATGGTGGTATCATGCGCGTGCAAAGGGAGAACATGCCATATCGACGTACAGAGAAAAGCAAAAATCGAAACACGGTGGTGGTTTATGCAGACTCAGGGAGAAGTTGCGAGGATTCTTGGGGTATCGAGTACCACTCGGGCTTCATCTCTCAGGGGGGTAAGAGGAAGGGGGAGAGGTTGAGTCCCGGGAGAGGAAGAGGAAAGAGAAAAGCTGATGACAAACAGGAGCATTCGACGTACCTGGTGAGCATGCCCGGGCACACATTACATAGCCGCGCCCGTACGGGTCAAAGCCGTCGCTGAAGTTTAGAATTAGTAGATGGGATGTTACACTGTTGGAGATTGCCGAACCCCTAGGCCACTGGTATTCAGGAGAGCCGACGGAATTGAGGCAAGGACATGGGTTTGACGTCTGTGGACATTGTGGCCGGAGGGAAAGGATCACGCATGGTGATTTACGAAGGTCGACGGCGTTTAAGCTCGGGGTCGGCGTCCGCGAAGTCCCAATCATCGTCCTCTCGGGATCGTTTGGTAGACGTATTGTCGTGGGGTTGGGAGTCAGCAGGGGAGTGATCTGTTTCACCCAGTTCAATGGTCTCCGAGGTTTCAAAGTCTGCATACAAGTCGTCCTCTTCGCCCTTGCCGATATGGGATTCATGGCCATCGAGTTCTTCGGCGGGGGGTGTAGTCACATCATCTTCAGAATTCTCAGGCTGATCATCGTCATCACCCTGAGTAGTCTGCAGCACGTCTTCAGCGATACCAAGTAAATCATCCTCGGGATCTAGATCGTGCTCTTCAAATCCAGCGTCTTCTTCCCGCAGCGCATGATGCACTGTTGACTCGGATTCTCCGAGGGATTCATGGTCTTCACCTTCGTCGGCTACCGATTCTTGGTTTTCGGTTCCAGGATGAGGTCTGTCGAGAAGTCCTTCATCGTGGGTAGACGTGAGATCAATAGCGTCGGTGTCAACTACGGTTCCTGGAGCCTCCGTTTCCTCGTAAGAAACTTCATCTTGAAACTCTTCAGGGTCCTGGTCCTGATCGTGCTCATTCTCTTGCAGAGTAGAGGTTTTAGGATTCAAGTCTTGCCCACTCTGGTCGTCATCGGTTTGGTATTCTTGCTCAGCATGGTCCAATGCAGTATCAAGCTCATCCGCAGGGGCATCTGCGAGTTGCGCAGTGGACTCTGGCAGTAAACTGATGGTAGCGGAGGATTCGGTCTTTGGGTCTTCAAAGCTATCATGCTCTTTTGTTTCATCTCCATGGCGATGTTCATTCGTCTCTGTATCGTGAGTCTCCGCTGTGGCATCTTCTTCTCGTTCCTGCTGGTGCTCATGTTTTGCAAGACCGGCGTCAGTCTCCTCCTGGTCGTTGGGAAGAAAGTCGTCATGAACCTCAGCCGGAGCCGCATATTCTGGGGCATCGGCTGCATCTGTAGGTTTATCCTGGCTAATTTCATTCGCTTCAAGGGGCTTCTCCGTCTGAGGTTGGCCGGCGAACAAGTCTCCCGCAGAGGGATCATCTTCATGCACAGGCATGTCTTCGTGGCCGTCATCTTCATAGTCAACATCCCATGCGTGAATTTGAGATAGGCCTTTGCCTTCATGTGCAGCAGAGTCAAGACCAGCCAGCTCAGAATGAGCAGAAATTTTGCTTCCAAGAGTGAGGTACAGCGCATCGGGTTGGCTGATGCCATCATTATGACTTAGTCGAGTGTAAATCTCCAGAATATGATGTAAGGTCATCTTGGAATTGTGCGTCGAGTCCTGACATACATTAATTAGCATAAGAATAGAAGGGATGCCAGGGAATGGAGTGATGGTTCGGGCATACCTCTGTTAGTTGAATACCAAGCGAATCGATATCAATAACAAGAACTTCGTCATCCGCAATATTATCTAGAAGTACCTCACGAAGAGAGCTGAACAATTTGCTGACACTGTCATACGCGACATCCTCGTCGTGCAGAAAAAAAGTTTCTGCCGAGTCGCCTTCAAGCGGCGGGAAAAGAGAGATTTCATTATCCTGGTAAATCACCTTCACAGGGTGCAAAGACTCATTCTCATCGCTGCTATGCGGCTGATCCTCATGGGCTTCCTCGTGAGACTCGTCATGCTCCATATTTTGGTGTTTAGAAAGCTCGGCCTTATCCTCAGCAGCGGGAGCTGGAGACGATTGGACTTCGGCGGCACGTTGTGCCTCGGTGTTTTCAGAAGTAGATGTTTCTTGATGACTAGGCTGCGTCTCGGCAGTTACGGCCTTGTCCTCTATAGCGGAATTAGTTCCTTCATCTAGGCTTGCCTGGTCGATGCCAACTCTGGCAGTGGCGGCTTGGGGTTCATCGAGGTTGTCGGTCTGGTCCTGTTCGGCTGGCTTTGTGTCTAGAGAGGTCCCTTGGTTGTGCTGCTCCGGCTGGTCGAGTGCGATCTCAAGTTGAGGTTCTTGTTCATGCTGGGTGATTTCCGTCTCATCTGCAGCGGCGGCCGGTGGGGGTGATAGCTCTTGAGCTTGTGAGGTCAATCCAATAGTCCCTTCGGCTTGCTCTGGGGTATTTTGGTCGGTCTGGAGGGTCATATCATTACTATTGGCCGTATCTTCGATCTGAATAGTCGGGACAGCTTCGACAATCTCTTCATCTTGATCACCCTCAAGCATATCTGCTTCGTAGGTGACCGCGTCGTCCTGGACTTCGATGTCGTGATCTTCGTCGACGAAGTTGTCGGCGTCGACCATCGATCCTTCAGAAGGTTCTTCATCGGCCATATCGGCATCGTTGTTTGCATCGGTGAAAAGAGAAGGCTGGGATGTGTTTGGAAAATCCTCAGCGCCCACCATGTCACTGTCCATGTTGGAGGCATGATCTTCCATCAGGTCGATATCAATATCGAAGTCATCAGCCTGACCCTGGTAGGGCGAAGCCATTTCCATCGAGTCCTCAAGGGCGGGGACCTCCATGGCTTGAAAAGATAAGGCTGGAGCTGCCGTCATATCATGAAGACGCGTCGAAAGTCGATTTCAAGGGACGTGTAAGGTTTGCGAGGGGTGGCGTTTCGGGGGGATTTATGGATGTGAGGCGTAAAGGGAACAGGGGAAGTGATCGGCGAACCTTTCACATTTAGATAATCTAAGTATCTAGATGGCGAGATCACGGTGAAACCCTCTGGGTGAAGTGGGAGGTCGAGGTGTGGAAATGAAAGAGAAGTGAAGAAAGAAAAGATTGGTCCTTTCCCTCCAAAAGCCGGACTAAGCGAAAAAGGGAGGGGGTGCACGGGCCAGGCCGAAGAGAACAGAGTAGCGTAGCTGCCCGCAACTTGTCCGTCAACATCACCAAGGGGCTTTCCATCAAGGCTGCGCTTAGTCCACAGAGAGAAAGATAACTGATATAACTACACGCTTGATATCCGTTCAACTCACTGTTCTTTGATATCTACTTTTCTTCGCAATGGTAGGATCGAACGCCCCTGTTTGACACGTTATTCATGGAGGCCCCATACTAACACTCGCCTTTCCACAACAGGTCGTTCTTGCAGCATCGATATGCACTCGGGGAGGCAAAGCGGTCCTCTCGCGCCAATTCCGTGAGATCTCCCGCTCGCGAATTGAGGCCCTTCTGGCTTCTTTCCCCAAGCTTGCGGATTCGGGGACTCAGCACACCACCGTCGAGCAGGATAATGTTCGATTCGTCTACCAGCCATTGGACGAGCTCTACATCGTCTTGATCACCAACCGTCAATCGAACATCCTACAAGATATTGACAGTCTTCACCTTTTTGCTCAAGTCACCAGTAGCATCTGCAAGAGTCTGGACGAACGGGAGATCCTGCGCAATGCCTTCGAGCTGCTGAGCGCATTCGATGAATTGGTGACACAAGGCTATCGGGAGAACCTTTCACTCGCTCAGATCAAGACATTCCTTGAAATGGAGAGTCACGAGGAGAGAATCCAAGAGATTATCGAGCGGGTATGTCTTGAGACCGACTGCGGGGCTACTTCAGTGCTAACCTATCTGAACAGAACAAAGAGCTGGAGGCTAGCGAAGAGCGCAAGAGGAAGGCCAAGCAATTGGAAATGCAGCGCAAAGAGGCTGCTCGCACAGGTCGCGCGGCTGCCCCAAGGGCGCCAAACTACCCCGTCTACACACCTCCCACACGCCCCGCCGTGCCTGACACATACGATTCCTACGAGGCAGAAAAGAAGAAGACATTTGCCAAGTACGTCAACCCTGGATGCAGCTTTGTCTTTGAACACTACGTACGGTTTTTAACATGCAAACTTTTTTAGGCCTCTCCCATCTCGCGGCAAGGGTATGCAGCTGGGCAAGAAATCCAAGGCAACCGACATCTACGAGAAGGTCCGAGGTGATATGGGCCCTGAAGTCGAGGAGTCCAGCCCATTGGTGGGCTCAGATATTTCGACGCCCGTGCCAGAAGTCCCTTCTGCTCGCGCATCTCTCGCCGTGGACCGAGAGCCAGTCAATATTACTATTGCCGAAACCATTTCCGCCACGCTCACCCGAGAAGGTGCCTTGAAGTCATTCGAAGTCAAGGGTGATCTTCAACTCCGCATCACCGACCCATCTTTCACAAAGCTCCGTCTTGATCTTAAAGCCAACCCAACTCATGGTGCCCAGTTCCGGACCCATCCCAATGTCGACAAGGCCCTATTCACTAGCTCCTCCACCATTCAACTGAAGGATACCTCTAAAAGATTCCCTGCAAACAATGCAATTGGTGTTCTGCGATGGCGTGTTGCTAGCTCGGCTGATAACGCTGATGTTCTCCCCATCACTTTCACAGTATGGGTGAACAAGGGCTCTGACTCTACGACCGTGACGGTTGAATACGAGCTCACCGGCTCGGACAGTCTGCAAGACGTCGTTGTCACTATTCCTTACGGTGAAACCGAGCCTGCCGTTTCTAGCTTTGATGCTGTTTACGAAGTCTCGGGTGATAGCCTTGACTGGAACCTTGGTGCGGTCGACGAAGCGAACCCCTCCGGCAGTTTTGAATTCGAATCTACCGACGCTGATGAAGACGTCTTCTTCCCTATGAGCGTTCGCTTTACCAAGTCTCAGCCTTTCGTCGATGTTGACGTCCTTGATGTCGCCCTTCTGGAGATGGAAGGGGAAAGTACTGCCTACTCCAAGGATGTTCGCAGCGTTGCGGAGAACTTCCTTATCCAGTGATCCAAGAGTCGGATTGTATAGAGTTTGTTACTTAATGATGTTCGGACAGTGGCCCTTTTCTCCCCTGGCACCTTTGCTTTCAAGACCGTGTTCTAAGCCCCTTGTTATCTGATTGCCTTTTCACGTCCTTTTCCGGGACCGTGTCTCTAACCTTACACAAAATTGACACAAAATGACTAGACCTTACCATGACTTAATGCGCCTTTGCCTGGTAATTCAACTACCCTTTCACAATGTCTGACATGAGAAGTGAATGCCTGGTCGTGATGCCGATTCTAATCATCCGCGCGTAATCTGTCTGCCCTTGGTCACGACGTCAGAATTATAGACTTCCGACACGACTTCAGTATGTAAGCGGTCAAAAGAGACATAGTAGCGCCGGCATTAACAAGCATGGCTTGTAAGTTCTGTCAAGCTTTTCGTACCTCACTCCCCATCCATGGTTGTCAATCCTTTGGCTACTTAAAGTAACCAGGGACATCCGCTTATTGTGCGCCACCACTTCCTAGCGTCATCTTTACATTGCACCGCAGGCCTAGGCCACTATACTCATTGTCTAGCTTTGGATATGGGGCACGTTATCAAAAACCGGTCTTGGCAGATTGAGTTTTTTTCCGGTTTAGGGTACTGCTAACATCGGAGAGTCCGATTCCCAGTCCTCGGTCTCCCCAGAATGAACAATCCCTCTTGTTTAGGCGGTTTCAGAGCCTATAACCTGTCGGTTCGAACAGCCGAAGCAGCAGCCGCACAAAGGATCTGATCTTGCGGGTTTTTATGAATGGGTATGGGCATTGTTTGGGTGCGACCAAGCGGATTCTAATGCAGCGCCGTCGATATGTGGTTGATGGCAAATTGAAACATTCAATCAGATGTGTAGAAGAGGAAATTCCCTCACCGAAAGACGCCAAATTTGCCCCAACAACCTCTGGAGCTCCAAGAGGCGAATTCTTTTTGTAGAGAGACTAGGCTTGAAGTTCATCCTGGTGGCCATTTTCCCAAAGGCTTGTCACTTCTCTTTCGGTGTATTGTCATTGCCGGATACCTGCCGGACAGGATTTAGGTTACCATGCGTGTGATGACCCAAACATTTTGTATATTGAGTTGCTGGTTCTTGGTTACTGGTTTCTTCGCACGCAATGTTCCACCTTTTTCATAGGCCAAGTCCTTAAATGCCATAAACCTCCGGTATTCCTTCTTTTCGTCTCATTCCATCTTGGTTTTGTTAAACACTGATGATCGAATCATCGGGTTTGAACAAAGCACCATAGAGTACTGAAGGTAATTCAAACAATCACGCAGACGGCTCAAGATCCATGATGAATGTTCACTAATTGACATCAATCCATTTGAAGACTTGTTCAAGAGAAAATCTATCATACACATCCAGCCATGAGCAGTATCCACTTTCCATCATGGACCGAACAACAGAGCTTGTTCAAATTATCATGTGCCGATGCAGAAACATGCAGTCAGTTATCCAGTGTGGTATGAATGCGATCTCACCATTAAAAGTTGAACTTGAATTGTACATGATTCATCTGATATACACCTCGCAGGAAAACTCCATGCCATCTCTTCAGAGGACCGAGTCTGAACTAGGTGCCAAGAAAATGGCCATTCCACGTCTTGCTGAAGGTGCCGAGTCTGCATTCCCCTCTCCAGGAAGATTTCATCGCCGTCACGTACGCCGAGCATGCGAGTCCTGCCGACAAAGAAAGACAAAGTGCACTGGAGACAAGTCTGGATGCCGGAATTGCCGAGAGGCTGGCATTATCTGCTGCTATACTGATGGAAAAAGAGAGAAGTCGAAACGGTGAGGCCTTGACCCTTGATATACAATTTATTCGAATATTGACTCAAATCTGAAAATCGAAAGCCAATTAGCAAGCCTGTCTGCAAAGGTACAGGCGTACGAAGATGTCATCACTAAGCTGAGCAATCGATTTGGTGTCTCCGACGAACAACTCGTGAACATCGCCCTTGCAGTGGTATGGAACCTGACTCATCTCCACTAAAAGAAATCATCTCTGAGTTAGAATAGGACTCCGCTTCTGATTTAGCATTGGACAGTGACCCCAATGCTACTGGAGAGAGGACGTTGAATTCTGAACCATCTCCTTCACATCCCTCCTCTGATGCACCTCTCGATCTTGTCGACCATACAAACGAGGACTTCAATAGAGATGAAGTAGCTCGCTCGACTGGATTTATGGGTAAAAGCTCTGAGATCACTTGGCTTCAAAGACTTAGCAAGGAAGTCAATAGTGAGACCGAGGAGTGGCCATGTTATAATTCGAACGCAGATGACGAGAATGCTTTGCCTTCTCCTTCGCTAACTACGCTAACTCCCCGTCCCGAAAATACGAGTGAATCACTGGTTGCATCCTTGAATTACTACCTTGACGATTTGGAAATTCCCAACGCCGATAAAGTTGATTCCAGCGTCGTGCCCCCGAAAAGAAACGGCAACAAAATTGTTAAACTCCTATCTGACTTCAGTTCATCCATCTTTTCCTATTATTGGGATCTCCACATTTGTTTCCCAGTTCCAGGCCTACTTCAGCCAGCCATCTTTAAAGCCTGGGAGTAAATGGCTGGCCATTCTCAATCTCATTTTTGCAATAGCTGCAAAGCATGGACAATTGGCAAACACAGGCTTGAATGACGAAGAGGATGGCCACCAGGTTTACTTTTCGCGGGCCAGAATGCTTAGCCTGGAGGATCAGTTGTTACATCACCCCGATCTCCAGCAACTGCAGGTTGAAGGACTTACCTGCTTCTATATGATCTCTTCCGGCCACATCAACAGGTACGTCAACTCTTGAGCTTTCGATTTTCTCTGGAACAGTTGCTCATATAGCCATTCTCACTAGGGCCTGGAAGCTTTCTGGAAGTGCAGTCCGAGGTGCATTGGCTCTTGGTCTCCACCTTCGCAATGTCGGATCATGTACTTCAAATACCTCGAAAGAGATCAGATACCGTGTGTGGTGGTCGCTGTATACGGTTGAGCATCTTCTGACTATCATGACCGGTCGACCATCTTGTATCGTCGACAGTTCTTGCACCACACCCCTTCCTGTGCCATTTGATGAAAGCGACTTTCAGAAAGACGAAGTATCCATTTTAATCAGTACTGCCGGAAGAAGCACATGCGGCCCTCTGGAGCAGATGACCTTGAAAAATAGCACCGGGAGACTCGATTCAGCTGCTGATTCAGACACGACCGATGAATGCAATGATTCTGATACTAAAATTAGTCGAGCTGAATACCTGAAGAGTCTTGCACCATGCATGTCACTATACTTTCTGCAATTGACGTCGCTCACAACCATCGCCAAACGAATGACCGTCAAGCTTTACAGTCCGGAGGCATTGCAAGCCCCGTGGGCAAGCACTGAGTTCATAATTAAAAGCTTGATGCTCGATATTGATTCTTGGTTCATGAATCTGCCACCATCCTACGACTTTACCTCTACGCAGACTTCGCAGTGCCCTCTTGGACAAAGAATGGGGCTTGCTTTTCTCTTCTACAGCACGAAGATTGGCATTACACGCCCATGTCTGTGTCGACTTGATGCCTCGCATTCAGATGGCGATCGAACCTATGAGTTCTGCAGCAAGACGGCTGCGGAGTGTATCGAGTCAGCATGCCACATGTTGACGTTGTTCCCGGATTCTCCAGATGCCGCGCTCCTGCATCGGATCTCCCCGTGGTGGTGTACACTCCACTATCTCATGCAATCCACTACCGTGTTACTGTTAGAGCTTGCATTTCAAGCCCAACATGTTCCCGAAAAGGCAGCAATGGTCTCCAAAGCGGCCAAAAAAGCACTTGACTGGCTACACACCCTTTCTAAAACAAATGCCGCATGCGAGCGCGCATGGAGACTATGTGATGGATTTTTACGCCGCCTTGAACCTCAGTTCTGCATCAATATCTCTGAGCTATCTGAAAATGAGGAATCATCTGTCTCTTCCCTCCTCGATGCCCCAGAGCTCGACGAGACCCCACTCGTCGCGGATGATTCCGTTATGGATCAAATTTCGCTCAATCCGTCCGCTATACTGCCTTCGACGAATGCAATCGACACCATCGCTGCAGATATGGACTCCATCGCTTGCTCACCGATGGATCATTCAGGCACCCCACTCGGGATGTCGGCGCCTTACAAAATAGAGCCTCCGGACTTAATGGACCCATTCATTAAGCCTGATAATTTAAGCTCCAGTCGAAGCTCTTATGATGACTACTTCCCTTATGATCCAGCGACTGGCCAGATTACCGGCTCCTTTTTCCCAACGGGACCAAATATGGATCTTGATTTGGGCTACTTCTGGGGTGACCCTATATGTTGAGAGCAACCCGTGGCCATTGGACACAAAAGTATCATTTGAATGAAGAATAGATGCTTGAGGAGGAATGTTTTTAATATCAAGCTAGATAGAGAAACATCAGAATGTCACCTCATATGCTCGGTTTGTTTGTTTTGAGATTGATACAAGTAGTTTCCAAGGTTGGCCGATCGAATCATAGACCAAAAAATGTCATAGATTAATCCAAGGCAGGGAGTAATCCTTTATCGCTACTTAGCTATCTGAATCAACGTCACTTGTACTATTATTCCAATCCTCAACTAACAGCTGATTGCGTTGGTACTATTGTCGCAACTCGCTTTCTGCTTCTAATAACCTCTGTGGCCTTCTTCTAGTTGCAATTCTATTCACACAGTTCACTTTACTCTAAAATTGCAGTCCAAGCTCTATCTCATCTCTCCCCCGCACTCCATGTGCATGTATCGTGTCCCGGATTTTGGATATCCTAGTCCATAAAACCGGTACCTCTGGATTCATCGGAACAGAACCTTAAAGAATTCCAGGGTCCAGGTCCAGACCGGTCTTACTTTTCAAATACTTTCGTCATAGCAAATCGCGGTTATCATGACGTGGTATCAAGCATTTGAGACTGAAACTGGCGAGGCCCGCATAATCGCGATGTGCTTGATCACAGACTATGCTTCCCATTTATACTTTGCCGCAGTAAACATAAAGCGTGCTTGATCTTCGGGGGAGATAAAGTGTTTCAGCGGACCATAGGATGGTATGTCGATTTTGGTGATTTTTGCAAAGCGTATTTCGATCGTGTGGTCCTTGGGCCCCCCTTTCCCGGACCATGCACTCACCATCCGGGTTTCAGGTGATTCCCACAAGCTTGCTTGAATTCCGAGTAAACCTCGACTGTCGGCGGTGAATTTCTCGATGCCGTCTAAGATCGGCAGGATCCGACGCCGAATACCACAACCGACATGGTTGGTGTCAATTTGATAGTCGGGGTATTGTTTTAGCCCAGCTATGACCTGGTTTATCGCAAACTGGGGCTCTTCGAGGTCACCGTCTTCCTTCGAGCCGTTATATTGTTCGTATAATTCTTCATCGGAATCCTCGATGTTAAAGTTAGGATCGACAAGCGTCGATCCCAAAAATATGGTCTTCGTTCGTAGTGCAAAAAAACGTGTCATTTGGCCAAGATGAAAGATGTCGCACTGCGCACCGTTGTCGAGTCCATTCCGACACTGCAGCTCGGGATTTCGAAAACTTGAAGAAAATGCCACACCTGCCGTACTTGGCTTCGGACTTGGCCCATCTCTTTCAAGTCCGCCATAAGCACGAAGAAAGTGAGCTTGTAGATCAGTTAGTGTGTTCATAACACACTGTCGCCTGTGATATATTTCCTCTGCGGCATTCATTTGTTAGTACTAAGTCCGAGTTGGTTCTTGGTCAACAATAATTGAGATAAAACATACCTTCAAGGCCATTAGGTAGATATTTCCAACTCAGATAACCATCTGACGACGGTCTTTCTGGTCCTTGCTGCCAGTATCTTGACCCTACTAGAATCAGGGCATGCGTCATCGCTTTCAAGATATCATTTAAGCCAAGAGATGCAGAAATGAAGATCATTTCTCGGATGCGTCTTTCCTTTAACTTCAACATATCAAAAGTGAAGACTTTCGTGCTGACTCCAGTTGATTTCGACTTGCCACCGCCTCTATACTGAGCTGTCTGCAAAGCCTTATAAACAGGACTTGTAGAATTGAACCATTCAGATATGTCAATCAACTTGGCAATAATGGAAGATGATTGTGCTGTCAAGCCGTCGTAGAAGATATGCTGTGCTTCTGTGTCCGAAGAATCGAGGCACAGAATCTTGAGGAACAGCTGTATCGCCTCAACACCGCATAGTTCTAACTTTGTGCTGCAAGGAATCTCCACAATAGGCAATTTGGCGAGTGACGAGACGCCCGAATTGCTCGAAGAGCTATGTGGCGCACCGTCTATCAGGGCTTGCCTCTGCTGCGCAAGTAGTCTTCCTTCCATAAACTTTTCAGAGTCCAACATCGCTCCGAAGTAAGGACTTCCAGCCATGAGTTGTTCGCTAGAAACCTGCCAGTAATGCTTTGTCTCAGGTGAGGTCGTAGCGTATTGAAGAATAATATCGCCATTGGGCGATATCACACTTGGCGCAGTTGGTGTGCTCTCGGAAACAAGGATGGCATCTTTGGCACGCAAACGTTGGCGTGTTGGAAGAGCTCTCGGCACTGATATAGTACTTTCATTTTCCAAATTGCCGCCCTCTTGGCCTCCCTTTGAGGTCGGCAACGGTGGGTAATCAGAAGGCATGTTGTTGCAAAATGTTTATGCCAAACCCCGCGATGACGGAAAATCCTCGGATGCACATGTAGAGAGAGGAGGTTGTGTTCCAGTACTAGTAGTGATAGGATGAATATATAGTGTCACCTCCGGCAACCTCCTGGCTTCGTAGTCCAGCTCTCGAACTATTTAATTTCAAGTTTGTTAATCGGTCTTGAAAAGGAAATTGAAGCAGCCTTAAGAGTCCGTTGCGATGGTTGAAGACCTGCCCGATGCAAAAAAAAAATTCCAGTATAAAGATGCAGCGTGTCAGGGTAAATGACAGGCGATTGTCTCTTAAACAAACAGGCAAAATAATATAATCATGAGAAAGTTGTAAAGTTCCAAGTTGCTCACAGTTGATCCTGGATATTTGTGACTAAGCGTTTCTCGATAAAAGCAAATTTGGAAGGCGGTGGACCTCGGTTTTATAGGTAGTACATGGCCTTAGACCTTTTGGTGAAAAGCTTCAAGTTTGGAATCAAGAAGTTGTTGAGAAGTGGACTTGTACCGAATACATGACGATGGTTTTATATCTTCAGAATCTCTATTTGACATGAAATATGTTTATATACAAGTTTTCACTTAATAGCGTGTCCAGGAGGGGTATTTAGGTAGTAGTTGCTGTTTGAGAACAAGAACGACTGCTCTGCAGTGTTCACAATCAAGGCAGTATGACAACAGGACACTGAAGGACAGTGGGGCCCTTGGGGATATTCGTAGGTTTTTGATTCACTTCGTTTTCTTTGCGATTCGCCTCACGTCGTTTCAATGCCCTGCCGATGATATATTCCAATTTTGCGACACTCCGAGGTTGTCGCTCGGGCGAAGATTCGGCTTGAATGGCATGCACGGGATCCGTGTCAAATGCATATGCATATTCAGGAGGTACCAGTGAGAACAAGCCAATGGAGTGGTTTCGCTCCAAGTAGGGCGAGTAAGCCTGGAGATCGCGCGCCATCTCTTCCGACATCTCTCCCCCCTCCGGAATGGCTAACTCGATCAAGTTGTCTCCATGGTAGTCGCAGAATAATGGTTCGCTCGTGATCAAGCCAGCCACAAAATCTTGGTTGGCACAAGCTGCCGCTATTGTGCCTTGTCGGAATTCCAATGTGAATACCATGTCTACGTCACTTGGAAGACAGATTGCCATACCCCGATTTAGAATCGGTGGAGCTGGGAGACCGTCATCCGTCTCAACATGAGGTTGCTGGGTGACACTTTCAGTGACGGAAATGGTGGATGACTTCCTCAGTGCGGAGCCCAGATCCGTGGCGAACTCATGCCAGCCATTTTCCTTTGGTGAAATTGAGGATGTTTCCTCTTGTTCGAGAGAGTCGCGGCTCTCTGCGACCGAAATTTCGGTTTCAATGGTCTTGACGGTGGTCGCGACAGCTTCCCGAGCTGCCTTCCGCAGAGTTGGGAGCAAGACGTCCTGTTCTTGTTCGTCCAATGCAACTCCAGGAGCCCAAGCAGTCGCCAAATTAGCCCAGCTTGCGGGCTTGTAGATTCCGTTTACATATCTCCCTTTGGCGAGGTCGGCGATGGTCTTCCGTGTTGCCAAGTTCGACCGCCCGCGGCCCATGAGATTGACGGTAGAATTCAGGATACGGCTGCCTTCCCACAGGAGGAACCCATGTTTCTTAGCAGCGTAGATCAATTGGTCAATGACCTCGTCAGACCAATCGTCGATCACATCCGCTTGAACTTTGAGAACGGCGATGTGAGGGCCAATTTCGGAGACAAGGCGGAATAAAGTTGCAGAGTCGGTGACGGTGTGGGAAGTCAAGACAGCCACTGGTTGCCCGAAGGGGAGGCCCTTCTTGGCCTCGGTCAGCTTCTGGATATAGTCCAAAATCGGGTTGATAGGTGCATCATCTACAGTCGACATCGTGGGATGCAAAGAGGAATGCTGTGAGATGTAAGGGAGAACTTGAATGGAGAAAACAAGTGCAAGTCGCCTTGTGATGAAAGTGTCGGGAGCACCAGCGGGGCGGGTGTGGTGCACTAGAGACGAACTAGCGTGATGCTAATGCCTGACAATTTTCAGGAGAAGCGAAAGAATGGAAAAAAAAATGTCTTGTTTTCTCGACGTCGCTTGAGAGATTACCGCGAACGGAGAGTGTCCCAACATGATGCGTGCATTTCTGCCCGGTGGAGACTCGACGAATGAAAAGTTGGCCTCCTGTTTTCTTTTTCTTTCAAGAGTGCCAGTGTTTGATTATTTGTCCTTTCTCGTGTACCAATAAACACTGGGCCGTTGGGTTGGCAATCCTATCGAATGAGAGAAAAGATATTCTCTATTGGACCTGATAGGACCAATGGATTCGAAGAGTTGAGCAAGTTCGGTGGCAGGGTCCACCTGTTGTGTGTTGGCGTCCCGCATCATCTGGGGCCACGGAGTAAGAATTCAACAACGGGGAAAAGGTTATGAAACAATTTAGGTGCCGTCCAGGTTTCATGAACATGAGGGTTTCCCATGTTATATAGGTATTGGTAGACTGGGTTAGTGTTGTTGCTAGACCTAGCCACACTTGCAGGGATAAAGTACACTACGGTACACTCCGGTACACTCCGGTGCAGTATTGATAGTCTATACTACCCTGGACCCTAGAGTGTAGTCTTCTAGATGGAGTTCATGGTTGAATTAGAGATCTATTATGGAGTATACTCCGTAGTATGGTGAATATAGTTCAAAGTACAAAGTGCAAAAGTACCAAGTAACCCGGAGAGTACAAGGGTCTGCCAAGAGTGGATTCTCTAGATATTGAAATTGACTCCGTATCCGTAACTCCGTAACTCCGTAACAATACAGCCGCAATACAGCCACATTCACATTCGCCTGCTTCCGAGGAACTATGTATGTACCATGTGGTGTTCTTTACTCTCCAGTAAACTCTTAGGATCAGTGGCCTGATCTCCAATCTTACGATTCAAATAAATCCAGTAAGGTTGAGCACAAGCCCATCCCATATTCCATATTTTGCCCAATTGTGTTGTTTTTGTTCCGGGGCGGAAACTTCACATGTCACGCCACGCCCTCCCCTGAATAATTAATAATAATTTATCCAAGCCCTGTTCCGCCGCCCTCCGCCCTCCACGATCAACTTCTCGATCCCTCAACGCCGCATCCACCTCCGCTCACATCCCTCTCCTCTTTCGCGACTTTCTTTTCTACGCGCCCCAACCACCTATTTTCGTTCTTGATTGATCGTTCGCCCTCGACAGCAAACAAGAGAAGAAGAAGAAAAAATGCCCGGTCGAGTTCTACCGACCTTCACGGCCGCGGAGGTTGCATCGCATAACAACGCCAAATCCTGCTATATCGCGATTGGTCGGAACGTCTACGATGTCACTGACTTCGTTCAAGATCACCCCGGTGGTGGTGATCTGATCCTGGATTACGCTGGCAAAGACGTGGAGGAGATCATGAAGGATGAATTTTCTCACGAACATTCCGACGCCGCATACGAGATTCTCGAAGACTACCAAATCGGCTTTCTCTCCTCAGGAGTAGGCGCCTCGGGCAAAGCGACCTCCACTGCCGTGGATGCCGGGGTCTCGGACTCTGGTCCCGTCTACAACACCACTGGCATGTCGAAGGAGGAGGATCTGTCGGTTGAGACAAATTTCAGCCAGGATTTCAAGACGCACAAGTTTTTGGATCTCAGCAAGCCTCTTTTCCCACAACTCTGGTACAGCAACTTCTCCAAAGAGTTCTATCTGGAGCAGATTCACCGACCCCGCCACTACAAGGGTGGTGAGTCCGCGCCCCTCTTTGGAAACTTTCTAGAGCCCCTCAGCAAGACCGCTTGGTATGTTGTACCCATTATCTGGCTGCCACTGGTCGCCTATGGTACAACGGTTGGCGCAGCAGGACTCGGTAACCCCTCCGCTGCTGCTGCCTACTGGGTTGGAGGTGCGTTCCTCTGGACACTGATCGAGTATCTGATGCACCGCTTCCTCTTCCACGTCGATAAGTAGGTTCCATTCCCCTTGTTTCCCCTCGGCGTATCACTTGCTGACTTGATTTTGTAGCTGGCTCCCCGACAACCGCGTTGGTCTGACCCTCCATTTCCTGCTCCACGGTATCCACCACTACCTTCCAATGGACAAGTATAGACTGGTCATGCCACCCACGCTGTTCATCCTCCTAGCAGCCCCATTTTGGAAGCTGGCCCACGCTGTCTTCTTTTACAACTGGTTCGCGGCTGTGCAGGTATACTGCGGCGGTGTCTTCGGATACGTCTGCTACGATCTGACCCATTACTTCCTCCACCATCGCAAGTGAGTTTACCCTTGGATCACCACCGCCACTAGATCGTCCTATGTTTGATACTAATTTCTATCTAGTCTTCCTCTGTACTACAAGGAACTGAAGAAGTACCATCTCCAGCACCATTACGCTGATTTCGAAAACGGTTTCGGTGTCACTAGCCGATTCTGGGATCGTATCTTCGGTACTGAACTTGAGGCCCCTGCTGCTAAGGGCAGCAAGGCTCAGTAAACCGACTAGCTTGACCTTCGGTTTACTAGTTCATTCTTCATGATTTGACGTCGAGTCTTACCTTGGGCAACTGACTCAGGTTGCCGGGAGATTGTACATGTTTTATTATTCAACGCCGGGATTTGGGAGTTCCGGCTCATGTGTTTACGGGGTTTCATGCATAGGAGACTTGAGTTGGCATTACCTACATCGCCAACTGGAAGTCGGATTTCCACCACATCACTTATCAGTGTACATCAAGTATTAATCATAATCAAAATACGAACAAAACACTCGCTTATGAGATTAGTTTATTGAATACGGGCCAATAAAGACATCCCCCCTACCAAATCTATTACATTAACTATCTATACGGATCTACACCTGAGTTGTAGGCATGTTGCCCCTGCTGTATGTGGCAACGGTGAATAAAAGTTAGATTTGAGTCACGTGATCATAAATTAGACTCATGTGATATCCAGCACGCTGGGAACAGATCCTCCTACCCACACCTCATCTACGACTCTGATCAGCGTGGCAACACAAACAGACAAAACAGGGCTCATATTCTGAGAATAAGGGTTAGAAAGTCTTTTTGTCCCCGGATTTCGCTATCTGACCGAGTCACAAGTGACTATTATCTCATTACCCCCGACCATCATCTCCACCGCGTTTGGCCACAGGCAGACTTTCCACAATGTCCGGACTCGACGTAGAGGCTCTTCTTGAGTCAACAGCTGCTGCCCCGGCCGATACAACCACCAATACAGACGACCGCGATGACCAATCTCGGGCCGACACGCAAGAGCGCCCTGATCGTGATCGTTCCCGTGACAGACGCCGACGCCGAGACCGCAGCCGTGATCGTCGCCGGGACCGAGATGCCGATGGCGATGAGGACATGAAAAGCCCTCGAAGCGAACATGGCAGTGCTAACGGAAGCCATAGAAGCCGGAGAAGGAGCAGAAGCCGCGAGAGTGATCGACGCCGCCCTCGCCGGGACCGCGGCGGTGACGACTACCGCTCCAGCGGTGACTTCTACCGTGGCGGAGGACGCGCCCGCAGTCGTTCTCGCTCACCTGATGACCGCCATTACCGCCCCTCGCGACGGGAGCGTGATGAAGAACGACGCCGGGGTGGTGGCCGTGACCGTGAAGGTCGCCGCCCTAGCCCCAGCCGCCGGGATACTAGCAAATCCCCAGAGCTCAACGAGGATGAGCGAGACAAGCGAACTATCTTTGTGCAACAACTCGCCGCTCGTTTGAGAACCAAAGAGCTGATGGCCTTTTTCGAAAAGGTTGGCCCTGTCAAGGAGGCCCAAATCGTCAAGGACCGCGTTAGCGGACGATCCAAGGGGTATGTCTTGATCTCTCTTCCTACAAACTTTCTCGTTCTCAACTAACAATCTCTTAGTGTTGGATATGTTGAATTCAAGAGTGAAGATTCCGTGCCCGCTGCGATCCAACTTACCGGTCAAAAGCTTCTAGGCATTCCTATCATCGCCCAGTTGACCGAGGCGGAGAAGAACCGTCAAGCTCGTAACCCAGATGCCAGTTCTGGACCCTCGCACTCCGCTCCTTTTCATAGACTCTATGTGGGTAATGTTCATTTCAGCATCACTGAAAGTGATCTCCAGAATGTCTTCGAACCGTTTGGCGAACTCGAATTTGTCCAATTGCAGAAGGATGAGACCGGCCGCAGTAAGGGTTACGCATTTGTGCAGTAAGTAGTCGCTACCAACCGGCTTCAATGTCCAACTTCACTAACTTCAATATAGGTTCCGGGATCCTAACCAAGCACGTGATGCCTTGGAAAAGATGAATGGATTTGATCTTGCTGGTCGAGCTATTCGGGTTGGCCTTGGCAACGATAAGTTCACCCCCGATTCGAACTCGAACCGATTGCAGAGCACTTCTGCAAGCCAACCGAATTTCCAGGGCTCTTCATTCTCCGGCCATGGCGGTCGCGGCGTTCAAGCCGGAGGCTCGAACAACTTCGACCGTGCTGGTGGCAGGGAAAACGAAAAGTCTGGCGGCGCCAGTGCGCTCGACGACACAGACGTTGCGGGTGTGAATTTCAACAACTATAGTAGGGACGCGTTGATGAGGAAACTTGCACGTACAGATGACCCCGAGCCTTCTGCCGATGAGCAGCAGAAGGTACTTCGACCCAAGACCGAGACGAAACCATTGCCCGTGAATGTCAACATGGCGAGCCGATGCGTGATGCTTCGTGACATGTTTGACCCCGCCGAGTAAGCTGATTCTTTCCCCGCGCTAGATTCGTATTACCAATTATTAACATATCATTCCAGAGAGGAGGGTGACGCCTGGGTCAAGGAACTGGAGGACGACGTTCGCCAAGAGTGCGAAGAAAAATATGGCCATGTTGTTCACATCTCGGTAGATCCGAACTCTCAAGGCGACATTTATCTGAAGTTCGACCGTGTCCAAGGCGGAGAGAACGCCATCAAGGGCCTCAATGGCCGTTTCTTTGGTGGCAAGCAGATTACCGCACAGCCTGTCGTGGACGCTGTCTATAGCAGTCTCTTCACCCGGACCAAGGCCATCTAATGGCCACTCACCACTGTGGGTTTTGTGACATACTCTAACTTGGCACTTTCTCAAGCAGTTTCCCTTGACGTCTTGTCTCTAGGCTCTCCGGATGATTCTGCTGGTAGGTGCCGATCCTCACCTCGTGTGTTTTTTTTTTCTCTTCTTAATTTTGTTCTTCTCTCATCTGGCCATCGCGGTGAGCCATGCTACTCGAATGATCTTGTCTTTAGGAGCACGCTTTGAAATTCAAAAAGGACCTGGAGGGCGTTTGAAAGGATTCATCAACCATGCCCCGTCTTTGTCATCGCCACGGGAAAGTCAGTTCACACAAATCTGTCAATTTCGCTTCCTGTAGATCCTCCCCTCCCATACGATTATGAAAATTGCAATGCATGATGTATTTCTATATCATAAAGATCATCGTATCCAGAACGAATCTTCGTAAAAAACACAATCTTTCTCATCTGATTGCACGGAAGCACCTGCTCGATCTATAAAGGATCTGCCGGAAGCTGATGCCTTATCTGCCGAAGCTCGGGCCAGCGAAATGTGTCCCCCCCACGCCCCGAATGCTACATCCCATCCCTCCTACACCATCCCAATCTCTCACAATCGATGGGCCATTCATGATTGTCACATCAGCGAGGCGAGTAACAGGCCGGGTCGGGACCTTGGCCAGCGGTTACAGTATGTAAAATCTTCTTACTTCCCAAGGGGTGCCGCTATCTCCGGGGATCTCTCGAAAAATCATCCTTACGGCGAACTTGCCGCCCTCCGCCTGGGTGAACATTTAGCTAACAGGCATGCTATTCAACAGGCTTTACCCGCCTTCGAAGATGTCGAACAATTAGCTCCGATGCCGCGTCTCCCGATGACCGGCCATCGCTCAAGAAGCGCCCGCAGTTCCGCGACTACTTCGTTACCTATCTACCATCATCATCACTACACCCGGACCCTCGGGGACCGACCTCTCCCTTTCACAAACTCCCTCGTTCAGCATCTATACCACATACCGGCGAAACCCCGCACTCCCCGACCTCGTTCCAGCAACTGGTGGGACGAGAAACGACCGTGGTTCGAATCCCGTTGCGAAGCGCGAAGCACCATTACGGTGCCGTCACTGCCCGCGGTACCCGACCGGCCAACGAAGATACATATCAAGCCGGCGTCATTGATGTACCTGCATTTGCGAAACGTCCTCCAGCATCCCTGACTATCAAGCGCTCCCAAAGTCCCGCACGCGAGTCCCGCGGGGCGCAGACCGCCACGGGCGACCCTCAAGTCTTCTACTTTGGCATCTTCGACGGCCATGGCGGGTCGGAGTGCAGTACATTTTTAAAAGAAAACCTTCACGAATATATACAAGACACCGCCGCGGAATTCGAAGTGAGCTCGATCCTTCGAAGCAAACAGTTGCAGATAGGCGGGGCCGATTCGTTGCCGGTTTTACAGGCGGGAAATCGCCAGCGCATCGGAGACCTTGAGAAGAATCTTGTACAGAATTGGAGACGCTTAGTTGGTGGCTACTTTAAGCGATTCAAGCCAGCAACCTTTTCCTACTATGGATCCGAAAGCGACGTGGACGCGGAGACTGCGCCCGACGGGAAAGTCTCCATTGAGGAAATCTTAGAATTTGCATTTTTGCGTGCCGATCTCGACTTCGTGAAAGCGCAAGCTGCCAAGCGAGATGACGATCTTGTTCTAGCTGAAAAGCCTCTGAACGAGGACGAGATTCTCCACAGCCCGAGCTTGACAAGAACTCCCAAGATTGGCGGCCGCTCGCGATTTAAGGGCGGTAGTACTGGAACTACTGCCATGATCTCGACACCCTCGCCAACTCCCTTTTGGCATCCCGCTGCCCCGTCGAGTCTCATTGTCTCCCATGTTGGCGACACAAGAGCCTTACTGTGTTCGACCGACACCGGCGAAGCTATACCTGTTACTTCCAACCACCACCCATCGTCACCTATCGAGGCGGCACGACTCCGCCGCTATGCTACGACCTTTGTCACCGATTCCTTCGGCGAAGAGCGCATGAGTGGACTCGCAAATACACGCGCATTTGGAGATGTCCAGTCGAAGCGTATTGGCGTATCCGCCGAGCCAGAGATCAATCGGGTCGAGATGGGCGCCGCTGAATTCTCGTTCCTGGTCATGATGTCGGATGGTGTTAGCGGCACACTCCTGGATCAAGAGATCGTGGATATCATCAAAGAGGCCAAGACCCCCGAGCAAGGTGCCCGTGACGTGGTGGGTTTCGCTAGTGAGGTCAGTCGGGATGGAGACAATGCCACTTGTCTTGTTGTTCGGCTTGGCGGGTGGGAACGGCGACAAGAGGGGGGGCGTGGGAAGCTTGGGAACGAAGGAGTCTCGCGAGTGGCGACGTCAGGATGCCACTGATCCGCGCAGGTCACGGACGTGAGACAATCTCCAATCTCCTAGATATCTTTCAAGCGTTACTGTCTGTATATAGTTGTTTAGGCTCTTTATGGGCTCATTTGCACATATTAATTTCTTCTATACCACATTTTTACACATATCATTCAACTGACATTGTTATTTTCTTCATTTTCCTCTTGATCTCTTTAGGTTGTACAGTAGTACTACTAGTAGAACCCTTTAATTAACGGGGACTCGGAAGACGGAGTACGAGTACGGAGTAAAATGGACGCGGGAAGAGAAAAGGCCGGTGGATTCGGCCGCGTGGGGAAAGCTTCCCAAAGTTCCGAGCGACCCGTAAACATTCTTTCTGCACAGGGGCTTTTCACTCATCCTTTTCCTTTCCCTGTCTACCTTTCTACCCCTTCGTGGTCTTGATCCCTCATCTTCCCCGGACCTAACTTATCCGTTTCTCTCACGCTCTCTTCTTTATCTACCTCACCTACAAACACTTTCCAGATTCTACTCTGAATCCGAATCCGAATCCCATAGGAACACGCCGCGCGCCTCAGCTTATCACCCTTCCTTATCTATCGCCCGACGAATTTTCTCCTTTATCCCCCCCCCCCCCTAATCTCTCTCAAGTGCCGCCTTATTTCCCTTGAGCTGCGCTTGAAACTACCGCTTCCAACCTTATCATTCTTATCACATCAAGGCTTCGTTTCGAACCGGGTCACTGAAGTCAACCCGCGGACCGTGTCGCGTTGTCATCTTGATCACCCAACCCAATAACACCTCTACATCCACATCACAATGAGCGCCCGCACACGTCGACAAAAGGCGGCCCTTGCTGTCGAAGGAAACGAGAGTGAGGAGTCAGCAAATGGCAATGGCACCGCATCTACACCCTCTAAGAGGGCGCCCTCCAAGAAGCGGAGTAGATCGAAGCTGAACGAGGAACCCAAGGAGAACATCTTCCTCTTTGCTCCCAACCTTATCGGTAGGCGAACATTCACAGCTCTATTGAAATGACCGGACACCATTATTTATCTAACGTATCTTCTCAGGATACTCTCGAATCGTTCTCGCCATTGCCTCCCTCTACTACATGCCCCTCCACCCACGCACATGCTCTCTTCTTTACAGCGTGTCATGTTTGTTAGATGCGCTGGATGGATATGCTGCGCGATACTTCAACCAATCTACTACATTCGGCGCAGTGCTGGACATGGTGACTGATCGTTGCACTACTGCTTGTCTGTTGGTGTTCCTGAGCTCTGCGTGGCCTCGTTGGGCCATCGTCTTCCAGAGCCTGATCTGCCTGGACATGGCCAGTCACTATATGCACATGTACGCCACTCTCAGCATGGGCGGCTCGAACATGAGCCACAAGAAGATCGATTCCGAGCGAAGCTGGATTCTCTACCAGTACTACCACAGCAAGGTACGGCATACATCGCATGATTTGAGGGGTACCTCCTGCTTACGCTAACCTGCTTGTTCTCAATTGTAGACTGTTCTGTTCATCTGCTGCGGAGCTAACGAACTGTTTTTCATTGGTCTTTACCTCCTCTCCTTCTCCTCGCCTGTGCTGTCGCCCTCGCTGCTCCAGCCCGTCCCGGATGCGCAGCCTTCCTCCGCGCAGCCCGGTACGCCTGCCAACCCCGCGCTGAGCAGCCTCTTTGCCAGCCCCTGGAGTGCTGGTGCACTCGAGATGGCTCGTGCGAACAAGGTTGACAGCACCTTCCCATGGATCATCACCCTGGTCTCGCTGCCGATCATGGCTTTCAAGCAGTATGTCAACGTCGTTCAGATGGTGAATGCCAGCAAGTGGCTCGCAGAGGGAGATCTTGAAGCCCGACGTGCCAACAAGAAATAAGTACCACGCCATGAACAACTGCACAAGTAGTCTTTTGGCTAGCCGAGGACTGGTTGGGATCATTTTCTTTCGTCTTTTATTTTGCCCCCTTCCGGGTCATGCATGTCTTTGGAGCTATGGTCTGATTTTGGGGACCGGCTGGCTGACAGTGTCGAAGTTGTTGCCGGGATTCCCGTGGAGAGATTGGTTTGGTGGTTCGAATCCTATCGACGAGCGTTTTTGGGCGGAATAGGACTGCCCCATCGGAATGGGCTTGGCTGGGTTGGTTTCAGGAACGAACCTTTTGTACAGTACACACGGAGCTGTGTCTTTCATTCTTCTTATTTACACCTGCTTCACTTCTCGTCTTCCCCCTTTGACCCCCGTCTTCTTTGAAATTTTCTCCCTCTCTCGTTTGATATTCTTAACGTTTTGATCATAAATCATTTAATGCATGCCAACACCTTTTTGCCCGCCGAGGTACATAGAATACAGAGCATGCTACGAACTACCAGTAGCGGCATACACGGAACCGGGGAGATCGGAGAACCCGATGACCTCAATCAGCCGCTAGTAGCCGCATAGGATGAGTGCCAGTGACTCAGGTGGAGATTCAAGCGTAGTGACGCGGTTCTGCACCAGCGAAAGTATCCCCGTTGCACGGCGTCAATTTTCTTTGCGGCGCAGTTAAGTGGGTTGCTCGGCGCCGATCTCGGAGTCGGCGGGGTCGACTTCACCCGCATCCCACCTTTTTTAAAGCTCCCCCTTGAGAACCAATTGAGTGTCTTCCGATTTCCATTCTTCTTGCTTTTGTCCAATTTCATAATGTCTTCCTTCAATATCGTTGTCTTGGGTGGTGACCACTGTGGTCCTGAGGTACGTTGCTTCATCTATTCTTCACATATTCTCCCCAGACCGTTCCCCGGGTTCCGCGGGTCTTGTTTGAATCATAGCTAACACCGAATCAAAAACATAGGTTACTAAGGAGGCCATCAAGGTGAGCGAGATTACTAGCTCAGAGCTGGATTGGGATAAATATAACCTAACATTCTTCTGCTATAAAGGTCCTCCGTGTGATTGAGAAGAACCGTGATGTTACCTTCAACCTGCAGGACAAGCTGTTCGGTGGTGTGAGTACTCCCCCAAGGATAGCCTTCAAGACCCCAAACTAACACCGATTCATAGGCCTCCATCGACGACAACGGATCTCCCCTGACCGAGGATACCCTTGAGGCTGCTAAGAACGCCGACGCTGTGCTTCTGGGTGCCATTGGCGGACCGGTACGTTCGACACTTCGCTCAAAACAATTTCACAGGATGGCAGGCTCACTAGGAATGATGACAACAGAAATGGGGTACCGGCGCCGTCCGTCCCGAGCAGGGTCTCCTGCGCCTCCGTAAGGAGATGGGCACCTTCGGTAACCTGCGTCCCTGCAACTTCGCCGCGCCCTCGCTGGTCGAGAGCTCCCCATTGAAGGCGGAGATCTGCCGCGGTGTCGACTTCAACATCATCCGTGAGCTGACTGGCGGTATCTACTTCGGTGACCGCAAGGAGGACGACGGCTCCGGCTTCGCCATGGACACCGAGCCCTACTCTCGCGCTGAGATTGAGCGCATCACCCGCCTGGCTGGTAACCTGGCTCTGCAGCACAACCCCCCTCTCCCCGTGTGGAGTTTGGACAAGGCCAACGTTTTGGCTACTAGCCGTCTGTGGCGCAAGGTCGTCACCGAGGTCATGGCCAATGAGTTCCCCCAGGTCCAGATCGGTCACCACCTGATCGACTCCGCTGCCATGCTCATGATCAAGGACCCCCGCAAGCTCAACGGTATTGTTGTCACCAGCAACCTCTTCGGTGATATCATTTCCGACGAAGCTAGTGTCATCCCCGGATCTCTGGGTCTACTGCCCAGTGCCAGTCTGAGCGGTGTTCCTGATGGCAAGAGCCGTGTCAACGGTATCTACGAGCCTATCCACGGTAAGTCATAACCTCTCTTTACATTGTGTCTTGAAACACTCCTAATTAGAACACCAAAACAGGCTCCGCTCCCGACATTGCCGGAAAGGGCATCGTCAACCCCGTTGCCACTATCCTCTCCGTCGCCATGATGATGCAGTACTCCTTCAACATGTTCGCCGAGGCTCGCATCATCGAGAAGGCTGTCAGCAACGTTATCGAGGCCGGTGTTCGCACTGGTGATATTGGCGGCAAGGCCACCACCGTCGAGGTCGGTGACGCCGTCGTTGCTGAGCTGGAGAAGCTCCTCAAGTAAACGCCGCCGCTTCAGTGAGCCGTGTGGTTTTATATATGAGACATGACTAGTGTAGAAGACCAAAATTGAATACCCTTTGGAATTTTTAATCCTCAAATATCCTTTCCTCGACTTGAACGTAGCTGGATTTTCCAGGCTTTGGTTTGAGCATTCAGTTCACTAAAATAAAGTCATAACCTAGCCTCTGACGACGCCTAGAGGGTATCTCGCGAAGTCGCTTAAACTCCAAATGCGATGTGGGAACACAAATACAGAAAAGCCTGACAGACCGTAAAACATACACCTGATAACCAACGCTATGCAAACATCCGGCATAAATAAAACAACTACCTGATCACCGGCTCGCCCATCCAATCCGGCTCGTCGAGTCCAGAAGCAGCCATAAGACTACTCGGATCAACACCTCCGCCTTCTGCGTGTGAATGTGGGAGTGCATCACCTCCCCGAAGCGATTGTCGGGCACTGTGTCGACGATGCCGACCATCCGCCGAAGCAGACGGAGCAGCCACCATGCGTCGGCGGGTATCATCGCATGCAAAGACCTGAAACCCACGCACATGGGTATCCTTTCCATTCTGATGATTCTCCATCACGCGCATCTGAATGACCATGGCTTTCAGTACATTACCCGTATAAGGGTCATCGAGGGATGCCTGGCGGTCTGCGTCTTGACTGGCTGACTCCTCATCTTCCGCATCACGGGCATCACTATCGTCTTCTTGTGCTGTGGGGTTCTTTTGGGAACCCGAGGATTGTGCCTGGCGCTGCGCACTCTTCGAACGCCGTTTCCGCTGCACCGTCTCCTCACGGACCCAACCCCCATTCCGACCGCCGACACCTTCCAAGGGAACATTTACCCAGCCGCAGGGTCCGTCTCCTTCCCAAGTGGCGAATTCGACAAGGTCGTTCCCACCCATCCCGGCTAAGAATATCATTTTCGTAGGCGTGTAGCTCTCGTCTAGTTCAAAGTCGAGATATACCCGAATGCGTACGACGGCGACCAACTTGAAGAAGTGCAGTGTGAGCGTATGTGGCTGCGGTCCGTCGGATTGCCAGTATTGCATTGGTGAAGGGTGACGGAGGGCCGAGACGCCGCAGCCGGGTTTGGAGGTGGAGACGGTCCAGGATGCGAGAGAGGAGATCTCGCGAAGGTTGGGAGGTAATGGCGATGGCGATTTCTCTGTTTCTTGGATGTTAGTTGAGGGCATGTATAGGTGTAGGTGTAGGTGTAGCGTAAGACGGACCTCGATCGTGCATCTCTTCGTCAATATCTTCGTCCTCTAGTTGCTCTTCCAGCCCATCGTCGACCTCTTCGCCATACAACTCCGACTCATCGATATCTTCCTCAGGTTCCATATCATCTGGCCCATGATCGAAATAACCGAAATGTTCTTCTTCTTCTTCTTCCTCCTCCTCCTCCTCCTCCTCTACCTCCTCTTCTTCTGGAGGCGGTGGCGGCGGTTGGGGTGGAGGCTGATGCTGATGTCTTCCACGCGCAAAAATAGAAAATGGGTTGTGACTCGGAGGGGCCATCACGACTGCTGGCTCTGGTGTGAGACCATCGGGGCCAGAGGATGGTGGGTGTCGATGGGTTGGATTGGAGGGGGTGTGCCGGGAGGGAGGTGTTTGGAATTGAGCCCGCAGGCTCCCCGGGCCGTCGGAGCCTTGATTCGCAAGGAGATCGTGGGGGTTTGGTTGCCGGCGCAAGTGAGGCATTGTGGTGAAGCAAGGGGATCTTTTGGCGCGGGATTGATTGTTTTGCGACGCGGGGAGCTTGATTGTCGATTACCACTTATGGTTAGCGCCAATTGGAGCTAGTCTTTTATACTTTGGACTTCAAGTTGGGCCATTATTACTACTAGTAGCCTCTAGACTGGGAGAATAGGGGAATCCTTAAGTGAATCAAGTGTTTGACATAAGTTTAAGATCTGTCACGCCGTAGTTCGATGCTGTCGCTTTTATCCATAGCCATCCTAGGATGGCGTTGTCCATGCTGATAGGTATCGACCCACGAAACTTTCATGTATGATGACTTATCTCTCAAGCTTTGCGATTTTGCTGGTTCAATAATCGTCGGGGATAATATGGAGCACTATGTGGAGGAAGAGGACAGATATCGTATAATGCCAGGGTCGCCTCGGTCTTTCAAGACTGATTTATTTGCTTTAGGGTGTCTGATCTACGAGATAGAAAGTGGTGCCCGCCCATACGACGCCGTTGATGCTGAAGAGGTTGCCAGGCTATATGCTGGCAAAAGTTTCCCAAATTTAAATGGCTTGAGATACCACGAGCTTATTTATAAGTCCTAGTCCTCTGCATACACAACAACTAGTCAGCTTCAAGGGGATTTTCTTCGTCAGAAAGAGTCTCATTCTGAATTAATCCCTGTCTCAATTCCCTCTGGACGTCCTCTTGTGATGTCAATTCTTTGTACGATTTGTTTTGGCTCTGTTGTTTTCTTATTTGATCGGAAGCGGAATTTTAAATGATTCACTCAGGCTCCATCTACAGCACTACTGAGAGCCGCATGGTTATTGTTGTTGGTGCTGTCGGTCCAGTGGAACTCCTCTTGGCCGGAAAATCATTATCTCCGTTCTGAAGCTTGCGCTGATCTTCTCATTTGACTCCTCCGTATCCCAAGGTTTTATTGTGTAACCGATGCTTAAATTTGCCCTTTGCTTCTCTCTTTGTGTTCTCCCCAGGATTTTTTGTCGATCCAACACGATGCCCTCTTGTATTTGGCGGGATCTTTCTGAAGTTTAGAGAAAATTTGAAAGATACACAACTATTCGGAATAGAAAAGTCCAACCCTTATGTTGTTCGCCAGTCTTTCTCTACCATGGTCATGGAAGACCATCGAAAGACGGGTTGAAGGCGTTATATCCCTGATCACGAGTTTGAACTATGTGCAATCAAATCTAATGCAATTGGACAGTCATTAGTTACGTCAGTTTACACAATAGCTGGATTGAAATCTACTTCCAGAAATTTTGAAAAACATGATCCATACGAGTGGATAGGTCGTGAAGCAGACCCTGCGCAGTGACTAGTGGATTGCAGCGAGCTGGCATTGTCGATACTCGAAAGAGAAAAATCGTGGAACGTCTGAATCTGAATAATGTTGAATTTCCCATTCGAGGAATATTTAGCCACGTGTTCAGCTAATGAAAGATTGGGCAGGTACTCCTTTCAATCCATTCATAAACAGTAGGTGGCTATTTGCGGATCGGCAATTGAACCTGTATGACATCTCCCCCAAAGTAGACTTTCGATCCGGACCTTTCGCGCAGTAGAAAATTTGTAAAGACCCATTGATTGGCTAATCAGGGAGATCTTTCTATATTTTTATTCTTCAAGGTCACCATATGCATGCACTGAAGAATCGGAATTCTGTAGATAAAAGTGCATACATAATGCTGCGATGCTGCCTGTAAAGGGCTTCAAGTTCAAGTTCTTGTGAAACCTCAGTGGAGCTATCAGTCACATATGAACTGTTGCTAGTAACCAACTAGCATATCTCGTTAATCTCATTCAATCTCGCCCCTTCGGCACGCATCCTGATTAGGTATACACCCTACGCCATAGTTTCTTCAAGGAGTTCGGGCCAAAAACTATGATGCAAGCGCCAGAAAAACAGGTAATGAAGAGTGCATACAAGAATGTAGGGCCGGCAGTCTCTTTGCAGATCTTTCTGAAAAAGCGGCAGTTAGACACCACTTCGCTATACTGTAGACGGCTGACATTTCCAGACTTTCGATCGAATCCATATTATCCAATTAGAGCGTTCAAACTGTGGCTTCAGAGAATTCCGATCAACCACACCACCTGGGCAGTTAGTGAAGATCAATCTTGCTCGTCGGAAATCGGACTTTAGCACGCCATGAAAGGATATAAAGTTGGAGAGGACTCGCTCAATTTCTTCATTCTCATCCAACACAGTCCCATTCCACATATCTCACTCGAACAAACCATCTCACCCCATATAAGTATCGCAACCTTTGAGAGCAGTCAATAAAAGATAAAAGACCAAACATGTATCTTGCCGAGGTAACACCGTCCACGGGTCTCAACTCAATATTTCATCCCTGAATACTGACTGCCTTTCCGGATCTTAGTATCTTTTTCGGCGTATATACGAGCTCAACATTAGGGCCGTCTTTGGTGTACCGGGTGACTTCAACCTGACTGCTCTGGATTTTGTCGAAAAGTCTGGTCTCAAGTGGGTTGGAAATGCCAACGAGTTAAATGCCGGTGAGTTTGAAACCTCTATTAAATCTGACTGACCTACCGATATCTGACAGTTCAGGTTATGCCGCTGATGGCTATGCCCGTGTCAAGGGTATATCTGCGATTGTAACCACATTTGGCGTTGGCGAGCTGTCCGCTTTGAATGCTCTTGCAGGCGCCAGTGCTGAGCTTGTTCCTGTTATCCACATCGTCGGATTCCCACCCACCGCTGCGAAAGAGAATCGATTGCCGTTACACCACACACTGGGGGATGGAGACTACGATTTATTCATAGAAATGAGTGCTCGCATCTCTAGCGCTGTTGCTGTGCTAGACTCTGCAAAAGATGCAACGAAGATGATCGACGACACCATAATAGCTTGTGTCCGCTCCAGCAAGCCCGTCTATATTGGGCTTCCGATGGATTTTGTCATGGTCGATGTGGATGCGTCTTCTCTCGCAACGCCTCTTCCCCTCGAAGACCCTGGAGTAAATCCTATTTCTGAAGAGGATAATGCCGTCAGTGCTGTCATGGAGCGTATTGCAATGGCTCAAAATCCCGCTATTTTGGTTGATAGCCTTGCTGGACGTTGGCATGGGTTGCAGCCTACCAGAGCGTTTGTGGAGAGGTCTAATCTCCCTTGCTATTCATTTCCGATGGCTAAAGGAGTCATTGATGAGAGCCTCCCCAACTTTCGTGGAATTTACTCTGGATCTGTTTCTGAGCCTGGGGTTCAGGAGCAAGTTCAGCTATGTGATCTTATTATCCACATTGGACCTCGCCCTACAGATCTCAACACGGCCGGGTTCAAAAGCGACTTGCCGCATATCGAGACAATCAGTTTTCATCGAGATTCAATTCATATGAAAGAAGCTGATTTCTCAAGCATTCATATGAATGGAGTTCTGAGGAGGCTCTCCGAATCATTCTGCTCTACCAGATCAAATTCTGTGTCATCCACATCTGGTTCTTCTTCTAGAAAAAGTGAAGAAAGTGCAGAAACAGATCCGGATATTGACATGGGAGATTCAATGGATGCAATCCTTGGGCGAAAGATCAAATCCAGTCCGACGGTGACCCAAGATTGGATGTGGAAGCGAGTCAGTTCTTGGCTGGAAGAAGACGACATACTCTCCATGGACGTCGGAACTTCCGCATTTGGTGCATTGTGGACAAGACATCCCCGTGGAACAGAATCGTTATTCCAACTCCTATGGTCTTCCATCGGGTTTGCTTTAGGGGCCGCTGTAGGTGCGGCATTTGCTGCAAGAGAACAGGGGGCCGAATGCATTCCCCCCCGAAAACGACGTACGATCCTCTTTACTGGCGACGGAAGCTTCCAGATGACTGCCCAGGAAGTGAGTACCATGGTTCGCCACAATCTTGGGGTGATCATCTTCGTTATCTGTAACGAGGGTTACACAATCGAACGCATGATTCATGGCTGGGACAAGGACTATAACGATATCCAGCCTTGGGATTTCAAGCTCTTACCGTTTGTGTTCAAGCCAGAATCCGATGCCGTGCGAACGTACAGTGTTCATACTGAGGCGGATCTTGATGATGTGCTCACAGACGCTCAGTTTGGCCCCGCTGACAATTTCGAGGGTTCAAATGCCCCGCCATTGCGTTTGGTGGAGGTTCACATGGCCAAAGAAGATGCTCCGCAGTCTTTGCATCATATGATTGATGCAATATGTCGACAGAAGAAGTAAGGGAGAATGGCAAGGCCGACCGTGCGATAAGGATTTAAGACGAGCTTCGATTTTCGGGAAAGCTAGAATTGGGAATTTCGTTGAGAAGAGATATCATGATACTACTAGTACTAGAGGATGATGCATTGGTTGCTATAAAAAAAAAGACAGACGAGCGAAACGGAAGTCCAGAAATACGCATTCAAGTTATGTTCATAGACTAAATCGGATAGTTTGGAATTATTAGATTGATTCAATATTGATAATGGTATTGCTAAGTGAGTTTGGACAATCTACTTCTACAATTTCGGCCCTGTATGCCCAGGTGCTTTCTAATCCATGTTAGTCCCGGAGTAGATTCCTTATTGTATGATGCAAGACTCACTCATTTGCCCCTTGCGCAACACTAAACCATGATGATGATGATGATGATGGCAATGCCTTGTGTAACATACTCGCCGCTCACTCTTTCCTGGAACAAATTGTAGCAGCCTCCCATCCTACTATTATTGTCTTTAGTGTATAGTTGTCTGGTAGCGGGCCTGCGGGCCTATTTCATGCCCCCAAGGGCTCACGAATAAGACAGAGATACGGAATATGGACCTAAAAAGTAAGTACACCAAGAACTGCAAAGCCCGTCGAAGAAAAGCAGTCTGCATATCAAATTCGGTGCGATCACCTGGGCAGCACGCTCTGTTTTAGAGACTGAAGCGGATAGTATATGATAACGTAACGCCTTGGAAGATTGGAGATTTTCGTGATCCAAGACAAATTTCGTATTCCCCTAGTAACTAAGGAATGTATATAGAATTAACCTGATCCCCCCCCTTTAAGCATCGTCCTTGACTAGCTTTCGAATTGACTTAATTGAGACTGACTAGAAAAGTTCTTCTCCCGTTCGGCTTTCCCCTAACCAATGTATGCCGTAGATTGTCATTGACCGAGAAGATATCTACCGGCATGATTCAAGTTCTCAGGTAATACAGACACGTCGTAATTAGGCATGCAGTGACACAGTTAGATCTCCACGCTTAGAGTCGGCTGCGCGAGTGAGGTTGGTTCCTGGAGGTGGATATAGCACCCGATGGGGCCGGGTTGAAACTCAAAACAGACAAGTCCCCACCCTCCCAGAACCTCTGGACAGCCGTCCAATACCGATCTGCATCTTCTATCATGAGTGTGCAGTGCGATCCAGATTCGAAAACAATTTGATCGGCGGTATATCCCTGGGATCTGGCCTCTTTAAAGTGAGATTGAACATCCTCCCAGCCCACCATGACATCTTCTTTAGAGTATATATACAACCTTTTCGCATCTGTGCCAAACGTGTTTGGATCGTTCAATGCGAGACGTAGGTCTCGCACTGCGCGAATGAACCCAGCATGCTGTAAACCATTGAGTATAGAAAGTGAGGGGTATAATAAAGTACCGCTGATAAACTGCGCTATTGTGTTTTGGGGCACAGAGAGAAGAGCAGCACGATATGATCTTTCAAAGGTGTCATCTCCAGGGGAGCAGTCTAGAATTATACCCCGAATACTAGAAAGAAATGCCACTCCATGGTCGTCTTCTTCTCTCATTGCGAGGGATAGCTGTACCCCGATATTGCACCCTCCGTGAGAGAATAGATGGAATAAAATGCCAGGTTTGTCATCTGTACCCCGGGGCTCGTCGCCAGTCGCCGAGGCCAGGACGTGGCGGATGGCGCGGCGGGCGGGATTGAGACGACGTCGAATCCATCTGAATGGCCGAAAAGCAGTGTCGGGAATGCTGGTCGTAATCAAAAGAAGAGCCGAGGATGGGTAGAGCTGGCGATACTGAGCGAGATACTTGTTGATTCGGCGGGGGTGGCACCCCCAGCCCAGGTACACAAGACCACTAAGGCAGGCGCAAGTGTTTCTGGTCCACCAGAGCTGTCATTACCTGGCGGTTCATGCAAGTAAATATCCTCACCAATCAACCGCAAAGGCTCGAATATTGATGCCATTGCGACGTACCGGATGATGGAGCGTCACAAGGAGAGGAAAGGATCCCCGCGGGAGATGTTCAGGTCCGTGCGTTTGCTTCGTCCTAAAAGCCAGACATAAGATTGCTAGTACCTAGGTAGTTAGTTCAAGTTAGTTTTACGCTGACCAAAGCCAAAACTCATCAGCCTAGATTTAGGTGACGGTATACTACATGTGGCATATTGGCGGGCCTCCCGCCACAACCTAGTTGTTGTTAGCATGCACGTTATGTAGTATGTCTCCGGTCGAGTCGCTTGGGTCGGAAGCCACAACGAAAAGTGGAGCAGAGTGTCCCATGGCCCGAATCAACAAGTCGAGGCCGAAGGTTCATTCTTATCCGGCGAATTGAATGGGACCATACCGACCATGTTTCACCAAGGGTGAAGCGAAACCAGGATTTCCATGTCGAACGGTCACTAGTAACCGCCTATGAACCGACCTGCGAAGACGCAATTTGCAGTGTGTCGACGAATGAGTTCTCGGTATATTCCGGAGTATCTTTGGGGCACGGCATGTTGTAAATTGAATGTGCTACTCCGCTGTGTCAAAACCTGCTTTTGGGTCAAGAGTTCTCTGTGATTGGCCGGTACGACCGCCCGGTTAGAGATGTGAAGGCGACCAGACCAAGGTGGGAAAAGGACTTGGGGGAGTGAGATCAGTGGGGGGTGAAGGATCGGAAAGAAATGAAAAAAATAAAAAAATAAAAAATAGAATCGAAAGAGATGAAGCCAGCAGTGACGCAGGTGGGGGGGGAAAAATCAAGGTAGATGTAGGAAGTTGGTTTTAATTTGTAGAGGATGTAGTGAGGTAGGTTGGAGAGTGCACCTTCCCTTCCTTCACATTTTCTGCCGACTTCCCCCTCCTCCACCTCCTCCTCCTTCTTCTTCTCTTTATTTTCCTTTCCTACACTTTGAACTTTTCCCAAGCATCATCATCCTTTTCTAGCGCCCGCGCTGCGGCCACACTCCAAGACGGCACCCTCACACCAATTGCACCGGCCCTTGTCGTCGGTTCGCATTCCTCGGCCCCCATAGTCCTTTCTCTCGCACGCGCGCCGAGCACTATGGCCGACTCCCCCGCCGATTCCCCCCTCGCCGATGAGGAACTCGCTCCTCTCGATCCTGCATCACCTATCACGCAAGTCGGCTCTGCTTCTACGCCAAATTTGAATCCTATCCCCTCTCCTGAACCTCCAGCTGGTATCTCCCCCTCGTCGACGCATATCGGTCAGATCAATGCCGCTCGGCGGGGTGCGGGTACCCCGCCACGCCCCCTTCCCTCCATGAGCTCACAAGGGGTCGGAGGACTGAACCAGGATATCATGGCCAAAATGAAAGCTTTCTCTCTTTCCAGACAGGGTGCTCCTACTGCACTCCCACACACTGCCTCCACCGGGACGATACCAACGTCCCAGGAGGCTGGTGCCGGCGGTGCTTTGGCGGGACGCATGCCGACCACACGTCCCAATATCAAGGACTGGTCCTCCTCCCCCTCCATCCCCGCCGTCAATTCCGTACCCGCATCTCCGCGACCGGGTCCGACCGGCGGCTTGGCCGCAAAACGTATGAAACCCGGTCTGAAGCTGTCAGATGTCACCGGACCGCCACCGCCAGTCAATGGCGCGGACCCCAAGCCTGCGGAGCAGAATGGTGGTGGTGGTGGCGGCGGCGGCGGCGGAGGAGGAGAATCGGCCTTCACCAAGTACGCCGAGTTCATTGATACCAAGGCCGGAACCTTGAATTTCAAAAATAAGGCCATCTTGCATGGAGGTGGTGTGGAGTTTTCCTCGGGGCATAGCTTCAAGATCTCCCTTGATGAAGTCGATCGGTTGGATGAGCTAGGCAAGGGTAATTATGGTACGGTTTACAAAGTCCGACACAGTCGCCCGCAAATGCGAAAGCCTGGAACGGGTCTAGGTGGGATCGTTAGTCGAGTGCCGGGCCATGACGACGATTTGGTCCGCCAAGATAACCTGTCTGGTGTGACGATGGCCATGAAGGAAATTCGCCTTGAGTTGGATGAGAGCAAGTTCGCCCAAATCATCATGGAATTGGATATCCTACATCGCTGCGTCTCGCCCTTCATCATCGATTTCTACGGAGCGTTCTTCCAAGAAGGAGCTGTCTACATGTGTGTCGAATTCATGGATGGAGGTTCAATCGACAAATTGTACGAAGGCGGTGTTCCCGAGAATATCCTACGTAAAGTTACCCTCTCGACCATCATGGGATTGAAAGCGCTCAAGGACGAGCATAATATCATTCATCGCGACGTCAAACCCACGAATATTCTGATCAACAGCAAGGGTCAGATCAAGATCTGTGATTTCGGAGTCAGTGGGAACTTGGTTGCCAGCATTGCAAAGACAAACATTGGTTGTCAAAGTTACATGGCTCCAGAGCGAATCGCCGGCGGTGGAATGCAGCAATCCGGAGCGAGCAGCGGTGGAACATATAGTGTTCAAAGCGACGTCTGGAGTCTGGGTCTGTCAGTCATCGAATGCGCAATGGGACGTTACCCGTACCCGCCGGAGACCTTCACCAACATCTTCAGCCAGCTTCATGTGAGTGGTTTGCCTACTAATTTAACATTACTACTCAGATCTAACCTGATTCGAATTAGGCAATCGTCCATGGCGAACCGCCTGGTCTCCCTGAATCTGGATACTCGGAGGAGGCTCATGCATTCGTGCGTGCTTGCCTCGACAAGAGCCCCAAAAACCGACCGTCGTACAACATGTTACTGCGTCATGCATGGCTTGTGCCTCTCATGCGCCCACCGCCTGAGGCTGAAGCAGCGGCTGCCTCCGAGTCATCGGAACCTGGCCAGGATCCTCCATCATCCATCACCGAGGATAAAGAGGTCGCCGACTGGGTCCACCAGCAGCTTCAACGTCGGAAAGACGGTCTCCTCCACGACGTCGAAAAGCCAGCCCTACACGCTGTGGCTCTGGACAAAGTGGCGAACAACCCCGGATAAGATGATTCTAGAAACCCCCCCAACGACGAACTGAAAATCTGGAACTGTCAGCATTGAAAAATCTTGTAATATTGTCTTGTGACTCCAAGAAATATTTTCTCATCTCTGGATTCAACAACGTGCAGGGAAAGTGGCGCAGGCGCTGCTGGCCTTGACGCTGTGCGTGCACCCGTTAATCTGCCGAGCCGCTTCTTCTCTGACGTTGCAACTTCCCAGTGTGACTTCAGGGGAAGACTTGAATCGCAGCTTCCATCTATGACCACATAATCAGCATCTGCATAGAGCTATGTCACTTGGGAACCATGAGCCCTGCCTGAACCAGGGGTTCGAACGCAGGATACTCCCAGTTCATGGTTAAAGTGGAATACCTATTACCCTCTTAAGTGCGAGAGAAGGAACATATCTTGAACCATACATCATGCTCTACGATATTTTGAATCCATTCCACGTTTCACATACGGCCAAGACGGTACCCATCGATGGATGTCCAAAATCATAGTGCTTTTTTTTTGAGATGCATAGCACGAATAATGCTGTAAATAACATTGATACTACCCAGTAGTAGGAGTAGATGAATTTCAATGATACCACACATAAACCTAAACAATAACTCAAATTTCCTAGAATTCATTTAGATGTGGGCATGAGGGGACTGTTTGGGGAGGATGGCTCTGAACTGGCCCCGGGGGCCATGGGGCTATGACTGCCAGACAACAACGTATCGAGCAAGTTCAAGCCTCACTTATAATTTTACCAAGTCCCGTCAAAGGAAGTGAAACTTTATCGAATCGATAACCTATCTGGATACCTGAAGGGACCATCTCCAACCCAATTTAATCTGATACTTCCGTCATAGGCGGTGTCCTACTTTTAAGGGGAAACACCACCGACGTCAGACCCTCTTCCGTGGAACGTCGTTACCGCCTCCTTGGGGTCCAGGTTCGTTGACATCCTAGTATCATCAGCATGGGGCAGAAGGCCTCTCTTCCGCAGCCTGGGACCCGGTTCCAAATCATTGGTGCAGGCCTTCCACGCACTGGAACAGCCTCTCTCACCATGGCCTTGGAAACCCTGCTAGATGGCCCAATCTGGCATGGTGGTACGCAAACCACTCTGGGCCCTCCATCTCAAATCAAGGCCTGGGGGAGAATTTTGAGACATTGGCTAGCTGGAACAGTCCCCGATCGATCAGCTGCCTTGAAACTCATCGAGCACGAATTAGATGGCTACGCTGCCATCACCGATTGCCCTGGCGGCCAACTTGTGCCCGAATTATTGGAACTGTACCCAACCGCCAAAGTCATCTGTACAGTCCGCGACCCCATCAAATGGGAGAAGAGCCTGGATCAAGTGAGAGGATTCACTTTAATGTGGTGCATCCAGGCCATTCTTCTGCCTCTTCCCGGCATGCGACACTTTATCTCATACTGCACGCTTCTACGCGACCAATGGGTGGAAATATACGGTGAAGCCATCCCAACACGTCAGACTTACATTCGACATATTTCCTGGCTGAAAGAAGTCGTTCCCGAGGACCGATTGGTGTTTTTTGACGTGCGCGATGGCTGGGAGCCGCTCTGTGAAGCTCTCGACAAGGAGGTTCCGAAAGACTTACCATTCCCCCACGTCAACGATGGGGACGCGATAGGGGAAGTTGCGAAATTGCATGTGCGACGGGGCCTCACTCGATGGGCTATTATTTTGACCTGCGTGGCTGCTGCGGTCGCATACATTGTCTAACGATTCATACACAGGGGGTGGAGGAGTCGGTTTGTTTGCGTGGGTCGACAACGAAGTCGTTTTCTGCTTTAGTTATACTAGTGACCCCGTCTCATGATCATGAGTCTCAATAGAGCTCCATCTTTCTAGCGCGCGACTGCGCCATCAATGCGAAGCTTTCTAGATCGCATTACGCGTTGCACACAATCATGCCCCCATCTAAAGCCGTCTGAAGCCTTCCCGACCCCCACAGTTCCAGCCCCTAATGCCATCTGCGCCTAGTGGATGCCTAGCAGGGGTCTTATTTTGATTTCAACCAATAAGTGCAGGCCTGAAAAGTAAAATTTCCGCCAAGCATGACAAAAGATGGCCCAGGTAAAATTGCACTCTATAACTGAGGATCATCTCCGTAATTCAGACTTGGTGGAGCTTCCCCAGATTATCTCCAGGTTTTTCCCATGGGGAGACGGGGTTTCTAGCTCCATCGCATCGTCTATATAATAGTGACCATCCATCCTTAAATTGGTCGATTATCACCATAACAATACTTCATTCGCCGGACTGACCCACGCAGGGAAACTACCACGATGATAACCAACATCTACATCATCATCACAGCCATGTCGGTCATAGGCGGAACGCTATTTGGCTTTGACTTGTCTTCGATGTCAGCCATGTGAGTCATTCTTGAAGATCACTCGGTGCTCTTGTCTGATACTTTCTCAGAATAGCAACCAACCAATACAAGTCCTACTTCAACCAGGGACCACATGGATATCCATTCAGTGATGCCCCCCAATGCTCGGATCCTCGATCATTGATACAGGGTGATATGACAGCATCCTGGTATAACAGCATCCTTGCCCGGAGGCTCCCTTATAGGAGCTCTTGTGTCTGGACTACTTACAGATGCATTTGGAAGAAAATCGTCGATTCAAACTGGCTCTCTTATCTGGTTCGTCTGCTCTCTCCACTTGACGGACTTTGGCGTTTCTGACTCTCGTATTACAGGGTCATTGGAAGTGTCATTTCCTGTGCGGCACAAAACTTCCCTATGCTGGTTGTTGGCCGATTCATCAATGGTATTTGTGTTGGAATCTGCTCTGCGCAGGTACCAGTCTATGTCGCCGAGTTGGCACTAGCCCATAAAGGAGGTCTTGTCGTCGGCGCGCCGCAATGGGCCATTACCTGGGCCATCTTGATTACGTTTTACATCTCATATGGGTGTTCATTTCTGGAAGGCACGGCGTCATTCAGGGCTCCTTGGGCTTTGCAGACGATTCCGGTTATTTTTTTCTTCTTTGGAATATTCTGGATGCCTGAGTCCCCGCGATGGCTCGCGAAACAGGACCGCTGGGATAAATGTCAGAAAATTCTGATGCTCATCCATGCCGATAATAATCCTGATGATGACCTGGTCCGAATGGAGCTTCAACGGTTGAGAGAAGCATGTGACATGGACCGCATCCAGTCTAATGTTTCTTTCACTGAGTTGGTAAAGCCGCCAATGCTTTGGAGGTTCCACATTGGAGTTTTCGTGCAGATCTGGTCTCAATTGACCTGCATCAATGTCATTATGTATTGTGAGTAATACGCAACTACCTACTAGCAGGTATATTGCTTGGGTATGAGTTTGCTAACTGGATTCAAGACATCACATTTGTGTTTGGCATGGCGGGGCTAAGTGGTAATAATAATTTGGTCGCATCTTCTATCAACTATGTCATCAATGTTTTCGTTACAATTCCTGCTCTACTATATTTGGACAAAGTCGGCCGACGACCCATTCTACTGATGGGCAGTATTTCACTCACGGTATGGTGGTTTCTTTGTGCTGGACTCATGGGAGGCTACGGCTCCTCGGCACCTCCAGGCGGATTAAATCACATCGCAGAGGAAAGTTGGTCGATAACCGGCACCCCCGCGAAAGTGGTAATCGCATGTTCCTATTTGGTGGTAGCTTCTTTTGCACCTAGTTGGGGACCGGTGTCTTGGGTATATTCACCAGAGCTGTTCCGCCTACGCCTTTGAGGAAAAGCCGTTGCGATCTCCACTGCCAGCAATTGGATGTTCAACATTGCATTGAGCTATTACACTCCTCCCGCTTTTGTGAGTATCCAATGGAAGACCTATCTTATCTTCGGCGCTTTTAGCTTTGCAATGGCGCTCCATGTGTTCTTTTGTTTCCCTGAGACTGCAGGGAAAATATTGGAGGAAGTTGAAGGGCTGGCTACTGAAGGAAAACCGAGCGCCATGGAAAGCTGCATCGCAAAAGCAGGATTTGGGAAATGGGGCGCTGGAATCTATCCACGCCCTAGAAAAAGGAGAAGAGGAGATTCATGTTGAGAGTGCTTGAGCTGATTCTCAAAGAATGATTGAGAAGAAAACTACTAATAGTAGGCTTATGACTTTCCAAAGTTCCGATACCTCTTTTGCATATTTTTGATCAAATAAATATTCGAGATACTAGTACTTGTTTTATTCTGACGACTTGAAAGGTTCATGTAATATATCATTGAATTAAGAGCGTGAATTCTCAGGAGGGTTGTCGGCAATAACCGGCGAAAGAAAATATTCAGAGTTGCTCTCGATAGGTCTTGGTGGCAGTGCAAAGGTGTAGCCATTTGCTTCAGTGTCGGAAATAAGCTCTTGGACACGTTGACGCTGCATCTCGTTTTGCACAGGACCCATGATCGTGCTCTAATTTGTGGCGTCACCAACCTGAATCGTCGATGCAGCCTTCACCATAGCCTCCAAGAATGGCTGGTAAACATTCTCGTGGACATACACCCTCTTTATGGCAACGCACACTTGGCCAGAGAACACAAAACAGCCTTGAACAACTTCCGATGCTGCCTTTTCGATATCAACGTTGGGGAAAACAATAGCCGGGTCATTGCCGCCACTATGAAACAAAAATTAGCGCAACTCGCAGTTTGAGGGGATGCAAAATATGCTTACAGTTCTAGAGTCACACGCTTCATTGTATTGGCAGCTCATTGCATGATCTTCTTTCCAGTGGCGCTGGATCCAGTGAAAGAGATTTTGTGGATATAAGGATGGCTCACAAGTGCAGGCCCAAGTGAATTATCGCCCCCAAGGACCTGGATCACACCAGGCGGAAAGAAAGGCTGCACTAGCTCTACCAATTTCAGGGTAGAGTAGGGTGTGAATGGCGAAGGTTTCACAATGATGCTGCAACCACTTAAGACTGCTGCAAGGACCTTTCCCATGGCTAAGACGATAGGAAAGTTCCAGGGGCAGATAGCGGCAACGACTCCCACGGGAACATGGCGTGTCGTGATGATGCGATGGTCATCTTCAATATGTTCTTCGGGAGCGCAATTGCAAGTGATGGTCAAATAACGAAATCACTTCATTGGCCTCGCCCGCTGCCAACGCGCGGGTCTTACCACATTCTGCCATAAGAAGTGTGGTGAAATCCTCGCAGTACCCTTTGTAAGACTCCTTCCACTGGCTGATTTTTATCGCTCTTTTTTAGAATGGAGTGCTGACCAGACTTTGAAGGTGTCATTGGCAGATTTCACAGCCTCTTCCACATCCTTCAAGGTGGCCACTGGCCAATCCCAAAGCCTTTCCCCTGTCGATGGATCATTGCTATTTTTGAATTCAAACGCACTCCGACATTCCCCATTCACAATATTGAAAAAAATTTCGAAGGTGGAATTGGAGCTTCCCATGGTCAGATAAAATATGATAGAAGAATACTGCTCGGTAATAAAGTATTAGAAGAACTGAGGGGGAGAATTAGAAGAGCTGTTAGGGATTAATGTTATTTAGACCCCCTATGAAGGGACTTAATGCGTGTCAAGTGGGATATAGTCATCTTTAGCCGCCTCCGGGAGAAATTTCGACATACTAGGTGTAGAATCCCGGGTAAGGACGGAAGTGGGCTTGAAACAATTACTACTACTACTACTACTACTACTACTACTACTACTACTACTACTACTACTACTACTACTACTACTACTACTACTACTACTACTGAGGTAATAATATTTTCTTATATACCTAGGTATCTGTAGCTATGCATTTCAGTTTTCGGCTTTCGCTAGTCTGCTACCACAGTTATAGTCGACTAAGAGTTCCGGGGGCACTACTAGTAGACGGTTTAAGATGGGAAAGGGCCAGTGGTGATTGATATATGATCATGATAACATCCATTTAGAACCCATTTCAGCTTAAACTTGAACTTTTATTGGCATCTCATATACATAAAAAACAACATTCCACTCTTAAGTTTTCTCTGTATTGTTGTCATCTTTCTTTGATCCTACCTCACGAAACGAAAGTCCCCAGAATGGATATCCCGAAGACACACAAGGCTATGACTTGACGTTCCAGGTTGTTATTTTTCTATTGCATGCTTGCATACTATCAGTATCTGTAGCATGGGTCCTTATATTTGGATCAACTTGTTCTATTTCATCTTCGCCTTCTACTTATTGAATAATATGATATCCATGCAGTAGGAAGAGTAAAAAGAAATACATCTGTTACTAGTAGCCAATCAACCTAATATGGGGGCATTGTATGAACTCAGGTGCTACTATTTATTTTCCTAGCTCCTTCTGAAATAATTGCTATTGGCTATAGCTTCGCGATCGGATCTCGGGCAATAGATGGGTGAAGATAACGTTAATTCTAGCCGAGGAACTTGATCAAAAACCAAGCACAATACTTCTGAAAGTCATACAGCACGCCGAGAGGCTAAAGACGGTTCTGAGTACAGTCTTACTTTTTGCATGGGCTCTTGGTGGAGTTCGATTCCTTGCCGACGTCCACAGGTCATGACGCATAACAAAGTATTTAAGAGTATCGTTGACTGAGACTGGGTGAGTATTCTTCTCGAGGAATAAGTCTATTACTGTTATTTGAAAGACTTGAGGCATATTTCCGGAAATTCCTTCACAAAAAATGACTGTTGCAAAGAACGAAGTGGCTTTTTCCCACATCTCCGTTAAAGAGCTACATCCAAATTTCGCTGCAGAGATTAGTGGTGTAGAATTCTCTTTCTGCTCTATCCGATGAGGTGTTTAGGGAGATATCCCAGGCAGTTACAAAAGCGAGCAGCTTATCAACGTTCCCTTTGTCCCGAAATTAACGAGAAATCCATTCTGTTACTTTTGTCATGCAATCGGCCTTTTCGTCCAATCTTTTTCTAGGGGCAAGGCCGGGGCTATTCGGGAAAAGTTCAAGGAATAAGTGTACCAAGCCTGATTCATTCATAATCGTGTTTATTATCTATCTTCATCCACGATTCAGATTCGCAGACAGTGCTGTTCATGTAGGATGAAATCGGCTACGAAAATCTACCGCAGGGTAACCAGCTCCTCGGCGCTAGTGGGGTGGATAGCAACACAGCTATCAAAGTCCTGCTTAGTAGCACCCATCTTCACGGCGACACCGAATCCCTGGAGCATCTCACCAACACCCAGACCCAAAATGTGCAGGCCAACAACCTTTTCTTGGGGACCGGCGCAGATGATCTTCATCTCAGTGGGGTTCTTGGCCTTCTCCTCAGCAGGCAGGACGTCATAGAACATGGCAGTAAACTTGGTGTGGTAGATCTTGATCTTGTCGTCGCCGTAGCGTTGGCGGGCCTCGGGCTCGGTGAGACCGACAACACCAACCTCGGGGTGGGAGAAGACGACAGTCGGGATGTTCTCATACGAGATCTTGGAGTGCTTGAGCTCGGGAGGACCAAAGATACGATTGCCAAGCTGGCGACCGGCGGCAATGGCAACTATCGCACGTGTTAGAATATCATGATTTAGACTGCGGGGTAGTCAGGTTATACATACCGGGTGTGAGCTCGGCCTGGCCAGTAACATCGCCAATAGCGTAGACTCCCTCGACCGAAGTGTTCTGGTACTCATCGACAACAATGTGGCCGCTAGGGCTCAGCTTGATGCCGGGGATATCAATGTGCAGGTCCTCGACCTCGGGGGCACGGCCAACAGCCCACAGGAGCTCGTTGACTTCCAGCTCTGAACCGTCGTGGCTGATCAACTTGATCAGGCGATCCTTGCCCTTGCCGTCACGAATAAGCTTGATCTCCTTGAAGCCAGAGTGGTTACGGTGAAGCTTGACACCAGCAGCATCGTAACGGTCGGTCATGGTCTTCTGAACCATAGGGTCGAACTTGCGCAGGAAGTGCTCGCCACGGATGAACATGTGAGTCTCGACATCTGCGGCGTTCATCACACCGGCCAGCTCAACGGCAATGTAGCCAGCACCGACAACGGCAACCTTGGGAGGGAGCTCTTCGAGCTCGAAGAAGCCATCGCTAGTGATACCGTGCTCGGCACCGGGCACCTTAGGAACATTGGGACGGCCACCGGTAGCGATCAGAATGTGCGGCGCAGTGAAGCGGGAAACGCTGCCATCCTCGTTGGCAACCTCGATCACATTGGACTCGACGAAGCGAGCGCGGCCGTGGACAAGGTCAATACCTTCGCGGCCCCAGTTGCGCTCATAGATACCATTCAGTCGCTTGATAACGGCATCACGGGTGTTCTTGAAGTGGGTATAATCAAACTTGACTTTCTCGGGGATATCATAGCCGTAGTGCTTGCCAACCTCGAGCATCTCGTTGATGGTCGCGAAGTTCCAGGTCATCTTCTTGGGAACGCATCTAGACAATCCGGTCAGCATGTACATCCTTGCAGTGGCTCTCTCATAACCGACGCAACGATACTTGGAATCGAAAACCTACCCTACGTTAACGCAGGTACCGCCAGACCGGCCACTCTCCACGATCAAGGTCTTTGCGCCGTACCAGCCGGCTGCGCGGCGACCGCTGCCACTACCACCGCTGCCACCACCCAGGACAATGTAATCATATTGCTGAACGTCGACGGGAGCCATTGTTGAGGATGTGTTGCTCTCAAGGGAAGGAGAAGAGGCAAAATGACGGGTAATTGAGGAAAGACGAGAGCTCGGAGCAGTTGAGAGCGAGGGCGAAGAGAAGGGCTTCAGGGTAGCCAGGGTTCGATTTACGGTCGGTCGACCGGTGTGAATGTGCTTGCTGGGGCACCGGAATAAGGGAGAGCTGCGAAGGCTGCGAGAGGATGTGGGGATGGAGCGGGAAAGCATGGAGGAGGGGTATTTGTATTTACAAGGAGGGGAAGAAATGAGCTGACAAAAAAAGGTGGTGACGATATCGGGCTGGGCTTCGATACGCGCCGAAATACGTGGACGCTTTTCGATGCCTGAGCGCCTGATTCATGTGATTATAAATCACATAGGGTAGCGCGCTAGATTACGAAGGTAGTAAGCAGTGAGGATTACGGTAGGCTCCGCCCGGGGTTTCGGCTTTTGATGCGTAATGTAAATGGAATTTCAAGTGTGTAGTAAATTTCGTCTTATGTGGGTTACTGAAGTATTGAAAGGTGGAGAGAAAGGTAAATGAATGTGAAGATGGCACTAAGCACCAAGTACTAAGGTATACTCTGCCATATAGAAGTATTGTTGCACTGGTAAACTAGCGCAGCCATGGCTTCAGATTTGTTGAGACAAGAAAATGTGAAAGGAATGGGTGGAATGTTTGGTCAAAACGAAAATCCAGTCTTCCGGAATCTCGATATAGTCAACGGAAGATATATGGATCCGTTAGAGGAACACCGCGAGGGTGAAGAGGGAGATAAGATGGCTCAGAGAGTAGGCGTCGTCAATCTAGATAGTGACACTTCGAGCAGGCCAACAGAGCGACGTGAACAAGATCGATATATCCATGAGGTGATGGGAGGTGTGATGAGATATTTTGTTCCCCAAAGCGGCAGCACATACCCGAGACTCTGCATGAAGTGGTTGGTGTCACTTGAGGAGGGTTGTTACTCGGACGTCCCGTGTGAGTGTTGACATGCCAGGTGTGTTCTCCATCCAGTGGTGGACGAAGGAGAGGAAAATGACATGGTATCATAGGCCTTGTAGGTTTGGACGGCAGAGATAATAATCGGCATTTCTGTCTCTAGACGGGGGAATGCGATGAATATGCCGATGTTTGACCACGACGACACTTAGGTCTTGCGGCAGCGATCGAGTATGCGCAAGATCCGAATGGACCGAGGTGACGGGGAGGAAAGACTTTGAGAAGTGATTTCGTGCCGTTGAAGGAATCAGATATAGTTGAGGCATTGCATGTATTGTACTTGATCCTTCGGTGTGCACGGAGACGGGGTGTTCTCTTCAGGCTAGGCTGTTCAGTTGAGGCGGAATCGGAATCTGGGGTATCCGGACAAGAACAGCCCACTAGTGGGAGTATGCGATGACAGCGAAGGAGATGAAGCAGATGCAGAGTGGAATATAGACGTTGCGTTCCATATCGGCGGGGTTGGAGTGTTTCATTGTTTGGTATGATCGAGGTGATGTGTATAAAGGAGAGTGTTTGAATGAGAGGGGAACCTCAGGTCATGCGGGAGGGGCGCTTCAGTATTATGATTGTCTGATGAACTTCAACGATTGGAGTGGAGCCGCTTAGTTATCAAGATGCTGGCTCTTCGTTGGGCTCAACAAATGACCCGTTTGACGTCTGATGGATTTCATTGGCCACCGCCTGATTGAGTGACGACGTGGTCCAGTGGCGGGCGCTGTTTCGTGCAGGGATTCACACCGCTACCAGGCAGAACTTGGCGTACGGAGTTCGTTACATGCAGTGCGTGATTTTACCGAGTGCACAGAGTACATTTGTACACTAGCTGGATCAAATTCCCCGCATTTGAGGGTGCTGAGTACCTGCAGTAGGGTATCCCTCAACCCCAGTGCACAGATACCTAGATCTATAATAACCCTAGGGCACCCACGAATAATCGGTCTGAACAAAATGCACATTTTAATCCATTTATCGTATCAAAACATCGCCTCGGCTACAAGATGTCGAACAGACCCCTTACCAACCCAATCGATCATGACTCCGTAGTTGTGCTCGGCCAGACCGCACATAATGCATCACCTCCCTAAGAAAGACCCTACTATCCAAGAACGAGTCCATCAAGGACAACAAGACCAAACGGGACGAGGGATAACAATAACAAACTTGAAACCACACATGATTAATTCTGCCCTGGCACGCGCACGAGCGGCCCTTGTTTACAACGCCTCTGACATTCGCGACTCAAAAAGAATGCAAGGGGATAGGCCAACCACCCCGACTCGGCCAATCAAGGCACCTCATACTCGCCTCCATGCCTCTGTAGAAAGGGGAAATCATCCTTGCCAGCCAATGGAGTAAGGAATTTCCCAGCACCGCGAAAGGCCCTTCATAGTCCAGCGCGGTTTAAGCGGACTCGTTGAACCTGGAACCTCCCTCCAGTATACCTCGACTGATCCTCGCAACGACTCTCCTCAACTCGACTCTTTCAATCCGAATATACTCAACGAAACGAAAATAACGACTTAATCTAAACGCTCCACAAACCAACATGCGCATCTCTGCCACTATCCTCGCCCTGGCTGCCACTCTGGCCGTGGGCTCCGCCACCAAGATTAACATGAGCTGCAAGTTCGCGGCTGATCACACTGGCATGGTTCAGACACCCTACTGCTGCCGCGATTTGCAGGCAAATGAGAACAACCCCAAGGTCAACGAGGCTACCGACTGTATGTTTGTCCCGCACATGTATTCGCCAATGTGTTTGTCGTTATACTAATTCCAAAAATAGGCAAGGCGTTGACACAACCCCAACTGTGCGAGGACCAGTCTCGACCCGCTTGCTGCTACGAGATTGTAAGTCAGACCAATTGGGAAATCAATGCCAGGATACTATTTACTAATTGTCATCTCTCCATGGAACAGGGACCTAAGAAGATTTGCACCTCGCACGTCCTCTTCCAAGACGCAAAAGATGTCTAAGGCATAGCGGATAGACAAGGCAAGGTCATGTTAGTTCGTGCGCACGAGTTTTCCTCGACAGCAACCTTGATACCTCGTTCAATGTCAATAATTTCCATTGAATAGATATCGGAATCACATAGCAATGAGAGAGTTCCTAGTCATGTATCCATGAAATCCGAGTCTGCAATATGCATTGTAAATGTAGTCAATAACAAAATGTCGTTCATATTTTGGCTAGTTCTCGCCAAGCCGGCCGCTACTTGGTATAGAAATGAATGCTGAAATGCAACGCAAAGACGCCCAGTCATGCCCCCCCCCAAAAAACAATGCTATGTACAGTCCCGTTTTGCAGGACTCAATTATGATGATGCTCAGGTAGATTCCACACCCAGCATTCGCTCCGTATTCCTCCGAAACAACTTCTCTGCCAACCCGGGCTCGTGGGTGCACAGGTCCAAGCACCATTCCGTAAATGGGCTGATGTCAACACCGGTAAAACGAGTATGCGGCCAGTCGGTAGCGTAGATGACTCGGTCGGGGGCGGCAGTCAGGAATTCCCGGGCCATGGCCTTGAGGTCACGCATTTCGGCATCCTTGGTCAAGCGGTAAGGGGCGGACACCTTGATGTAGGTGCTCCCAGTGCGAATCAGGGAGATTAATGAGCTGAAGCCGGGGAGTGCATATGGGTCGAAGAGAGAGTTGTCCTTGCACAAGGGGATGGGGGAGAGTTCGGGGCTGCCGAAGTGGTCGATGCAGAAAGTAACACCAAGATGAGGGACGATGGATTCGAGCATGGGGATCATCTTGAGCGACACATATACCTCGATCATCCAGTTGCGAGGGCGGGCAATATCGGCATGGCGTCGTAATGTTGCCTCTAACTCGCTTTGTTCCATGAACTTTCCAACTGACTGTAGGTTCACTCGTAGACCCCGGACGCCCAAGGTGTGCCATTCGTCTAGAGTCTCCTGGGTAATGGTATCCGGGTCAACCACCACGACAGCACGACCTCGAGAGGGGCCTAATTTGGCCAGGGCAGCCAACATGCATGAGTTGTCAGTGCCGTAGATAGAGGGCTGCACAAAGACAAGGTTCTCAACTCCAATACTTGACTCAAAGTTCAAGGCATCCTCGAGAGTATGGATAGATGGCTGGTATACGGCGGACTTTGAGATGGGAAACCGTTCTGGTTCCACGACATGCATATGACTGTCCCATGATTTCAGGGGAACTCTTTGCTTGACAGACAATTTGACAGGTGCAGCACCATGGGACGCACGACGATCAAATCGAGATGAAAGGACTCCAGTGAGCGAGATGCGTGGAGGGCTCCCCAGAATTTGAGAAGGAGGCTGAGTTGAAGTAAGCATGGTGTCAACAAAAGTTGATATCGCACATGAAAGGGCTCAAAGCAGGAACAAAATAAATGGAGAGAAAGAGTGAAGCCTCTGACATCCGCACTTACCGATGACCAGGCACTGATACTACTGGGTCTCAACCTCAGGGCAGTTCTGACCGGCAACATGCCGTCTGAGGGATCGGCCAACGTCCGCTGGAGGCTTCAAAGCAGGAAAACTTGAATGATGTAAAAATAATAATAAAAATCTGCCGCGTGCCGTTGACCAACACGGTTCGGAAAACAGATCTGACCCACCCTATTGGCAATTTATCCCGGGCGTGGGATGAAAGGTGGTGTTTAGAGAGGAGAAGGATGCGGAAGTCGTCCGGGAGGCAGGCTGGCAAGAGGAGTCGCAGACCTATCCACCTCGGTGAATGCGCGATATCCATTGCATATTTCACATTACCCGGGTCGAGACTCACTGAGCATCGGCTAAAAGTAATGACAGAGATAAGGCGAGAGAGAAAAAAGGGGTGTTGCCGTTCAGCGGAGCCTTTGGGAGAGTGGATGCGGATATCATAGCGGCGTGGTCCGACTGAAGAAGCAGTATAGAGCACGGTACTCTATAGTACATATCTATACAGTAGCGACAGTGCATGTACGGAGTACCGTGCACGACCCTGCGAACTTGAACTAGGATTCTTGAATGTATGCAGCCCAGGCTAAGCTAAAGACTCGGCAGCATAAAGTGGGCAAGTTGAAGTGTGGAAAAAGGGGGGGCAATTCTGGTTCGGAAGTTGACCGAGCCCACTCTTCCTGTTACCCATGGTCTCTCGGTCTTTCAGTCATGCCCACTGGCAGGAGGTGAGGAGTCCTTGCCCATAGCCCTGGGGGTGAAAGAGCACGGGATGCCGAGTGTGGCTCTCCTTTTTGCCCCTTCAAATCCACTTCTCATCGTTCCCTTGCAACCCACTCCTTGCCGTGATTTCCACCTTTCCCCAGATTCTTCACGCCTCCACCGATTCTTCTATAATTATATCTATAATTATAATTAAGTGATTCATCCAGATCATGCCATGGTGGGATCCGGCACGCTGGACTACTAGTCCCTATTACGCCATGGTGGTCCTGGTGATCGCCTGTGGTGGTATCCCTAAAGGTTCGTTCATTCGCTCTTATCATCTTACGGTGTGGCTTCAAATCAGAGATCGTACTAGTCCTACGATCCTGCGAGATCTTAGGATCCTGCGAGTCATTCACTGTTAAGCGCCACATCCCCCGTGTCCGCGTCCGCGGGCACTTTTCTTTGTCTTTGCTTATGGCTAGCTTATCACTAATCACCGATCGCTGCAGGTTATGATGAGGGTGGCTTTAGCGCAAGCGTCAAGCTCACCTCCTTTACCATCGACTATAATCTCGTTAAAGATCACTGGAAGAACGACGCCACCGGCTTAGCCAACCGGACTGCTAACATCACCTCATTCAATGTCCTGGGTGCTGCGTTCGGCGCGCTTGCTGGTCTAGATCTGAATGATCGCCTCGGGCGTCTGTGGTCGTGGCGACTGGCCGTGGTCGTGTGGGCGATCGGAACACTTATCCAAATCTTCTCCTCTGGCATATACGGCTTGCTCCTTTTCGCCCGAATCTTCTCGGGACTGGGCGCCGGCCTATTGACCGTGACCTCCCCGCTGTACTTATCGGAAGTGGCGCCGAGGAAGACGCGAGGTCTCGCCGTGAGTCTTTACATGGTGGTCCTGCTGTTGATCCTCACTGTCGGTATGTCTCTGCTTTTCTATACTGTAATATCTTCACAAGGCTAATTTAATTTCGCACTAGGCTTCTTCGTCAATTATGGCGCCAATCTCCACATGCCCGCCACGCGCACCCAATACCGCCTAGTTCAAGCCATCCCTCTCATCCCCACCGGTATTGCCTTCTTCCTCTCCTGGCTGTGCCCGGAGAGCCCTCGCTATCTTGCCTCGAAGCAACGCCATGAGGAGGCAAAGGAGGTTTTGGCTCGCCTTCGCGGCAAGTCAGTCGATGACAAAAGCGTGGTGGATGAATTCGAGGAGATTGACAACCAGGCACGGGAGCGAGCGGACCTGAAGTCCATCTCGCACTGGAACGCTTTCAAAGAGTCACAGACTAACCCTAACTATCGCCAGCGATTCTGGCTGCTCATGACCATGCACACGATCGCTCAATGGACTGGTGGAAACGGTATCACATACTACGTTACCACCATCTTTACCTACGCTGGTGTCGATGGTGCCGGCCAGTCGCTCATTTCCTCTGGCGCGTATGGTATCGTCAAGCTTGTTTTAACAATCGCCTTCACCTGGGGGTTGATCGATTATTTCGGTCGTCGCCGCTGCACAATGACCGGATTGTCCCTACAGTTGGCAGCGCATATCTACATGGGCGCCTATATGGGTCTGCAGCCCGGTTCTGCCGACAACAAATCCGCCTCGGATGCAGCCATTGCCTCTGTCTTCATTTATGCCGCTGGCTGGTCGATCGGTCTTTGCACAGTTCCTTATCTCTACGGCACGGAGATCTTCCCCACCCATATTCGCAACACGTGCTACGCCATCAGTATGGGTCTGCATTGGTTCTTCCAGTTCGCCGTCGTCCGCGTCACTCCCAACATGTTCGCCGACCTGCACGTCTGGGGTGCTTACCTCTTCTGGGCTCTCATCTGCACCCTCGGTCTCATCATCTTGGGTATCTGGATGCCCGAGACCAAGGGAGTTCCCATCGAGAAGATGGATGAATTGTTCGAGGGTCCCTGGTATCTGCGCTGGAAGGCAAAGGTACGTGACTCCGATGTGTCCTCCGACTCAGCGGATACCATCGCCTCGCAGGAGCATGACCAGAAGGTGTTCCGCGAGCGCGATGCTAAGGCTGTCCACGAGGCAAGCGGTTGAAACCGCCAATCGCTGTGATATTTCCAGCCCCGACATCTGAAATCACTTGATGGACAACTATACCAATTTTACGGGACATCCATCTGCATTCTTCCTAATCTTCTTCACCACCTCCGATCTATACGGCTCGTCTTTCTTTATATTCTCTTGACGAATGCTCGGTGTATAATTTCATACTATATATACCCTTTATCACCTCAAGTTGGATTAATTCTGCGTCGGATGACTACGCACATAGTACATTTTGCACAAAAGTTCCAAGGTTTCCAACTTGAAGGTTCAAAACAACACACAACATCTTGAAACACAATCAAATCTACATTTGCATTTGCGTTGGACTCAGGTCCACCAAACACCGTGACATTGAAAATTTTCCCCTCTCCGAATCCTTTCCAAGTAATTTGACGTGGGAGTTGCAGAGACCGTACGTACAATGTAATGAAGAAATTTATACGCCACAAACTGTCAAGCTATAGTATCCATCCCGATCCGTCGCTAGATTTTTGTCACAAAACAAAGATAAACAAAAGTCTCAACGCTATTGGGAATCATCAAATACAAAAAAAAAGGAAGTAACCAAGATCTCGATTTAAACGCTTTTCATTTTAACCCTGGCCCTGCCAGTTCGTTTCAAACGAAGCCATATTAGTCGCAATGGGCTGGGCATACGAGAATGCCTCGAATACCTCCGGGGTGATCTCGTACGAGCCGGGATCATCCACTGTCATGACGGCATTCGGCATACCACCTAAAAGGTGTGTTGCTGGCATCTGGGGCATCTCACCCATCTGTGAGAGGTCGAAGCCTGAAACGGCTTGTTGCTGGAAGGGGCTGTATCCGGGCATCATCGAGGCGGATGTATTTGATGCCGTTGGGTTTGGCTGTGTGCTCATTGTTGCACGGCTCTGTTGGCGCTGGTGTTGTTGGCCTGGGGAGACATGGCGCGAGGGATTGCTTCCAATCGAGGGAGATTGACTCGACTGGGTTCTGGAGGGAGGGGTTGGTTGCTGTTGGGGCTGTTTGGTGTCGGCAGGGGCAGGGGCGGAGATGCCGATGTCGATTTGAAGTTTTTGGATCTCTTGGTAGAGGAGGTTGAGAGCGGTCGTGATGACGGGATTTGAGAGCTTGACACGTTCCAGGGCGAAAATGCAGAATTTCAGCTTGTCCAGTGTACCCGGGGCGGCGTACTTGAGTGCTTGAATCTCCAGGAGGAAGATGGAAGCTGCTGTGTAGATGCTGTATGCAAGGGACAGGACAACGTGGTTGTCACCGAATGTTCTGCGATAAAGGTCGAACAACGATAGGATTGACGTTGCAGAAGACATGCACTGTACAAGGTGACTTGTGTCATAGGATTCTTGATGCGTCTTCAATAGGCCCCTGGAGCATAAAATCGGACGATGGAGCAGGATGTTGACAGTATGGTAAAGGCAGCTGGAGTAAATATGAAATTAGCATAATACCAAGGGCTCCGACAAATATGCAAACATACTTCAGAGTCATTATGTGGCTTGGGGGAGAATAAGGAGGCAAGTCGGTTGCCACCAACTTCAGATAGTCCGGAAGATCATCCCACCATTCACTCAGATTTCTAGACTGCTCTTGCACACAGTCGAAGAATTCTGCCTCGGTGCTTTGTCGCATAGGATCATATATATGAATTAATATTTGATTAAGGACTTCCGCTAGCCCACACATCCGCATGAAGCATGATGTGGAATGCGCCTGTGTGGGTGGGTAGTGTGCCCCATCGGGGAAGGTCACGCCATGCGGCGTCCATATTTCAATCTCAGAAGTATCATCCACTATGAATCAGTCAGTAATAGTCACCAGTAGTCATCATCCAGATGCAAACCCACATATCATGCGTGGCGGGCTGACGCGAGAATGTTGCATCGTAGGTGCCCGTCCAAAGTATAGCGAAACAATCTTATCCCAGAAATAACAGCTCCAGAAGAGTCGATTACGGATCTCAATATCCTCATCGCTGAGCTTTACTGCTCCGGGATATTTGCGACTATCAATTGAGATACCTAAATCATCGAGTAAACGGAAGGCCATGCCGCTGTAGAGCCAAGCTTGTGTCCGATTGCCGCGACCGCATTCCTGGGCACTGAGGAGGAGTAATGTTTGAATCGTTGGGATGCCCGCATAGCCAACTTTGAGCGAGTCATGAAGTCCTGAGACTGCACGCTGATAAAATTGTGCACCGCCGTCGAATGAGTCCAACAATGGACCTATTTGTGGCTCAGCTTTGCACCATCGTACCGAGTGAGAGAGCAGGGCATTCATTAGGATATCGGAATAATAAGGGCCTTGAATTTTCATATCACCTATCCACTTGGGTCAGCATCACTGTCCAACCAGAGATATGTATGTACTAAGCAGGGATACAAACGTGTAAAGGCTGGGCGGTAGACAAAGTTGAAAAGTGGCTGAATCCAGCACCAATGGGAATCGAGAAGATATTGAAAAGGTTCCTGCACGTCATCAGTCTCGCATTCGGATGAAAGCTTCGACATTGCAAACTCACCGGCATTGCAGCCATCTGCTCGAAGGCCCGTTCTCGCCATGCGCTGTTGATCAGCCGCTCCTTGCGGGCCTCCATCTCCTGGGCAAAGTGTGATGTCGAGGCGGTCTCGCTAACCACTCCACTGGGCAGTTGAAACAAACTCGTGGGTCCATGGAAAGAGATGCGACCATCATTCTCAACATTTAGGCCATCAAAATCCCTGGTGAGATCCTGGGTATCATCGTTCTCCGTCTTGATTTTGCGCCCGGCGCTGGAACTGGATTCGGCCACCGAGGCCGGCGAGCTGATCTTGCGGGCATCCACATCGGACTGGTGTTTAGCCAGGGCATCTTCTAATTGAGCAACTCGAGTTTCAAGTTGTTTGGTATATGATAAGGTAGGAGCTCTGTTGGGGTAACCAAACAAAAGTGGGGAAAATGATAAATCAGCCACCAAGTTTTTTTTTGGAGGAGATAGTGAGAGAGAGGAGAGAAAGGAAAAGAGGCAAACTCACAAGCTGTACACACACACTTCACCTCGAGCGGCACATCGTGAACATGACGGACTTGCTCCGTTACATTTGACCTGTCAGGATGATCAAATCAGTATACAGGAAGCTCCCTAGCTTTTGGGGCCCTTATAGGCTATAGGGCACCGCATCTCGGACTCTGGCCGATTCTCCGCTCACCTTGCGCTTGCGACAGGCCTCGCACGAGAAAGCACTCTTCCGCGGTAAAGCCGATTTAGACGACATGTCAGCCATGCCTGAACCCTCAACGACCATTGGACGTTCACGGGGCGTGTAGGAGACACGCGACCCCCATTGAAAGACTGGAGGGAAGGGCAGAATTGAGGGGTTGGGAAAGGGAGGAAGAAGGTCGAAATTCTTGGGCTTGGGGGGGGGGCGAGTAAACGTGGGGCGTTGGGCAATCGCGGGGATGGGATAGGCAGAGAAAGGGAGAGCGACCTCTCTCTCTCCCTCTCTTTTCGTGGTGAGTTTTTGGGGGATAAGATTTTACGGTGGACCTTTCACAATACACTAGCCCTCCTCAGTGGTCGTGAAGTGAGATGATTATTTTAACTCTACTAGTGATTGACGTCGGATCAGGTCAGTCCGGGTTAGTTTTAGTTTTAGTATTAGTGTTAGACCAGCTAAGCAAGTGAACGGATCCGCCAGGGAAATCTTGACGAGTAACCAATGATGGTGGCTGCTTGACTCCATCGAATGCGGCGATTTACCTCACAGAGTGGCAATGCTCTTCGCTCGTTGGATACTCTCGCCGGATCCACTTACTTCTAGCGGAACTTTCGACCTTTCCACCTCTTGACAGGGATTCTATGGTGTGATCGCGATCGAGATTGATAATCATCTTCATGCCGTTTTAGGTTATTGAGTGCAGGGAACTAACTGGTTTTGATATGTGCGATCTATACAATCCATGCCCGATAGTACAATTAAATGAATGGTGTGACTCCATAAACAGAGATGGGGGACTCTCTATCAAGCCCTATTTTCTGCCCTTCCCTTTACCCTTGCCTTTACCTTGGCCCTTGCCCTTGCCCTTGTCCTTGTTGCCCTTGCCATTCGTCTTGGGCGCATCCCGCTCCGCTTTGCTCTTCTTCCGTCCAACATCTCCTTCATGGCGCATCTTAGAATCGTCTAATCGCTTCTTGTCCTTGTTGCTGAGCTTGATCTTTTCCTTCTTCGTCACGAGGTCAGGAGGTCCGTTCAACTCCGCACGACCCAGCTTCTTCGCTGTACGTTTGTCCTGTTCGCTCTCGAACCAGGTACGCTTGGGTCGCGACATGATCTCCGAACCATGCTTCATCAGGTTCTGTCCCTTGGTGACTTGCATTTCGGCTTGGGCCATCTGCTTCTCAATCTTCTCCTCCTCAAGAACCTCTTCGACCTCATCGGCGAGATCGGCGGCCTTCTGAGCCCAATCATCTGCAATGGCCATTTCGACGACACGACTGATGATCTTGGCGCCATGCGCCTTGCCAGCCTTCACGGCAGCCTTGACAACCTTGCGGTCGGGCTCAGCCGCGATCGTGCAAGCACAACCGGATCGACCAGCACGGGCGGTACGACCGACACGGTGCAGGTAGATCTCATGGCTCTGCGGGGCCTCGTAGTTGATCACAGTCTCCACCCCCTTGATATCAAGACCACGGGAGGCCAGGTCGGTAGCCAATAGGTAAGCGACCTTGCCATCACGGAAGTTTTCCACACTTTTGATACGCTGGATATTCTGTCAGTATAATTGCCTCGAATGTAGAAAGGACGGAATATTCGTAGAGCATACCTGTTCTTGACTCATGCTACCGTACAATTCAGCGGCCTTGAGTCCCAAGAGTCCGAAGATAATGCGTACTCGGTGGACCTCCTTCTTTTGTCGGAAAAAGATGATAACTCGTTTGGTATAGAGCTCCTTGCACAGGTGCAGAAGATATCCAAGTCGCTTTTCCCTCCCGGCCAGGGCGTAGACGAACAAACTCCTGGGTCAGGGTCACAGCAGTTTGCTTCTTGGCGTCGACTTGCAGTCGCATAGGACGGTTCATTCCAACGCGAATCAGCTTGTCGATAGAGTCGGTCATGGTGGCGGAGAACAGCATAGTCTGTCGGGACTTGGGAATGGTCGTGAGAATCTCATTCAACTCATCGGCAAATCCATCTTCCAGCATGCGATCGGCTTCATCGAGAACCAGAATCTCCAGGGTATCAACTGTAAAACTAGGGGAGTTGCGCATGTGATCGATGAAACGACCAGGAGTAGCGATGATAACATCAGGGCGTTTCTTCAAGATGTTTTCTTGCTCGCGAAGACTGAAACCACCAACAAGCTGACAGAATGTGACATCGGTGAAGGTAGCAAGCTTGATAGCAACATTGTAACACTGGACCGCCAACTCACGAGTAGGCATCAAGATCGTGACACGGCTCGTGGGGGTCTTGCGAGGACGGAAGAGTAGACGTTCAAGAATGGGGACAATGAAAGCGCCCGTCTTTCCGGAACCTGTCACAGCACTACCAACAATATCCTTGCCCAAGAGTGCCACCGGGATGGCCTTTCGCTGAATAGGTGTAGGGTCTGTGAAGCCAACAGAGGCCAAACCACGTAGAATTGGACGAGAGAGGTTGAAATCTTGGAAGGTGCTCTTGGCGGACGATGCAGCGGTCTTTTCGTCGATCTTCTCTTCGGGAGCAAAGAAGGCATTGCGTTTCTCTTGCTCTTCTTCATCCACCTCGCTTTCGGCATCGGATTCTCCATCGACATCGCCTCTGTCGTCGGGGTGGCCAACGGGAGTAGCGACGGAATCATTGTCAGAAGCAGCATCGTCGTCGGAGTCTTCAGCTTCCTCTTCGTCATCGCTGTCTTCGGGGCCAGAGCCGGGCTCTGGGCCTTCAGCTTCACTTTCCTCCTCTTCGCCATCGACGCCCATGCCGAATCCATCCTCAGCTAGAAGCTCATCGTCGCCAAAATCGACGTCCATACCACCCTCGACATCTTCGTCATCAGACTCGTCGCTTTCTTCTTTTTGGGCGGCGGCCTTCTTTTGCTTCTTTGCTGCAGCCGCCTCCTTCTTAGCGTTTCGTCGTGTGATAATATCGTCGATATCCACCGCCTTCTTATCACCGCCATTCTGTTTAGTGTCGTCCAAGCCCCAGCCATCGAATCCTTCTGTGACGCCGACATTGGCAACACCACCAACGTCAAACTCGAATTCAGGATCCAGCGCGCCATCATCATTACCAACACCCATTCCTTCTTCCACTTCTTCATCCTCTTCCTCCTCTTCAGACTCGGGCTCAACGACCTTGCCCTTCTTGCCCTTCACATTCTTGGCTTGTTGCTTTTGCTTCTTGCTCTTATCCTTAGAGGTGTCGGTTTCGCGCTTTCGTTTCTTGTTGTCGCTAGCAGATTCTTTGCCCTCGGGCTCGATCTCTTCCTCGTCATCGAAGCGTGTGATATCTTCGTCGTCGGAGAGCGTGAGAACGAAATCGTCGTCCTGAGCGGCGCTCCGCTTTGTCGGTTTGGGAGCCATGGTGAATGTGTGATCAGGCGTCCAGGTTCAATTCCGTAGACGTAGGCTTCGGAATCTCTCTTGAAAGAAATTGAACAGAACCCAATTCCCAGTCAAGCTGCGCAAGCCGTCGGAGGAAATCTTGATCAACATGCAGAAAAAAAAAAGTTCCAAAGGCGGTATGGGCGGTAGCAATTGATGACTAAGGCATTCTTTGACTACACTCCGCAATCCGGTCTCCTCCAGAGAGAAGTATCAACGCTTCAATTCAATGCTTTTTATTTCTTCTCTGCGCAGAATTTATAATCAGATGGCCTTTCAGAGTGTCAGGTCCGAATATCAAGATCTAATCTACAAACAATTGGTCAGGCTAGCTCCTTTCCTCCACACCGGCCGGTAGCCCAACTCCTGCCTGCCATCAAGAGTAGACTTAGAAGCATCTAAGTCAGTTGAACGAAGGTTCTTGGTCCGCTGGCATGGTGGTCGCAAACCAAGAGCTACTGATTGAAAGAGTGATAAGACGGACAATACTTTCTTGTATTCACATGAATCAACTGTTAACCTGACTGTTCCCCGTACTAACTAGTCTGTTGGAGTATCCGAATTATCTTTTTCATCAGTAGTATGCCCAACTGCGATCCAGTATGGGGTTATGTTTCCACCGGCCCTCCATCCTACCTGGGCATTGCCAGTTGTGTTTTTTTTTTGTATTTTTCTTTCTTTTTCTCTCTTCGTCCTTTGCATCGTCGCATCACATCACAAATGTTGTTCACTTCAAAATTCCGGAGACCGAAGGGGTCTAGAACAATTTGGTTTCAAGCGAAATCCTCACGACCGAGCAATACAAGTGCAACATCAAATCACAAACTTCCCCTTGGGGATCATCTTTTGACCGGACTGGACGCCTCGAGAAAGCATCCAGATATTGAGACTAGATGATAATGGTCAGCATCGAGCTGAGGGGATCATTAGGATGAAAGCAAACACATACCGATAGCCAAATTTGACTCTTCCATCCTTGATATGACCAAGCTGTACAAACCCGAACCTTCTCGAGAGCCATTGTCTAACCCATGCATATTGACGGTCCCTCGAGGGCTCATACGCGATAGAAAAGACCAAGCTGGTGACATTGCACTGGTAAGCCTCACCATACTCCAACCCATCCTGTGGTATGAAGTCATAAGGGCGGGGTCCATCGCGTTTCCAGTTGGCATCGCAAGTACGCATGATCAGGTCAAGAAGGGCGGTTCCAATGCGAAGTCTCGTGCAGGTGCGGTCCACGAAAACTCGAACTTCTCCCGTCAACTCCTCATCATTGAATCTTCTGACATAGGCAAACCCGAGTATCGGAGGTTCGTCAGGACGTCTCTCATATACCTTGATTCGTGTGTCTGGAACGGCAACGACGAATGGCAGGCTCCGCTCACGACAAAGCTGGATGAGTTGAAGGATATCGGGCTTGGTGATTGGAGTGTCTCTCGGAAGAAAAGTGGTATTTTCCGCGTACCAGTTGAACAGGGCAATGAGGTCGTCGGCATCATCTGGTTCGCAAGGGCGGAGGACAAGATAGTGATGAAGCCGCTGGGTCGACGGCTCCAGAGTGCCTCGGGCTGCCATGATTCTTTGCGATTCCCGAAGCCGAATAATGGCTTTTGCCTTCATCTGAGTGCCGAAGTTCCAGCTGTATCCGGCGGCTGTCTCATGCCAATGAAGACGAGTTTGCTCATCATCGTCATGTCGAGTGCAGATGCGATGCTTGTCTTTCATGATTATCATCGAAGAAGCGCCATCCGGGCAGGAAGTTCCATCGAAAAACGCAGCGTGGTGGATATCAACTACCTTGCCTGGTTCCGGGAGACTGCGAATCCAGAGGAAGAACTGATCGCGAAAGTGCTGCGGATCAAGGTGATACTCAGGCCAAAAGCCAAAGTTGGGCTGGAACTCATGCTGTTCGTAAGCCTTTGGATTCTCGACCTTGAATTGGATCGACTTGTGGCCATAGCCGCCCCGAGGTGCTGAAGACAGCAGCGAAAGTACCCCATCTTTGACTATGGGGTATCTGGGAGGGGACGCTTGGTATGAAGTCCATTGACCGTGGTACTCGGGAGCACTAGATAGCTGCCTGAGCCAGAGTTGATGCTCGACCTGGGTCCAATCAGAGACGTCGTCGTCGTCGTCGTCGTCGCCGTCATCCTGGGAGGATGTTTCCGGCCGATGCTCTTCGGTCTTTGCAGCCAGGCGTGCATGCGCAAGCTTTCGATACACTCGATCGTTGACTTGGGTTCCGGGACCTTTTCTCGCCTTTCGAATGTTTTCCGGGTCAACCCAGAACACATGAAGGCTTGCGCAAGGTTTACGCTCACGGGCGTCTTGAGTGATGTGTCGATCAGCCCAACGGTTGATCTCAACCAAGGTCACAGCTTTTCCATTTCGAGCTGGATTTAGCTCCGCGACGACTTCCATGGCCTGTTTGAGCTCATTCTCTTCTTTTTTGAGTCGGGATTGAGAGAATGGAACGAGCTCTCCACGAGGAACGACAGCATCGGGGAGGGATCCGCTTTCCGAGCTGGTCATGGGACGCATGTCCTCCCCCCATGGGCGTAACATAGCCTGCAAACTTGAAGATAGGCATTTGGTGGGAGGAGTCGGCGGGAGAAATCACTCCAGTGACAACCAGATAGTCCGAATCCTCCGAAGGGGTCTTCGCCACCTTGGGATCCGCATCAGCCTTGGAGGCAGCTATGTCAGCTAACACTTGTCAGTATGCTTTCCTTTGGATTGATGAGAATCGCATCCCCTTCAATAGGAGACGCGGGAAAAGACGTACCTTTGTCAAGAGGTGTGAGTTTGGTCATTTCTCCACGCTGTTTGAGTCTTTGATCTAGACTCTACCGTGAACAAGGATGAGTGCCGTGTCCAATATGGATCACAGCCAAGGTAGATCACCTCACAATCAACCTCGTGAGCACTTTGAGATTCAAGATGAGCAGATATGGGTTTTGATGTACAGGAGAAGGCAGAAGGAGAGCGAATATCGAGAAGCAAGACTATTTGAAACAGTTTGACAACGGGAAAAGGATGTAGAAGAAAGGTTATGGAGAAGGAAGAGAGAGGAAGAGCAAGGTGTTGACTCTGAAGTGAGGTGAACTGTGAATGTAGATATGCCGTGCCCATAAGGGTGTAACCGCGTGGCACTACGACGCAGCGCGCCACTATTGTGGGTTCTATAGATCCGACATCAGTCAAGTTGAATCGGTGTATCTGCACCCAATTAGTCGAGCGACCGTCTTTATATTGTTTCTTAGCAATTTAAATGGTCTAACAATAATAATTCAAGCAGAAAGTTTACATTCTAGTAACCGTAAATAAACTCAAAGACTAGATGGGAGTGTGTTATGCAGAGGTCCAATCCGGCGGTTATGGGCGTGCACCCAAACCCCAGGAACTTTTCCCACATCCTACCAGCTTCCTCTTGCAAGATCCGAACAGGCCAGGAACCACCACCGCCATGCTGTCTATTCTCAGAAAAGCACGTTTGAAGGATAAAGAGATGCGCATATTAATGCTGTGAGTCCGTTTTCAAGATATTCCGGGCTGTGCTAATCGTGATGGCTTCAGGGGGTTAGACAATGCGGGAAAAACGACAATTGTGAAACGAATTATGAATGAAGATGTCACCTCTGTTAGCCCAACCCTGGGCTTTATTATCAAAACAATTGAATTTATGGAGTGAGCCCCCTTCTTCAGGCGTCCTAGCACGACTGGACACAATCATCACCAATGGACTGACAGTTTGCAGATACAAACTCAACATTTGTGAGCACCACCGCCCTCCCAAATCACCACCCAGCTAATTGCGAACAGGGGACGTGGGTGGGCAGAAAACATTACGCTCCTACTGGAAGAACTATTTTGAAAAGACTGACACATTGGTCTGGGTCGTTGATGCCACCGATAAACTCCGGGTAGACGACTGTCGCGAGGAGCTAGCTGGTCTGCTTCTGGAAGAGGTAGGCCCTCACCCTCCACCCTCCGTCCACCGCTATCGTTATCCTGAGAGCTAATCCCATGCCAGCGACTCATGGGAGCCAGTCTTCTGGTTTTCTTGAACAAAACCGATGTGGAGCATTGCATGACCGAGGAGGAGGTACGCGAGGTGAGTGATGGCATCATGATACCGGTAGAATCGGTAGAACCGGTAGAGACCGGCCAGCCTTGAGCCTTGAGACTGACTTGTTGCAGCGCCTTGGATTGAATTTGATCAAAACCCACAAGTGGACTATTCTTCCCTGCAGTGCCATGACCGGCAAAAACCTTCACGAAGGATTGGAATGGGTTGTACAGGATGCGAAGGACCGATTGTTCCTATATTAGCCTGGCCATCCCCGGGATGGCAGCTAGGCCGATCCTCGAGTCTTCAATGGTATACTACTACGATACTACTAGTACCTATGCCAGTACTATATTATGAGTTCCTTGTTTGCCCTATATTTTCCAGACTAGTACTATGACCGGCTGGAGTGGCCGGAGGTTGAGCAGGTCATGGTCACCAAGGAAATGGGTGCCCAGGCCCCGGTTGGGTTTCAATCTTCCAAGGTTGTCGGGAGCGACTTGAAGAGACTTTGATGCGGTGTAGCACCAGCTGCAGCACGCTTGACTAACTTGAGTTCGGGGGGTTAATCGTTCAAGTTACTACTATTAATACCTAGTTGGTGCCAGTGCTGGTTACCTAGGAATAAGCTGAAACTTCAAGTTCAGAGTGATTGACTTCCAGTGGAACCTCTGGAAATATATCGGGCAGGAGGTATTACTAGTAGGCAGGTCGGAACCTTCAAGATTCAGAATTCAAGAACTTTGATATACTCATACCTAGGTACTACCTACTAGTTCTCCAGGGCTTCAACAACCCTGGAAAGAACAGGATCTTATTTCCAAGGTTTGCAACCAGAGCCCCAGAGGATCCCTGACAATTGATACACTAGTAACCTTGTAGTAGTACCTAGGTATCAAACCCTTCCGAAGGTAGCTGCAAGGCACAAAGTGATAGGTCGATCCTGCGCCTCTAGTCCCACGACAAATCACCTGCGACTGTCAATTTGCCCCTGCGCCCAAGGGTAAAAAAAAAACCAGAACCGGAATTCTTGATGGCGGCCCATGGGTCCAGCAGTTCGCACTGCGGGGCCCGAGTGGATGGGAGTAAACAAACAACTTGACCTCGGGAACTGTCCACCTACGGCAATGGCTGGAGTTGTTCAAGTTGTTGCTTAGAGAAAGTCTAGTAGAAAATATAGAAAAAACTCATTGTAAAGATAGATATTCTCATAAAGCACTCCGTAACTAAAGATCCAATGCGTAAGCCAAGCTGAACGAATGTGGGATGATCATCGGAGCCAATGAGTTGCGATGGATCTTGACCATCCCCATTTAATTTAAGCAGGGCGGAGAACACACCTCTCAGCCCTCAGCCCTTGCACCTGGTTTCTTCCCGTCAACCACCCCTCCTCCCCCAGGTCTTCCCTTCCCTTTACTAGGGAAGTTGACACCGAATCATGACGACGAACCCCGACGGGTCTGAGGATGTCAATGACTTCCTCTCGCGCATCCGCGAACTAGGTGAAAGGCACGATAAGGAAAATGAAGAGCGGACTAAGAAATTAGAGGAGGAGATCCTCCAGGGGCGCAAGGAACGACAAGCCCGCCGAGCTGGTACGATCTTCCCCGTTTTGCAGTTTTCACTTGCAGTTGCAGACCTTGTCGACATCAACATCCACATCGACGGCGCGCTCGCTCGTTCTGCGCTGACCGCAGCTGGACCACCCCGCGCCGCGATGAACTGGTGGACCCCACACATGACGCCCATGATGCTAATGTCTTGGTGATGCTAGAGCGAGCACGATCCATCGCCGGGTCTCCCACTTTGAATCCCTCGAGACTGAGCGCCTCTTCTCTCGGTCAACCCTCGATCGAACCCCCCCGAGCACTTGGAGCCGACGGTGCAGACCCAGGACCCGGACACCGCCACAGCGGACACGGCTAGAGTGGGCCACGAGCGAGATGCCCCCGAGACCAGCTCGCGACGAGGGTCTGTTCAGGAGGTAGGACTCGAGTCTCCGACCAGGGCAATGCCCACCCTGTCGCGCAGCCGAACGGGAACCTTGTCATGGCAACAACGACCTTCGTCGCGAGACCTTGGGAATAAATCTCCCGGCTCGACATCCCCTACTCGATCCAGCCATCTGAGAAACACCTCTATAGCATCCGATCAAGACCGATTATCTCGTGCGCAGATTGCCCAAACCCTGTCCTCGAAGGACCCTTCATGGTCTCGACAGACCCCAGATCGAGGTGTCGGCTCACCGGCTCTTCGAAAAACTGAACACGATTCTGAAAGTGTGGCCGACTCAGGCGAGAGACGTCAAATGCCAGGCCCGAGTCGGGATTCCACGGTTGAACCAGACCAAGTTGAGGAAGTCGAGGACGCAACTCCCTCACCTCCGAGAACCGCTTCTACAATTGGCGAGAGCAGCTTTCATAACCGATACTCGAGTGTCTCTTCAGTATCGCCAGCGACTGGTTTGGGGTCTCCGGTTACACTATCAGAGGCACCAAAACTTGATCCTACCCAGACCGAGGCATCAACCGAAGAGCCAGTGCCTGCATCCCCCACCCAGCGGCGAATGTCACCAGAGCGATCTCGATCGACCTCGCCGACAAAAGGTCTCGGCGGTTTCGTTCAGAGTGCAATGATGAGGAGATCGGACAGCGTATCGAAGCGATGGAGTACACAACTTCCACAGGGGCTGAGCCGAAGCAATTCTATTGTCTCAAATCGCAATAGTGTTGCGGCTCCAAGTTTGACAGCTAATATTAGTGATATGACCCCAACAACCAACGCACGAGTGAGTCGTGAATCATCGCCTGTGCTTAGCCAACGTCCCAGCTCGAGTCACAGCGAGGCGACCGTGATGCGCCCAAAGGAGTCTACCGAGAGGCCTACAACCCCCTCAAACCCGGGGCCTAATGACAGTGGCCGCCTAGATGCTAGCCCGAGTCGACCAGCTCTCTACGGCCATTCTCGGTCCGCAAGCTCTGTGACCATCGATAGCCAGAACACTGAAGGCCCCTCAAGCCCCTTTACCTCGAGGACAATGGATCCCAAACGATGGAGCCCCCAAAAGGCCTCATGGTTGGAAAGTGCACTGAACCGACCCCCCAAATCCCCCAAGCACCAACGACAGCCATCGCAGCCCGCCTGGCAGAGGGACAGACAATCAAGGGGCAGTGTCGATTTGAGTCGTTTCAAGGAAGTGACCCCTATTGGCTTGATGCGGACACCTCCTCCTGGAGGTCATTTCAAAAAGCCCAGCATTTCTGGAGCCCCATCAGCTCTCGGTAGTCCCACTGCACCCAGATTGAAGGAGGCAATTCCCAAATCACCCACAAGTGACGCAGAGGAGGATCTGTCACCGACTAAACCAGAGCTAGTGGCTGAAGGGAAAACCCCATTTTCTGAGCTCACGCCTGAGCCTGAGAGGGAAGAGCCAGTGATCAAGCCCATAGCTGTACCTGAGCCTGAAAGCCAACCCGAGCCCGAGCCCGAATCTGAAACACAACCCGAACCTGAATCGGCCTTTGTACTTGAAGCTGCTCCCGAACTAGCGCCCGAACCGGCAGCTGAACCTGCCCCGGCTCCAGAACCTACACTCGAACCGCAACCAACTCGCAAGGCAGCGCCCCTCACTTTGAATCCTAAGCCCAACTTTTCACTCCCTTCGCGAGATCCAATGTCACCTCGATTTGCCAAGCCACCGCAATCGCCAGTTGTCGATTTTCGAGCAAACTTACGCAAACGAGAAGTCGCCAAAGACACCGGGCCACTGAAGGAACCGGAGTTCAAGAACGTATTTGGCAAGCTTAAGAAGACCGAAACCCGCAACTATGTTGCTCCGGATGAGCTCAAGGGCAACATTATGCGAGGCAAGGCCGCTCTCAACGTGACCGGTGGACCCAAGAGAACCGAACGGGTTGATGAGTTCAAAGACAGTCTTGTGAAGACAAAGGAAGCGATGAAGGCAGGGGGAGGATCGATCAGACGAAACACTGTGGGAAAAGATGACGAACCCGAGAAACCCGCTGCATATGTGCCAGAAGCCATTGCAAAGCGCCATCTGATGAACAGGACAAATACCACCAGACCAACCAGTCCTGAAAAGAGCTTCGCCGCGTCTCGTGAACGAACGGGTTCTTCAGCGACCTCTCCGGGATCCCTGCCGCCTGTATCCCCATCTTCCACTGCAGAAGAGGTCAACGCGATTCAAACTTATTCGCCAATCAAACGAGATTCCGTGACAATTGACAATGGGCCGCATGCTATCTCAACGCCAGTAGCTCAAGATTATTTGACCAAGGAGCCTGGGTCTGTTGTGGAGGCAGACAATAAGCCCTCTACAGAGGTAACCAGTCCGGTTCGTGGCCTGCCATCACTTGAAAACACAGAGGCTGCACCAGTTAGCCTGACTCCCAGTTTGGCTACTAAAGGGAAACTCGCAGGCCGCATCAACCCTGCACTAGCAGGTCTCCTATCCCGGGGTCCTCCAGTCGCGACTGAGGGGCCGAAGAAGGAGTCGGTATCTGTTTTAAATTCTGGTGAAAGTTCGCCCTCACCGACCACGCCTCTCGCCCATATTACGAAGAGTCGTGCTAGAGGGCCTAAAAGACGGCTACCCAAGGGGACCGTTGCTCCGCCTGAATCTATCACTCAGGACACTAAGGAGGTTGGTGCAATTTCGTCTCCCGAAGTCACAAGCCCAGAGACCGCTCCTGAGCCTGTAGTCTCAGAAGCCAAGTCGAAGAGCCTGTCAGAAAACACCTTCGTTCTCAATACTGAAAACGCCCAAACAGAGAGCCCCCCTCGACAAGCCCCTACCAGCCATAGCCTCCAGCTTCCAGAATGCTCTCAACAGCGGACTGCAACAGAGACTGAAGAACACTCCCCCGTCTCCCGTTTCCACGAGAGGGCCCGACATCTTTGCACCCAGTGCAAAAGAGAATGCGACTCTCACTCAAAATATGGAATCGCCTGGAGCTGTAAGCCCGCTGAGTCGGCCTCCCGTCCCGCCAAAGCATATCGCATCACCCTCTCCCTCTTCATCGCCATCGCCATCGCCATCAACACCTGCACCCAGGCCACAGTGGACCCAACAAGCGCGCTATGCTTCCACATCCCCATCCCCTCTTAGGACGAGCTATGGTGAGAACCGAATGGACAAGCCGCAGCCGCCGACACCAACGTACAAGAACATCCCCGGGGTAACGGTTGCAGATTCTTCACCCCGATCTAGTGGACAATATTCTCCCCCAGTGCCTCGCAAGCGGTCCGAAATTTCTCTCGACAAGCCTTCTGATCCGCATCGACTATCACGAAAGATGTCCGCGCCATCACTGGTTGCACAAGCGGCGGATGCCCGCGAGATCATCAAGCAGTTCTTTAAGACGTTCCCTAACCCACGAGACCGAATGGATATCGATCCACAGCTTATGTTGATGACCAAAACCGACAATACAGTGGTCAGAACCATGAAGCGCCAAATATGGGAACTCACTGGTGATGGAAAGCGACAAGAATTGCCAGTCAACCAGGAGTATGTGCTGTACGAGGGAAGCATGTATCTATGTGTACATCTTTTCGAAGCACAGAACAACAAGAACTCGGAAGTATATCTCTGGTGTGGAGACGACGTTTCGGAAGGTGCACAGGATGATGCGCAGCTTTTTGCTCGCAAAATCGCCCGCGAAAATAGCTGCAAACTCGAGGTCATTCGTCAGGGCAGGGAACCCATGCGATTCATACAAGCCCTCGGAGGGATTATCATCACCCGCCGTGGGTCTAGTTCTCGATCCAACTCGTCAGCTCTGTATATGCTCTGTGGCCGGAAGCATCTGGGCCAAATGGCATTCGACGAGGTAGACTATTCGCTGCGCAATCTCTGCTCCGGTTTCCCATTCGTCATTTCAGCCCCCTTTGGTAAGTTATATTTATGGAAGGGCAAGGGAAGCAGCCCCGAAGAAACCGGTGCCGCACGTCTGATCAGCATGGACCTTGGCCTGACAGGCGAGTTCGAGGAAGTTGATGAGGGCCAGGAGCCGGAGAGCTTCTTCGATGACTTCGCAGGCTCCAACGAGCCGAATCCGCTCATGACCTCAGAGTACTGGCAACTCAAGCCTAAATACGATCACTTCCGCACTCGTCTTCTCAAGGTGGACCATGAAATGGGCCAGCCGCCTCGTTTTTGGATGCGACGTCCGGGCTCGAGCTCACCGGTTGTTCGGCCAAATGATACGGTGCGAGAAATCGAACCTTTCTGTTACAAGAATATCACCGAGCGAGATGTCTTCGTTCTTGATACTTTCTTTGAGATCTATGTGTAAGTTGGCTTCTTGCGAAAGAAATCAAGGGGAGCCGAGCGCTAATGCCTTTATAGGATCGTGGGTGACCATGCGTCTCAGAAGTCGGCCGATTTTGCCTCTGCAGTTGTTTTTGCGCACGAGTACGGCATCCTAGCCGCATCCCTTCAGGATCGACCATTCATTCCGAAGAGCTTCATTTCACTGGGCGGTGCTCCAGATCGTTGCCAAAGCGCCTTCCGCAAATGGAACCAGCATTCTCTCCATGCTCCCTGTGTGTTCCCCTTGGACGTGGCGATCGAGGCTATTCGATCTCCGGATCGGGCGTAGGTGCGTTTGTTGACGGGGGTGGGGAGACTTTTCAGCTTCCTGCATCTTCTGTTGATCTATTTTTATTTTCTCTTCTTCTTTTCTGTGTTCATCTTCTCGTTCTTTTTTTTTTTCATGTGTGCATATTTCGGTCGGTAAAGAGGGCATTTGTGTGGGGAAGGAGTCTTGTCTTTGGTGTACTGGGCTCTAGAGGAGCTTTGGTAGGAGCGTCTGGGATGTACATCTAGAACTGGATTTATTTTCGTCTCGACTATGTGCACAGTCACCATGTGTGTACAGAAATATTCAATCACTTCACTGCTATCTTTGGTCCTTCTACAGTTCGTATACTCTCCAGGGCTGCTATAAGAGCTGTATAGTAGTATGAAGATGTACAGTATGTAGTTTTGATGCCTGTTTCCGATTGGCTGATATACCTCGGCCAATCACCTGACCAAGCGGACATGGTCAATTGGAACATTGTAGGGGCCCCGAGCTATTATTAAGCAGCAAACCGTTACATATTGAGTCATCACATTACCAGGCAGAAGATCAAAGGATGAGATGACAGAATAGAAACAAAAGAAGGAGGTGGGGGAGAAGTTGGTGGGCCGAATCCATTCGTTAAATGTCGCCATCCAATCTCGCGACCTTTTTTTTCTTTAGCGTGCCGTAGCTTTCCCTGTCCACCCCCCCCACTCCTTCCCGATTTCCTAATTTCTCATATCTCTCTACCAGAGGATGTGATAGCCTTACAGGATGCCGCGAGACCCTGTCCCTGATTCAATAGAGCATCTCCCTATTGCTCGCGAGCTGGGGAGGGAGTTGGAGAAGTTCGACCCCGATCTCCGATTCCGCGCAACCACCGACCATCTGCATCACACCTGGGCCAAAACCTTCTTCTCCCGACCGGAACTCTACATTCGCCCTCAATCGATTCCGGAAATCCAGCAACTGGTCACTGTTGCGCGCCGACTCCGCCGTCGCCTCGTGACTGTCGGTAGTGGCCATTCTCCCTCCGATTTGACTTGCACCTCGTCCTGGCTCGTCAACCTCGATGATTTCAACCGCATTCTACATGTCGACGTGGAAACCCGTTCTGTCACCGTCGAGGCAGGTATTCGATTGAGCCAGCTCGGGGATCGACTGGAGAAGGAATATGGATTGACACTGGCAAATCTGGGCAGCATCGACAGTCAGTCAATAGCTGGTGTCATCGCGACAGGAACCCATGGCAGCTCGCTACGACACGGCTTGCTTTCGGAGTGTATCGAGTCACTTAGCCTGGTCCTTGCAAATGGTCAGCTTGTGCGCTGCAGTCCAACCAACAACCCGTCCCTTTTCCGCGCCGCACTGGTATCCCTAGGAGCTCTGGGTATTGTAGTGGAGGTAACTTTCAAGGCTAGACCATCATTCAACATTGCCTGGCGGCAGGAACGCTATTCGTTGTCACAGGTGCTCAGCGAATGGTCCACTGGTTTGTGGACATCGCACGAATTTGTACGTGTCTGGTGGCTGCCATATGAGAAAGGTGCGATCGTTTGGCATGCCGACAAGACCGACGAGCCGTTGCGCGAACCCCCCCCAAGAATTTTTACGGCGACTGGTTTGGATATCATGTCTATCACAACTTGCTCGCGCTGTCATCTTACATCCCACGCATTCTTCCGTGGGTGGAATGGTTTGTCTTCGGGATGCAGTACGGCTTCCGAGCAGGATCAACTGTTACCGAGGCAGTCGAGCCCGCTCGCGCTGGTCTGCTGATGAACTGTCTATACTCACAATTCGTTAATGAGTGGGCTCTGCCTCTCAACGACGGTCCCGAGGCCATTACCCGTCTGTCGGCGTGGCTGAATGGTGACATGAAGACGGCTCGCATCCCGTTCTCATCCAAAGGCCTGTGGGTGCATTGCCCCGTGGAGGTGCGAGTGTCAGATTCAACGCACAACCCGAACCCACGTCCTTTCCTCGATCCGACCTGCCACAACGGACCCACGCTCTACCTGAATGCAACACTCTACCGGCCGTACCTCCGAGACCCGCCCTGCCGACAACGATATTATGAAGCCTTTGAGTGGCTTATGCGGGATATGGGCGCCCGACCTCACTGGGCGAAGAACTTCAGCGTCCTTGGTTCCAGCGAGCTTCGTGCCCGCTACGGCGAAGACATGGACGAATGGCTGACTGTGCGGCAAGAGTTTGATCCCGAGGGCATGTTCCTCGGCGAATGGCATCAGCGCACCTTGCCCCTGGTCAACTCGACGGAGACGCCTGACCGAGGCGATAGCCTACCTCTAATGGAGCGAGAGAGCGAACGTCACAGCCTGCGCATCAGCGGCGCCGGTGACGGTGTCGAGTGGGTTGGCGAACGCCGGTGGGAGCGTCAATCTCAGGACGGCGCAAACCAGGAAGACAGGCCGACCCCCGAGGTAACTGCATCAAGTCCAATGACAGCCACTAGCGAAGAAAGTTTTGATTTGCTTGCCAAGGGTGAAGCTAGCATTGTGCTCCCCGATGCCAAATTCGCTTGAATGGAAGGAAAGAGAAATAATTGGGGGCTCCTACGGGGCAAACAGTCATTCGCGGTGGAGTGGTCGGGTGAACGAGCCGACGGACCTGGAAAGGAAATGGCATTGTCCTGCTGATCACGAACACAGCCCTATTGGATGTGAAATTGGCTCGGATGCAGGGTGAATCACCTTGCTAATCTGCAGTTTAGGGTTTCTACCGTTTACTCGGGCTTATCTGACAGGTTGGGCCTCAAAAGGGGAGGGGAAGGGGGGGGGAATGTGGGGGGTGCAGATTGATCTATTGGAATTCGAGTCATTGAGATCTGGTCGTTAGATAGAATCACTGCCATGCACATACGGTTTTCTGGCCTCGTGGTCCACCCTGCCAATCTGCCAATTCATTTGGACCTGCGGGACACTAGCTGTAGACTGCAGCATCTACCAATGATGACCTGTCTTTCCTTCAGCTTATATGGAGTATGTATGTACGTACACTTCTTCACAGGGCGCAAGGCTGCAAGCAATCAATAATTCTGTTTCCTCTGAACTTGATCGACCAGGGGTTTTCGTCCCTGGGCACTCCCCACCTGAATGTCTCCAGGAATTCCATGAAGCTCGCTATCCACCCGGCTTCTGATCAACCGATGTTTGCCGGGGCTGAAATCAACAAATTTGCCTTCTACCAGGGAATAGACAAAGCAGAGGACTATAGATCCTGTCACACAGGAAATACAGTACACGGCCCGTGCATCCTTCAGCTTGACGTTCTTTCTTATGTAGGACTTCTCTTTTCTGTTGAGGAGGAAGATCCTAAGATCAAGATCAACTTGTTCTGATTAGGGCTGCGTCTTGAGTGATCCTGTGCACGAATTTGATCTAGCGCACTGGCACTGTACTCTGCTGCCTTGTTGCGTTTGTGTTATCCTTTGGTGCGAGACTGAAAGCTCTGGAGGTTGCTCACCTCAGCTGGGAATCATGGATATCCATATCATCTCTATACCACGGCTCGAGAAATGATAAAGAGAATGGTGATAGGGTGTACCCCTCTCCTTTGCTCTCTCATCAGTGCTCAATAATACCTATGGAGGTACTTTCAATACCTGCAATTTTTCCCTCGGGCAATCACCGTTCCTATTTCCCATTTCCCACTCCTGCAGACCGAATGACAACCCCCGTCACTCTCACACTCCCCCCGGGATCACCCATGGCCAAGAACATATCACGCCGTACCACGTTTCGGTGCATTGACTGCAAGGATATCTATTATCAGGTGATATTGTCTCCACCGTCATTGCCACTGTCATCGCCACTGTCACTGACCATGGGCAATAGTACTGGTAATGGCACACGCATGGACCTCGGCGCAGTCAGCGCATCCACCAGTGACTCGCAGCCTGACTCGCGACCAACACGACTAATTTCCCCCATCAGCAACTTCTCTTTAGCCGCTTTGATCGCACGTGTTTACCCTGGCCCTCGCGGTGTGACAAGGACGTTACGCCATCGCGATTGCCCACCAAATCCTTCGCTGCCCAAACGACCGGGATTCTTCTCTCGATCCACCAGACGGCTCGGACCGTGCTCATCTTTTAGTGCTGTGGGTACGTGCGTGTCCTCTCTTTGCCTCTCTTTCTCTCTATCCGTATTCCGCTCTCAGATGAGCAAGCTGGAAAGCATTGCTCCGAGTCTCGGTTCCACTCGTTAACGCGCGGGAATCCCTGCGTCGTACCTCCCACAGCCACAGGATGTCGCGAGACATCGAACGGCCGCACCCTGGTTGTCTTTCTGACAGACCGCTCCACGTCACTCTCCGGTATCTATACTTTCCCCCTCGGTCGCGGGGGTATGATCATCTCATGCTGCGGGGCCCTAGACAGAGCGAGAGTAGAGAGACCAGACGAGGGGGCCGAGAGGAGGGGAGGGGGAGGGGAAAATTTGACCCCGGCATTTCTTGCACTACGCCCTGAATAATCATGATATCAATCATACATACTCCAATACTGGCGGCTGAAGCCCTTGGGGTTCCATATCACTCACCCCGCCTGCTCCATTCTCCTGCAGGTCAGAACGAGCTTCTCAGCCCTTCTACACCCGGCACTATCTGATATTTTGCTTGTGCTCTTTGACAAGTTCTTTTTTCTTCTCCTTCCTTTCTCCTCAAGTCCCTCTGCCACTTCTCGTCCTCTTACCTCATTGCTTCTGCCTGTTGCCTCGGGGGCTTGCACGCGCGTAACTATGTCGTGGCAACCAAAGCTTCGCCCTAAGGGATTCCCCCACACTATTGACGACTTTGCGGTTGCCTCTTTCTCAGAGTTGGAACATCGGTCACGAGCGAGCGAGGATAAGCGAGATCAGCGCGTCTTTCGGGTTAAGCGGAAGCATGTCCTCAAGGCGTGCGATCGATGTCGCGTCAAGAAAACTAAGGTATGTTTTATTCGATTTTCTTGTTCTCGTCAAAGTAATAATGTCTGAATATTTCGTCTTAGTGTGATGGGAAACAGCCCTGCAATCGCTGCTCAGTGTACAACCACCCATGTCTTTTCCGTGAGAGGAAGGCGACCCAGACAAAGGTCTACTCTCGAGGGTGAGCCCGTACTCTTTTATATCAACCCATGCATGTATTCTTCGAATATCGCAAACTAACACAGACCATTGGTAACCGTAGATTCGTTGAAATGCTCGAATCACACCATTCCTTGGTTGTCAAGGCGTTACAAAAACTATATAAATTCTGCATTAACAACGAAGGTTTTCCTGGAGAGCCTCTTGCAGAAGCACCCGATGGCTACCCCCTCACACATGCCATTCTTGATCGACTTGGATTGATCAAACAGGCCGAGGAGAATGCGGACGAACCGGACGAGGACACAGAAGATTTGAGATATTTACGACTGTTATCCACATCCACGGAGTGTAGCGCTACTGCAGAGCCATCACCAGAGCCGGCCACTCCCCCAGAACCCTCATCGACAACGCTGTCACGTCCGTCCGCCTGCAGCTCAATCCCGACCCCTATAACAGGGCGAGGCAATATCAGATGGCAACCGCAATGGGATCTTCAGACTGTCGCTTCAACAAATTATAGCTATTCTGAAAGTGGATATCAGGATATGATATCCATGCAAAGGTCCTCGATCACCGGGACGGAGCTCGGTGCTGGCGATATGCCACCCCACGTTCATGTCGCAGGCTCATCATCTGCTCCAAACCCTCATTCGCATGACCCTTCGTTTGGATACTTTCTTGATGGAACTTGCAATTCGGCAGATAGCCAACCCGATGTTAAGCCTGCGGTTAGACTACATTCCGGGATCATGCCTGAGACACACCCCCACCAGATGGGCAATCTGCCCGGTGATATGCTGAGCGACTTCCAATATCAGGCTCAAGACCCCAACTTCTACCCTGGTTTCACTCCAGGTTGGGCATTTCCCTCAGGTAAACTTGAAGAATACTAAGGTCTCGTACCAACCTCTTTTCATTCGCTGCATCATCTTTGGGCTAGGCTGCTGGGCAACATTGGAACTTTTTTCATTTCTCATTGATACTGCAATACTCTGGGGGCTTTCTCTTTTTGCCATCTCGGTTTCCTATGTCTTCCAGGCTTTTTCTTTCTCCCCCCTCCCCCTCCCCCTGCGAGTTGCAATTGAAATTGTGGTGCGAGAGGGAAACGTCGTGATCTTCTGGTCTTATTCCACCCCCTCATCTCTTCTCACGTCGGAGTTTGGAGCCCGATATGTCAGAAATCCACAGGGAGTTATCTACCAGTCCAGAGCAGAAGTTAAGATACATCTGGCGAAATTGAGCCATGGTTTATGCTTCTTTATCCACAACCCCACAACCTCCCAACGCCTCACTGCCCCCTGTTCTCTTCTTTTCCGGCTTTCATACCCCCTTCAAGCAGCTTTTTTTTCCCCCTCTATTCATTTGCCCCTTATCTCATGCCAGGTCTAGTTTGAGATATGGGACACAACCCAGTCCCATCAATTTAGGAACTCTTTACCTATGCCTCTCCTGGTATACATCAGGTAGACTTGTGTTGATAGATGCGTGTCTTAGACGGAAACGGCGTTAAGGACACCTATGTATCAGCGAAAGACACTTATTGCCTTCTACTTTATCATTAAAACCTCGCAAAATCATGTATCTAGAGAAAATCGATTTCGAGTCTAAAAATTAGAAACCCGGGACCCTGTACTTCTTTTTTCGCTCAGCATTGATTTCCAAACCCGAAGCTATTCATTCAAGGAGACAAGACAGCTCATGTTCTGGTCGTTGGAGGGTACATGGAGTCGAAAGCCGGTACAGATTAGGGAGGCTGGTGCAAACTTACCTCAATCATGGCGAGAATAACCGGAATTTATCCCGACGCCAACCGATCCATCCCAACAAACAGGTACAAGCAAGGTGAAGACGGCAAAGTTGCACACTCTGCGCCGAAATCCTATGCGCCAGACGAGCCTGGTGTACAACCCAGAACCCAGGGCCCGAGCTACGAGGAGCTCAGTGGTTATGTTTGATCGCGCAGTACATGGTGGTAGTGGTTTTGGTTTTGTTTTGTGTATTCATTCCCATGTCTATTTCCGCCACTTGACGGATGCGATAGATGAACATACAGATTGGGAGGAATCCCAAGGACGAAATAAGTAAAATAAGAGAAGATGGATGGAAGGAAACAACCATAGGAACAAGAACACCCCCAAAAAAGATACCCGGTGAAGCGGCAATGGAAAATGAAGAGAGAAAAGAAAAATATGACGTTGGAAAAGAAAAAAAGAGTATTGAAGGGTGTGGCAGACGAGAAGCGGTAGCCTTGGGGAATCAATTCAGTTCAAGGTTGCACAAGTCCCCGGTACAATCCAGCAATCAATGCAAGTCAAATGCGATCAATCCTCATCCTCCGTTTCTGTGTTGGTGTCGCTGGTATCGCCTGCGTCGCCATCGGTGTCACTCTCATCACTGGAGTCGTCGGAAGCCTTCTTGGCCTTCTTCTTCGGGGCTTGGCCAGTCTTGAGCGCGTGCATCTGGCCGGCAATCGAGTCTAGGAGGCAAATGTTAGTATTAAAGTTTTCGGTCTTGAAGAACGTCGCCTGCAGCGGGTCATAACTTACCCTCATCCGGTTCGCTGATGTCGTCGTCCTCTTCCAAGGCTGCCGCCTTGGCGGGATCGTCAATGTGCAGAGTCACTTCCAATTTGGTATCGAGACCCATATAGCTGTCACAGACCATGTTCATAACAAAGTTGAAGTCACCGACCTGTGGTGGGGCTTGGAACTGCATCTTGAGAGTCTGCATGTTAAAGGTGGGCTTGCCGGCCTCATCGAGGATGGGCTTGTCGAAGGTGGTGAAAGTGAAGGGAGGAACAGCCATTTTGCCTTGCTTGGAATCGGCGAGGAAGATGTGCCAGCGGGGGGAGTGATCGCGGGCAAAGTAGGGGGCGTGGGCTAGAGGCGGTTGGATGGTCTCAACCTTGTTCTCAACCTTCTTGCCATCCACAAGCTTAGTAGCGCGGTTCTTAGCCGGCTTGCGGCCCATCAGCGCATCCAGATCATCCTCATCGGGGTCGATGTCCTCAAGGTCCAGCGGGTTTACGGGCGGCACATCTGTGCATCCCGGAGGAACGAACCGAGCCTTCACGACCAGTTGTACCAGACTGCTGGGCGTGATAACCTTCTCTCCCATGACTTTGAAGAAGGCCTTGGAAACTTCCAGAGCAGGTAATTGTTGTGCGACCGAGATGGCATCGTTATATTGCTTTTCAGACAGGAGTCCAGCACCGACAGTAAGTTTACGTCGTTCGGCTTCGGGGATCTTCATGAAACTTTGGACATTCAAGTGGTTCTTGGCGTGTTCTCCCTCCACGGCCTTGACCACGGCGTTAGTGAAGTTGGGAAGTTGCAGGAGCGGCGAGGCGCCCGGGGGCACCGCCTGGATCAGGTTCTGAGAGGTCTGGAAACCACCAAGGATAGGTCGAAGATTGCCGAATGCCAATGAGATAGCAGTGAATGCCTCGCCCAAAGAGAGAGCAATGGGAGCTGCTTCGTATTTTTCTATATGTCCATTACTCATTAGCATAATTACTCAACAAGTTAGACATGTTGCTAGAAACTTACCCGAGTCAAGCGAGGCGTCGCCAAGGTCGATTCTTTCGAGATAGGCCCACAACAAAGCAAGAGTCTTTCGTCGCACCGAATCGTCTAATTTCTTGATTGTCTCACGGTCATTTGCCAACAGCGAAGAGTCCTCGGCCAAAACCTTTGTCTCCAGCTTGGCGAGGCCAGTCTCAGCCCGAGCACCCTTCAGCATATCCTTGAACTCTTCACCGGAAGACAGGGCACCGACAATACCACCGTCCGAGATGTCATCCTTGTACTCGCGGAAGATGTTTCCAGCACTAGCGATGAGAACACGCTCCTTGGTGTAGCGCTGAGAGCCGTACCACCACTTTCCAACGATATATGGCAGCAGGACTCCCAGAAGAGCTCCGTAGACCAAAAGCACATACTTGCCGTTACCCTCCATCACAATGAGTTTAGGAAGAGCAATACCAATGCTGAAGCTCTGTTTGCCGTCGGGGTGGCCAAACTGAAGGTAGTTGTTGCGAATTTCCTCGTCGGTTAGGGCCTTGTAGGCCTTGGTGAGCTCGACGAAACGCTCGTTAAGCATGTCCATAGTCTCATTTTTGGCGGGGTCAGGGCGGATTTTGTCAGGGTGGTAGATCAGGGAGAGACGCTTATAGTGGCGGGAGATGGCTTTCTCGTCGGCGCTCTATACCACCGAGTCTTGTTAGCAATGAAAACTTTCTTTGTGGAATCTGTCCTCAGCAGATGCGCCGGGGGGGCCTCAGAACATACCCGCGAAACACCCAAAATATCATACGGATCGTACATCTTTGTGGTTGACCTGGCCGTAACAAGGATCAGGTAAACCATCCATGCCATCACGATATATCCGACAATGACAGTAATGATGCGCTTGATTCGGCGCTCCTTGCGCAGACGCTTGCGCTTTTGTGCCTCGACGAGGTCGGCATGTTGTGGTTTGAAGTCAGATTTGATGCGGGGTGCGGTGTTTTCAAGATCTATAAGGGAGTATGTCAGTTTAGGAATAGAGCATATTTCTGAAAAATAGCGAGGCAAAATGTTCCATCGACGTACCTTTGCTGGGGCGGAGGAGGTTATAGGTTAAAGGGAGGGTGACCAGGCCACTCAAGGTCAGGATGAAGAAGGGGAAGAATTGTCCCTGCAAAATCACCAAAGTCCGCAGTTAGTATGTTTTCGAGTATCATAGCATCACAGCAGAGGTTGATTGCCTGACCTGTTCATCATAGGTGTAGTCTGATGACATCTTGCGGCGAAATTAGGGCGACAGCGGGTGCCGCCGCGGGATTTTAAAGATCGTAAGGTGCAGGGTTCGAGAGCAATCGAACAAGTGCCGGCGTGAATTGATATTGGCAAAGATAAGGAGAGCTTAAACCATGGGGACCGAGTGCATAGCGGAAGAAACCAAAAGAGTGATGAAAGGGAGCATCCACAAAGCTTCCTGATCTGGTGACGACCGTGTCCTCTTGAGTTCACGTGAACCAGGGACGCGGCAGTTTGTGGGGGCGGTGAGCGGTGAGCGGCGGGAGGGACCCTGAATACATAGTATTGGATATGTGCAGATGCACGGAGTACAGTCTTACGAGGTTAGTGGAGTCGAATTATTGATTCTGCTCAAGATGGGTAGCTCTGTCGATTCTAAATCCTTCGAAAAACATCCTTATATCTATGAACCTGGGGAACAGCTACTCCAGTGAGGGTACAATACTAGATCTACAGTATACCCAGCAACTATGACTCCGAATACTACTCCTACTACTAGTAGGATTTGAAAATTTGATGTAGATGATAATTGTTAACTTATCTGGGAGCTAACGGTATATACAGGCTACTACTGAAATTTACAGCAAAGACCAGGTATTCACCCCGCAGAATCATATATTTTCCGTCGATATCCACTGTATGCGGCGGCCTGGAACCATCCGGTGCAGGTGACAAAATAGAACAGATCGGCGTGCTTAGAGACGTGTGTCACGCTGTCTCACTAGGCTCAACCAGGAACTCAAGTGTCAACGAGTGATCGTTCAGTCGGACACGAATTCAACCGGTAGAGTCCAAGCGGGAACGGCTGTGACTCATCCCTCAAAAGGCGCAAATCGCAAACCAAGATCCACATGGCCGGGTCGGAGAGGACCAATCCAATACCCTCGGAGAGGAGTATCTTCATTGCTACAAGTCGGGAGACCCGCAAAAGTCCATGGGATTAGGTGTTCTTGGTACGTCGGCCGGGCTGTGTGGCTGTAGGCGCGCGGTGGCTGGCAGGAGTACACTTTGCTTGCTTCGTGTGCAGAAGGTGTTTCCTTTGGGCCAATATCTCGGCGGTATTTTTGTTTTCGTAGATGAAAATCATAAATCATCGCAATCGAGTAAAGAGTTTTCTTTTTTTTGTTTTGGAGCTGGGAAAATGGCCGGGCGGTATCATCGATCCACCGGGAGCGAGCTCAGCGATCAATCTCCAAGCGTGCTGTGACGAGTGCTGCGGCGTCTGAGTCAGATGGGTATTCGATATCCTAAAGTCAACAGGTGATCGGAAACTTACGAGTCGATGTAGTCGAGGCCGCCGAAATACTCAAGCATTCGATAGCAGAGGCTCACATCGTCGCCTGGCTCACCGCCGAACAGACGACACTGTTCGGCTTCCAACCCTCCATTCGCCCGTGAGACATTGTCACGGATTTGCCAGGCCGTATACCCAGAGTGCCAGGTTGGGGCGAGGTTTGCGGGGACCGGCGATCCAGGTGAAATGCATGCGGGGGTGGTATAATTGGTGGGAGGTGATTCAGAGGATATAGATGGCGATGGCGAGATCCAGGTCGAGGATGGGACCAACGAAGGCGAAGCCAGTGGCTGGAGAAGACTCGTATTGGCGTATATGCCGTGACTGTCGCTGGATTGATTGCGAGACCGTGGTCGAGTTCGGCGTCGATTATGCCTCTGGCCCATTCTCAAAAATAGCGGGAGATCCAAATATACAAGGGCTGGAAGCTTTCCCAGCTGGGTATCAAGTGTCAAGGAAAAAGAAAAGAAAAAAGAACTTTTGGAGGGGAGCGACCATCACCTCCTAGAAAGGACGAGATGAGGTACTGAGAGAAAAAAAAAGCATTGGATGCGTTGCAGGGGTGGGGAGGATTTATATGGAGTAGACGATGGAGTACGGAGTACGGCAGCAGGGGAGAAAGTGAGTCAAAGGATGTCGACCCACTCTTCTCGGCAGTGGAACCCCCGAAAAGTCGATCATCTCATGCCTTAAAAAATGGCGCCAAACCCTGGCGCTAGGCCTGGCAAAGGCGTGATGTGCTGCGTCAGTCCTCAGCCCATTCGCGTGATGCGATTTTAACTGGTTGAGGTATTTGGCGCAATCGACATTCTGTACAGCGGTTGAAGTAATGAGGTGATGCCTTGCGCCATTGACAAAGTTTTTTATTTATTTTTTATTTTTTATTTTATTTTCCATCTGTGCGACCTGGCACTGGAATGTCTGAAAGCAAAGAAAGAAAAATCTCAATCAAGGGATGACGTGCCAAGATCGTCTGGACTGACAGCTCTTTCTTCTCCGATGCCGGTGGGTGCCGTGCGGACCGAACGGAGATCGTATCAGGCAACGTAAATCCTCTTCCCCTAAACATGAAAGGGGGAAATACAGCACGGAACCAACTAATTTGAAAATTCTGATTAAGCATTGACCAAATTCGGAGATGGACTCGCCAGGCTCCGAGCTGGGCAAACGCTGGGCTGCTTATGACTCTTGCTGAAAAATCTACAAACCCTAACCCCGATCTCCGTTGCCGTGATCCGGCCATAAGGCTTTACCAGAGCAGGTTTAGACTTGGGCTTAGAAGACAACCCGAGCCTGCTTACTCTACTGGCCGCTTCGGACTAAGTGCAGACAGCTCCGAACAAAAATGGAATACTCTTCGATGCCCAAAACCAACCTCCTAATGTGGACCACGCTACGTAGCCCTACCATCCTAACTGGAGCATTCCTGAAACCTGCTGGAGCTCCCATTATGTATTATGTACCCCATCCATTCCACTATTGACCGCCCCCATTCTTGAATTGAAACCGACCCACGCGTTGCGCCCAAGAGGGTCCCCATCAGAGAAAGGCAAACATCTTGATCTCGATACTCTCCCTTGCAGGGAGCGTCTCTGTCTCTGGTACCACAAACGCCGTGTGAGGCAATGTCATGCCTCCTTCATCTGCCTGCTCGCTTTCGCTGTCGAACTGTGTGAAGATCAATGCCTCCTGCGGTTGCTGCTCGCTAAGATACCACCATTCCTGACTCTCCCGAAACGCATATTTGCCCAGCTCATGCCATCCATGTGGCAGCACCATGCGATTCGCAATTCGGTCCTCCTGCCAATTGAGTGTGGCCCAGTCGCACACGGCTAGAGGATCTCGTTGGACAGTCTTCAACGGTCGCCAAACATTAATGGCCAAGATTCGACCCTTCAACAGCTCCTCCCTGTCAGCTGCATCTGGAACTACCGACTCCAAATTGCGCAGTGCTCCCGCAGGCGTGAAGTCGGAATGCACACTATGGGCCGGGGCCCGGTTATTAGCGAGCAATGCCTCGTCCTCACTGAGGCATCGCACGCGATGGGCGAAAGTGACAGTTCGCGTGGCGCCCGTTCTGGACCAAATGATCAGCGACAATTCCCGTTCCAGGTAAAATTAGAAGGCACATTCCTTTCGGACGTGCATTCCAGGCGCTCTCTCTCACACACCCACACACTCACTCACTCACATCTGTCGCACGAGGGCCTCTGTTTTAGGAACAATGACATTCTCCACATGGCTCTGCTCTGCCACGCCTTCGAGCTCTGGCATGTCATGCCACACATACTGAAACCCGTTGAGTTTTAGATTATACTGCGCTTCTTTTCCGCGAATGTCCTGTACAAGCACGGTTCGGCTCTCGTCGGCTTCGATCATCGTGGCCATGCACCTCTCCGGCGCCATCTTTGTGAAATCCACCTCCATACTCTGGCTCTCGAGCCTCTTCCAGAAGACCAACTCGGCCTCCGCATTTTTTGGTTGACTCATCGGATTGGAGAGTGTTGGCGTTGGTGTGACTAATGCAGAAAGCTTCTAGTTGACGAAAAGCGTGGCTTGACCCGGTGACTGGAATGTTGCAGGCTGGATATTTCCAAAACTAATCGTGTTGCGGGGAGTCGCAAATATTTGAATGAATAGAACCCTCGGCCAGTAATTGGGCCGGCGCATGTGCATAACTCAGTGGGTTTGCTTCATGGCCTGTCTAAAGGGGGGGATTTGGAGTAAATCCCCTTATACTTTGGCCTTTTCCTACCTTTTTAGGGTTTTGGTACGAATACGAAGCCGAACCCGAGATGTTGACGTTTTATGCAAAAATCGCTGTTTATCAGTGGGTCAACGTCGTCATACCCGGGCCAATACGACAGTCGCCTCCCTGTGAATCACAGTAGTGTCCACGGGTAGTAAGTCGTCAAGATTGAATTATAAAGTTAGCAACTGGTCATCTTAACTTCGTGTGATGGTGTTCCGTAACACCTTGTAGCTGAGGAACGGTAACCGTGGGCTCTTCAAGAGGCCAGAAAGCGCGCTTAAATTGTTTGTACGGTGAGATACTCTCGAATTGGATTTCACCTTCCAGGTCATGAAACTACCTTCCAGTGCTAGTATTTCAAATACTAAAGGTTCAAGTTGAGACTTTGAAAGTTCTAAGTCGATCTATTGCAAGATCGAGGTTGACTACCACTTTCCCTTCTCTGTCCGAGAGGTCCTTCCCCACTGGTCACGATGTTTAGGATTCGGGTTGAGTGCCACTACTTTTGTTGTGATACATCCTGTACTATTACTACTACTACTACTACTACTACTACTACTACTACTACTACTACTACTACTACTACTACTACTACTACTACTACTGATACCCCAGGTGGGCCCTTACACAGCCTACCTAGGTAGATCCTTACTAGGAGTACTATATTAGTAGACATTATCAAATTGAACAAAATGAATAACTAGAAACTGTCCGAAAGGTATGAAATTTGGTAATCTATGAATTATGAATGAAGGATACTAGCAATAGGTATATTGCTCAGATTCTACGAAGACCCACGAATAATTGCAAGCATCTCATCGCCTTTAGGCGCTGTGGTGAGATTTTCATATCCATTAGCCGTCACGAGAATATCATCCTCAATACGTACGCCGCCAATAGGAACATATTTTGCTGCCACGTCAAAATCAATGTACTTTGCGAATGGCTGTTTGCGCGCATTCGCGAGAGCCAGTGGCGAGAAGTAGAGACCTGGCTCTACAGTCAACACCATACCCTCCTCCAGCAATGGTGCTGAGACTGTACATGGTGAAAGATTATAGGGACTCAGAACCGGGCCATATTGCTCGTGGTCAAAATCTGGATGCATAGCCATGATGGAAGATTCGGAGACATCATGAACCTCAAGTCCGACATGGTGACCCAGTCCATGGGGGAAGAAGACCTTGGAGGCACCGGACGCGCGAACCTCCGCGTGGTTGCCGCCTTTGAAGACTCCAAGGGCCAAGAGACCATCGATCGCAATGTCATGCGCCAAGTCGTGCAGAGATAGATATCGGGTACCTCTGCGGATCTGTTTGATACACTCCTCCTGCATTCGCTCCACTAACTTATAAATGTCCCGGACATATTGGTTGGGCCATTCTCCAGTGAGCGGGAATGTTCGAGTCACATCACTTGCATAGCAATTCCACTCCGCGCCAGCATCAAGACATACAAGAGGTTTCTGGTGCAAAGACTCATTATTCCGGTCGTAGTGAAGGACTGCCGCGTTGGGACCCGATGCCGCGATAATCTGATATGCTTGGTTCCGAGCACCGTGCGAAATACAGGTGTCGAGGAACAGCCCTTCAATCTCCGACTCGTTCGACATTTTCGTGATACGTTCAAGAATTCGACGATGCGCTAGGCTCGAGACTTTATTGGCTTGACGAATCATGCGAATCTCATACTCGTCCTTGACACCCCGAGCCGCATCCATGGCAGGCATGAGTTGTTTTGTGTTCAGCGGGAGCTCCGTCGGTAGACCATCGGGGGTCTCTGATTCGTGGACCATATATAGAGAACTGTTCTGGACTCGTTGGCTCAGCCATGATTCCAGCTCGGGCTTAAGTGACGACTGATAGAGGACACGGTCGATATCATAGCGATCTTGGGCATCCTCTCGGGAAAGGGTCGGGCCCATCCATATCGCGCGGTGTAGATCGAAGTCCGGAACATACAGGGTCAACAGATCCAATGCGATGTCGTATGTTAGGGTGCAATCGGGCTCATCCACGCCACTGAGGTAATAGAAGTATCGTCGTTGACGGAACGGTCGCGCTTGGTCCGAGTCACGTAGGTTGATTGTCGGTTGACCGGCAAGGAAAATCAAGCCATGAGAAGCGCCGAGCTTGCGGGCGACGTTGCGAGCATGTTGTTTGGCTATACAAGGAGGGTATGCGATCAGCCTCGGGTCGGCGCGAACACCGGGGAGAGAGGAAAAGAGGGAGTCCAAACGATCACGAAGGGTCCGTGGTAGGGGACGAAGGTTCCGAACAGGTCGAATGGGCCTTGCGGTAGCCCCGTAGACCCTTCTCAGGGTAGATAGGGAGGATGAGACTAACCAGGGTATTTATCAAATGAAGTTCCGGAGATGGCAATGCGGATCTGGTAGGAGTCGACCGAGTTGACGACGACATCCCCCAAGGCGTTCGCGCGGGGGGAAGCAAAGGCGGAGCGCATGATCAAGGATGGAGAGGAAAGAAGATGAGAGGGGTCACTTGTCACTTGTCACCTTGGAAGGTTCCAAGCAAGGAGCCACGAGGGGGAAGTTAAGAGAGGGGAAGGGGAAGAGAAGGAGAGGCTTATCCCGAGTAGGGATGGTGACCTGTACCACCATGACCTTCCCTTCACCGGTAGTTGATCTGTTCGAGGGGGAGATGAAGAGAGAATAGTGAATCAGAGTAAATCAGTAATAAGGAAGTAAAATAGAGTAAAATGAAATATTTTAATACACAGTGTCCCTTGATGTAAATATCCCTCTGCAGGTACTCTCAAGGTAACCGCAAGCATCTTAGATAACCTTTGGAGAGGGCGTTTTTATCCGCCTTCGTCGCCCACTTATCTCTCACCACTCTCCCACTCCATTCCCTCACCTTCACTCCCCACCCTCCTCTGTACTCTGCTTCATCATTTGATCCCTCTTTCTCTCTCTCTCCCTCCCTCCCTCTTTCTCTTCATCTTCCTATCATCTCTATTCTTCCACAGTCAATGAACGATGCAGGGTCCTGAGGCATCGGGCCCCGGTGCGCTCGCAGGTCTCCCATCCACCCTCAGCACAGTGATAGGCTCCCCGACGACGTCACCGCTCGATCTCGTCGCCTCGACTCTCTCAACCGCCATACAATCCCCAACCGGCCTATCGCACCAACAAATACAACAAAACATTCAGCATGTCCTCTCAACTATTTCATCCGACTACGAAAATGGCCGCGCATTTGCCGCCGGTGGCAACTCCTCCGGCTCCACCGGCAAAGGTATCCTGATTGGCATCCTATCTGCCTTCGGTTCGGCCGCTATCGCATTCCTCGTCCTTGCGATCTTCTTTTTCTTCAAGTATACCCGTCGCGGCCGGATCATGCTCGATCGCATTGGTCGACCTGGTGAATTCGACGATGAGCAAGCATTCGCCCGGGAAGAGGAAACTGCCCTCGAGGGCATGGATGATCTGTCGCGATCGGAATATCTACGAGCTAAAGGTACGACCGAGTTCTTTCCTTCAGCAGAGATTGCGAAACCTATAGTTGCGGTGGGGTTACATTGCTAATCAGTTTGTGTACAGCCTTCGTTCAAGCCAATCCTCCCGAATCCATGCAGACCGATATCTCCCTCTCCCAATTTCTTGCGATTCAAGAAAAGGGCGTCTCAGCCTGGGAGTTCCAGCCTGAATTGGAAATCGCAAACTGTTTTGTTGAAGGGCGCACGGAAATTGAGTTCTTCGATTCCGAGTGCAGTGTGCAAACCAATCTTCCAATTCCCAAGCAGAATGAGGTCTACTACTGGGAAGCCAAGATATACGATAAGCCCGACTCAACCGTGATCGGCGTCGGTCTCACAACAAAACCATATCCTCTTTTCCGATTACCCGGTACGTCTAGCCAGTGTCAAGATCGAATTATGTGGTAATCTTGCAGCCTTGCTAACTCCGTTCAGGTTTCCACAAAACTTCTGTTGCCTACGAATCCTCCGGCCACCGCAGACACAACCAACCATTCTCCCCGACGCCGTACGGGCCTCCACTTCTTCAAGGCGACGTTATTGGTGTCGGCTACCGACCTAGATCCGGCACCATCTTCTTTACTCGCAACGGAAAAAGACTCGAGGATATCGTCCATAATTACCGTGCCCAAAATCTATTCCCTACGATCGGAGCCAACGGCCCTTGCAGCGTTCATGTCAATTTTGGCCAAATGGGCTTCGTATTCATCGAAGCAAATGTTAAGAAATGGGGTTTGGCCCCCATGACTGGTAGCCTCGCTCCGCCCCCACCCTATGGCAGTGAACAAGGCAGCATTTTGCTGGAGTCGGGCCGTGAGAGCGCCGCCACGATTTCGCAGCGGGTCTATCAAACCCACACCGCCAGAAGCTCCAGCATTGGCCTTCCCCAAGCCGTCAGCCCTGGCCCTATCCGTTCTCCAACCGACATCTCACTGGCTCAATTAGCTCATATTCCTTCCCACGAAGATGCCGGAGAGGGATCGAGCCGTTTAGATGATAGCGAGAGCAACAACCCTGCTCCTGTGGGAGAGCCCGATGAAAATGGTGTCTTGCCTCCGGAATACTCGAGTCCCAGAACTAGCCGCAGGGGCAGTGATGCCAGCTTGGAATTCCCGGCCCAGAACCAGAACTCCGATGACCTGCGTTCTCCGCGAGATAATAATGACCATCCTGAATCTCGCATTCTCCCAAGCTATCAAGCAGCGGTGGATCGGGAAGAAAATGACCTGGACTAGAGACCGGCTTGACCTCCACCACCATATATTTTATTATACGCTCCTCCTATGAACATACCATCCTCCGGGTCACTGGTGGGCTCCAAAAACGGATGAGCCTACATTTCCTTCACTTATACCATTTCTTTGCTGTTTCTATTAGCGAGTCCACGGATGGCGTTTTTTTTTTCTTTCTTTCTTTTTTTTAAGCAAATTGGGAGGACTGGCTGGATTATGGAATATGCTGCTTTTCTTTTGATTGGGAAATTATATCTGCTTGGGTTTGGATTCGGGGTTTTTGCGCTTTTATCTTCCGACCATTGGATTTCCTCACCACGACCTCATGTACGGCGGGCTGCAGCTCTAGCCTGGCTCTTCATTCGCTACCAATTCTCCGCTCTTGTTATATCCATCGTCGGAAGCAGGTCTGTACATTTTGTCATCTAACATCCTCATTACCCGGGAGGTCCTGCTCTCAGCGTCAATCGGATGCCCTTCCAAATGGCTGATTTTATCCTTTCATCTTGTTTGCCATTCAAAGTATTTACCTAGCGAGTGGGCTATCGGAAGGAGTTCCCTCTACGTATGAGTATTATAAGTCTTCAAGTTACTCTCAGCTCCCAAGACTCCGGTATACTCGGGACCTCGGGATATCTCGAATGTACTTTACAGTCAGTCATGCTCCACCGAGTTGATAGGGTGTCAACTTCAGGAACTCGAATATTTATCACCGTTATCGGCCCTATTTCCAACAGTGCCTTCCAAGATTGATGCCAACCTTATAAAAGAATCAAAGAAGTAAACCAGTACTACCTAGGTATAGAATCAAGCCATAAGATCAATGTGAATACAACTCGGTCTTGCCGCCAACCGCCGGGCGCACCAGGAAAGCGCGCCAAGACTCGCCCCCAACTTCCCCAGCTCCGAGCGTCTCATCGGCTTCGATTTCTTTTCCTTGTCGTTTCATTCCTTCTGTACTGAGCTGAAGGCTATTGATTCCATCCCAATTCCCCCAAATCCCTGATCTCTTGCATTCTCTCATTCTCCCCATTCTCCCCATTCTCCACCGTTGCCGAAGTTCCGTGGAAATCGTCCCCACAAACCGAGCGCATCGGCACGCCCGAGATACGGATCAGCTGCCACGTCTCATATATGATTTGTACAGGACTGGCTCTGCAGGCGCTGAGAGATCTGTGAACATCTTGGCTGCATTGACCCAATTGGCTTGTGATCTCTGGACCTCCCGTGCAGTAGCGTCTTGTCCAGCCCTGCACACCGCGCGCCTTCGTCATAACAACCTGGGGAAGGTCCACATTAGGCGGAGTCATCCCCAAAATTCATTGGGAAGTGGCAGAAGATCTTATCTGCCCTCTGTCTAACCTGCGACGCGGTAACACACGCCCACGGCGCCCATCCCTCTCGAGAGCGAAACACACGGCAAAACTGTTATTGAGTACCTGTCGAATCCTAATCGCACTTTCCACCTGCGTGTGCATCCCGGCGCAGAGCCCGCGGCACTTGTTGAGACAGTCGCATCATCCAACTTTGGACAGCTGGTAGAACTAGGCAACGAGGCAACTCTCATTCTGAGACTCGGATACTCGAGATTTTGAAATTCCAGTTTAGCTCAAACATGCCCAATCAACAAAAAAAGGCGAAACAGGAACAAGAGGGAAGCCTCTCAGGCAACGGAAGCATGGCGGAATCATCCAACACCACTGCTGCTTTTGAAGTCATTGTTTTGGTAAGTAACCTGCATACAAGTATTGAAATGTTTCATAAGACTTTAATCCATGTCTCTGGTCTCGACTTTGTCTCACAGACCCGAGGGGTGGAGATCCGGTCTGCGAGCTTTGATGCTGACTTGGTTTAGGGGCCAAATGGTGGTCCACGCGAGGATAGGGTGACTGGCCTATTGGTACGATCGACTTCAACTGGCTGGCAGCCAAACTCTGCCATCGCTGTGGATGGTGGTACCCTTCTCGCCGGGATCATTCGCTTGCTGAAGAGAAATATCGAAGGAGCTAAGGATAGCGTGCTGCAGGATGGTCCTTTTGCAGGTCTACACCTCCCATTCCAGTCGGCAGAAGCCAACGGAGCGCATGTATTCAGAGAGATCATCGATGCAGTTCTCATCACACACCCTCATCTCGATCACATTTCGGGCCTGGCAATCAATATACCGATTGTCGAGGCAGGAAATGGTCCCCAAGTCCGTGGCGGCTCTTCCATCAGTGATAGCAGCCCTCAAAAACCACATGTTCAATGATGTTATCTGGCCGAACCTGTCCGACGAGGATGGCGGAGCAGGTTTGCTTACTTACAATCGCTTGGTCGAGGGCGGCAACAATAGATTTGGCACTGGACAAGTCCGGGGCTATGTACGAGCCTGCACTGGTATAACGACTAAGTGTCTGACTGTCAGCCATGGGAAGTGCAAGCAGCGGTATCACCCGGAAACCGCGACGCATCATAGGATTAATAGCACTATATTTGCACCTCATCTTTCTGAGCATTTTATGCTACCGTCTCGGGCGATGTCCATGGATCCCGCTGAAGGAAGGTAATTTGATTCTACCATGTTTCCAAGGAGATCAGTTGCGGATGAACTACTTGCTAATTCAATGTCTAGCTTTTACTCCCCCGCTCGCTCCCCCCGACTTGCTGCATCCAAGGAGCCTCCCATGGCCACTTTTGAAAGCTCTGCATTCTTTCTGCGAGACAACATGAGCGGGAAAGAGATCATTATATTTGGAGATGTTGAGCCAGATTCAGTAGCTCTTGAGCCACACAACCGGCGCGTCTGGCAGACCGCCGCGCCCAAAGTCGAGGAGGGCACCCTCCGCGCTATCTTTATCGAGTGTTCATATAACGACAGTGTCGACGATGCCTATTTATACGGCCATCTATGCCCAAGACATCTCATCGCAGAGCTGAGTGTCCTCGCTAAGTTCGTGATGGAGCTACGCGACAAAAAGAACAACCCTCCTGCGCAAAATACCGGCGATCCAGCCGATCCAGCAAAGTCAAAACGCAAATGGGAAAGTACGTCTAACGAGAATCCTCTGTCTATAAGCCCAAGATCAATGAAGCGAACACGCAGCATGGGCGGTAGAACAGACCCAGCAAAATCAAACAGAGCATCCGAAACACCCGAATTGCCATCCTTGTACGAGGAAGAGGATTTTGACTTCAGTGCCCCGAACGCAAGTCGGTGGGCTGGCGCCAATCCGCTCCCACTGCAAGATCTATCTGTTTACATCATTCACATCAAAGAGACACTCGCTGATGGACCTCCTCCTGGGGAAGAAATCTTGAACCAGTTGCGAAGGCAGGCGACCGAGTCGTCGCTGGGCTGTCAGTTTTTCCTTCCAGATCCGGAGGAAGGCATCTTTATTTCATGAAGCTTGACTCTTTCCCCCTTCGCTTCTCGTATTATTATTTTGATTCAGCGCAAGATTTTATATTGTTCTTATGTTTGGAAATAGACGGTACCAAGGTGATGCAGAGAACGGGCGGAATTTTGTTTTTTTTTTATTCAATTACTCAGATGTTATCATTCCTTAATTACGAGCAAGGCGCACCCAGGTAGCTGTGTCGAAATCAAACCAGAACAGTCATCAGCCATCGACCCTGGTCTCAACCTTATGTAAAGTAATATATAATGCACAGGATAAGCCTTCGATCAAGCCGATTGCCCCTCTGTCGCCCTGGCAATGACATCTTCCCAGATACATTCGCTGGTGGAGGGAATCCGAAGACCGGACGCAACAGAAACATCTTCACTAGCACGTGGAGGCTGAGAAGCAGGCAAATCCAGAATAGCCTCCCCATCTCTAGCAAAATCAAATAGATCCTCCTCGCTACCCCATTCTCCCATAGCCATCAAACCAATAGGCACGCCACTGTCCTGATCATAACCAGCAGGACAGCTTATAGAAGGACAACCAGTGAAATTAGCCAGCCAGACATACTCCATATTCCTCACAGATGCCTTGCCATCCGACACTCCGCGAGAGAGATCTGCCTCACCGCCATCAATATGCCAACCAGGGAGAGGAGTAGTGGGGGTGAGAATCATGAGACCAGGGTGTTTTTGGAAGAGGTGGGAGAGGTGGGTCATCAGTAGGTTGCGTAGACGCTGGGCCACAAGGAGTTCCTGCGCGGTGATCTGGTACATTCCCAAGGAGACGAGAACCTTATTTGGAGCCGTCAGATGGCGGATCTGGCGAGCGTCCACGCCGGATGCGATTTCCGCCATGATAGTCAGAACATGAGCGCGCTGGCCTTCGGGGATATAAGGTATTGTGATGTCGATGACATTGTAGCCGTTTTGGCGGTAGTGGTCCAACGCGGTGTCGAAGACCGCACGAACTGGTTCTTCGGCGCGGTCGATCCATTCGCGCATTATACCGATTGTCTTGGTGCGTTGACGGTCTGATGGGGCGGGCATGGGCGTTGGGAATTGAGAGGAGATTGGATCTTGCGAGGCGGGGGCGGGCGTGGCCATGATCCGGTATGCGAGGGCAAGGTCATCGATGCTTGAGGCCATAGGTCCGAGGACACCTACAGTCGGGGCAAGACTTTGGGATGGTGCTCCAGATACACGACCGTGTGTTGTCTTTAGCCCCCAGATGCCACAGAATGATGAAGGTATGCGGATTGAACCGCCGCCGTCTGCACCCAGGGCAATTGGCACCAATCCTGTGCCAACCGCATACCCAGATCCGCCAGAAGAGCCACCGCAGTAGTACGTTTTGTTATGAGGGTTCCGAGGCGTGCCGAAATTGGGGTTGTTATTGGTGGTGTCTGCTGGGGTTAGCCTGGGCATATCAAGAGCTGAGGGATTTTAGTTTCGGATATCTCATACCGAGGCCAAGTTCGTGCATGGTGGTCTTCCCAATTACAATAGCTCCAGCGTTTTGCCATTGCTGTACACACCAAGAGGTGGCATCGCAGCCAGCCTTAAAGTCTAATTTACTTCCCAAGGTCCGTTTGTAGCCTGCGATATGGACTTCGTCCTTGATTGCGACGGGGATGCCATCAAGAGGACCAAGTGGCTGACCCTGCTTGTATCTCTCGGTAGATGCTTCTGCAGCTGCTCGAATGATCTCGACCTGAGACTCAAGGAAGGCAGTCGAGTGTTTCCCCACAGGTTGAACATCACGGCGCACCAGGGGGAGCAAAGCCTCGACGACCGCGACCGGGGTCAGTTCACCCGATACATATAACGCCTGATAGTCGGCAGAGGTATAATAGCTACTGGGTCCCTTGCGTTTCGCAATCGGAGGGGTGTGGGTGTTATTATGGATATTATCAACGGGGATCACGGTCGGATCGTAGCGGCCGGAGTACTGATGGAGGTGGGGGATCTCGCGGATGACATGGAAGCCAGCACCGCGCCAGAAATGGCTTTGGAAAAATCCTATATTATGAATTCTAGTGGTTTACCAACAGTCAGTTCTCGTGCCCTTGCTGTAAGCTTTCAGGATTGGAATGGGAGTGTCTTATCGGAGCTTACAAGGTCGCACCGATGGCCAAAGGTATGCCTCTGAAGACAGGAATGGATTGAGTTTCATTCTTATAGGGTACTAAAGGACCCTCACGAGGCTGAGGATAATTGAGAAACGATATCTCGTTGGAAGCCATTTTTGCAGATCATAATAGGAGCTGGAGCTGAAGCTTCAAGGAAAGCGGAGGTGAGCAGATCTCACGGTCTTGGCATGGTGACCTCACTCTCATTTACCTCGGCACGTGGACTGCTTAATATGGATTACGCGCCACAGCAAATCTTAGGGTAGGTACAGGTACAACAAGCTTGAAAACTTGAGAAGACTTATAATACATCTATAGGCGCAATTTGAGGTTGGCCTTTTCCATACCCAGGGCAATGCCAGTGAGGATCGCCATGTAGACAACCAATATGGCCATGGCTTGAGGCACGTTGACATCCAGGGTTGGGATACTCAGATTCACCACACCTGTCAGCAGGTTGGCAATCAAAAAGATTGCAAGTCCACCGTGATTGAATGCCCTCAAAACGCGACTCGTGGCAAATGAAGTCCTTTCTCCTTCATCTTCTTTGCTGCTCGCTCGATGAACAGCAGGGAAGAACACAGTCTCGACCAGGCAGAACAGAAGCAGCTGCGCACTGTTGAAAGCTGACACCCACAATACGTATGGCATATTTGCAAGGCGACGCGACACATGGATTCCAGCGCCGTAGCCAAATGCGTAGGTAGAGTTGAAGAAGAACAAGCTCGACCAGAACAGTACTTGCAGTGTCAAGCTGATCAGCACAGACTTGCGAGCTTGCTGGGGCGATTTTATCGAGGAAGTTCCTCGAGGAATAATGCGAGCTCCAACACCCCTTCCAGCGAGAAAAATCGCCAAATAGCCTAGGAATGAGAAGATTCCCTCGCGGTTCTTAGAAATAAGGTCCTCGCCTCGGGGAGAGATCAAAATATAAGCCTTCAAGTCGGTGGACTCTAGCAGAACCTGGTAGATGATGGCAATGCTAATGGACAGCGTCTCGTAGGAGGGAATCAACACCGTCAATGAGTCGAATATCTCCACAAATGGAGGCAAGAAGCCAAGAGTGAAGAAAAAGTTCCAGTGAACTCCATATTCGGTGACATGCTCCGCATAGTCAAGGCCCTTGACAGTCCAGAGCCGAATGAGACCCAGCACGAGCAATGGAATGGAATGTCGCATTGAGCCAAGGAGTCTCTTTGAAAAAGCACCTTTGGGGGAACTGGAGGCCCGACTCTTTAGAAGTGCACGAGCAGAAACCACACCAGCCGAGAAAACGAATGAGCCCACGCCCATGTCCATCAACGAGGTGCCCCAATTCTCGACCTTAGCGAATCGGCGTGGGAAGGCTCGGAAATCCACGGCAAGAATGGCGACACAGGTAACAATCATCATTGCCGAGCGGTAGGTAGTCAGGAACGGGTGGATTGGTAAGGACAGTACATCTTTAGATGTTTCATCGTTGACATTTTGCTTGCGAGGTGGTTTCGCTTTTTGGGTAGGGCGCAGAGGAGGCTGAGTCAAGAACAACAGAGCCGCAGGTGTGATGAGGAGAATATTTAATAGGACAGGTGCTGACGAGTAAGCCGTGGTTGCGAAAAGGATGGCCAGAACATTGAGGAGGAAGTCTGTCAACAGAGCTGCGGGTCCATAAGGCGTAAAAAAGGATAGACGGGATTGGAGCGCGGACCACAAAAGTACCGAAGCCTAGACATATGAAATCGTAAGAGTTCGGCTTCTTTGAGATTGGCAAGGGAGGGGGAAGTTGGTCAATACCGGCGCGACTAATGTGACTACATTGATGTCACCAATAGTGCTTCCCGAGAGGTTCGAGACGAATGCCTCTTTCCGAGCTTTGTAACTTGGATCCATTATTGAGGCCGAGATGAGATGAGACGAACAGGATCACCGTAGACCCTCTGCCCGCATCGGTAACTAAAGAGAGTGTTGAAGATTGGAATTGGAGGCTGAGCGGAGCGGATTTGGGAGGTCCAAAGCTCCCGTGGAGACAACACGGTGGCAATCACCTGATCCACGAAGTATGCCTTGCGGATCCCCGGAACTTTTTCAACACTTATTCACATCATTTCCCATATCGCCTACGGGTCGAATTCCTCTTTAAGTTCTGAAAAACAGGCGAAGATACTTGAATGCGCGCTCCAGCCAACTATACATTAAAATTCCACATCATGAGGCTGGTCACAGCCTCAGTACCGATCCGGGCAGAAGGAATCAACAGTTGCCACGATAACACAAGCTAACAACTTGAACAGAGTTGGTAAAGCAAGGCTAGCTTGAGGCTTCGAGAGCTCTGCAACTCAGAAACGCTCAGGGTAGGGCCCACAGTGAACGCAATTGGAGGCTGGGCGTTGCCAGGCCCCAGAAAGCGACGATCTGGGGTACCACGCTGGTGGTTTCTTGCAAACCTGGCCCGGACCACTCCTTAAAATCCCCTCCTTTAACCCAGCATTATGGTCAATGTCGCAGTCTAGCTGGGTTAGATGGGGGTTTCTCCGTTGCAGATCAGACACCATCTTCCTGCGAGTCAGGACTTTTGACCGGACCCGCTCGACATCTCAGTTTGAGGGTATAGAATGCAGTACATAACTGTGACCTTAATCTGCCCTGGGTCTTATAAAAGAGCCGGGCCCGAGAATGAATTAGATGCGGTCCCATCAGGCGATTATTAAAGCCGCCCCAGTGCTCTATCCAGGAAGGGCACCGGTAAGCGAATCCCGAGCTATGCCACGAGGCTGCGACTGATGGAATTGTAATCGACCCATTTGTATCTTCCCATTGGACCGGCACGGCCGACTAATGGGGATATGCCGTGCCCGGCGTGCACTGTTCCCAATCTCAACGCCATTTTAATCTGGATTACGACCTAGTATAGCAAACTCTTGGATGCGACTGTGTTGACCCATACCCTTGTGATAGACCCGGAATTAGGCTTTTAAAATCACTGGATACACCTGGTATAGTCTCTGGGGCCTTCTGTGCAGATTTTGCCAGGTCTATCTGGTCTCCTGACAAGCCTTCGTTTCGATTTAAACCTGATGCCCAGGTGGGTTGGACAGCGCCTAACTCTAACTCATGAATGATGGATTATTTACCAGAAAATCATACGTAAAATACATAATACATCAAATTTTATGACCTTGCTGTCGCCATATCGGTACCTAGTCTGGAGCTGCTTTTTGACTGATCCTCCTTGGCTGTTCACAGATAGCTGTATATTTGAGGAGTTCTCGCAGATGTGCTCCAAATCGGGAAGAATCTGTTCAGGCTCACAATTGATTAAATTTGAAGGAGTCATAGTAGTGTATACTGCATTTTAGAGATCGGTCAATAATTTTTGACCCCTTTGGATGTTTGATGGTGTAGATCATTGCCTTGTTGTTTCATCTCCAATACTTAAGATCTGCGTGAGAGTGTGGTGAAAAATCTCGGCTTTTCATTGATGATGCATAGTGACTTGAATTCGGCCGAGGGAATGACTCGGTTAACAAGGCAATTTTGGGCATTGGCACCTCATGGGGGCCAAAAACGAAAAAAAAAAAGGTCAAGAGAGCTTCGCCCGGGTAACGCCGCCGAGGGGGGGTCTTCACTCGATTCAGGGCACGGAGACGGAGAGCAAAATGTATAACTCCAGTTCTTTGGTATGTCGTGAAGTCTTGAATAGCCTTGCGTCGTTCCTTTTCTTATTTTAAAATTATTTTCTTCCGTATCCATATTGGTTTATGTCCCCTGCTTAAGCCGAGGAAGCCGAAAGATTGGGAGCAGGCATGTTTGGGGATTTGCAGCCACGAAAAGTTGAAATTCAGTTTGATATCATGAAACCTGGTATCAAAGAGATGGTAGGCGGAAAAGCCACCTCTTAATTAAGGTTGTAGTGTCATCAAGCGCATTGAATCCCTTCTAGTTCCTTATAGAAGTCGCATATTCTGCCGATTCCCCAAATTGGAGTCGTCGGAACCGTAGGATGGAAGGACGCTATGTTCATAGCCTCTGGGTACGTACCCACAGGGTTCGTGCGGCCTCCAAATGCTAATTAACCCTCAAGTCTCTATCCAGTTGTTGACTTCGCAGCATATGTGCCAGTGGCATTTTGCTTGGGGCCTGGCCTCATGCTAATGCAGATCCGGAGAAAGACGCAAGGCCATCGCGGTGGTATGAGTCCTTATTTAAGGCACTTGATCCCCTGCAGACCGCTGCTATTGAGACCGCCTAGGCTACAAACCCGCATCTTTCGCCCCATTGCGGAGTAGCCCAAAGTCCCTTTCGTTTAGTTGTTCTATTCGGGATTTGGTCCAGACCATCTGCTTCCTTCTCAGATTACCCCTACTGCGGGCCCGGTCTGGTGATAACAGGAGCCGCCCGCACGAGGGTACGTCAACACACTTAACATCATCTTGTAAAGCACTCGCGTCTATAGGCTGTGCCTTCATGCAGGCTTCTCTTCCTCCGGTGGCCACTATTGGATCCATGGTCACTAAGAACGCCCTTTGTGTGCGAGACGACTGGGGTCAAGAAAATTCGGGCTGCCATCAATAGTCTGGAGCCTAGCTTTGCTAGCCCAACGTCGAAACGTGTCATGGGCAGTCAAGACGACGGACCACCACCCAGAAGGCGTGAGTCTCGCTCGGGGACCCGAAAAGTCACTGCTCTCTCCTCCGAGCAGCTGGAACGGAAACGTGCAAATGACCGGGAAGCCCAACGATCCATTCGACAACGCACCAAGGAGCATATCGAACAACTCGAGACTCAAGTTTCGCTCCTGCAAGCCCAGATCGCGGAAATGCGATCCCACAACGATCGATTTCAGGAGATCCTTCAAAGAAATGCGGCTCTAGAGGACGAGGTCGGTCGCTTGAAACGCCAGCTGGCCTATTCAGGCCATCCCGGAATGGCAGCAGATGGCGAGGAAATATTGCCTTACCGAAGTAGTTGGCATTCAGGTGAAGAGCCTGGTGATTCAGCGTCGAGTGTTCCAGGAGCTGGAACGATGATTCCATCATCTCAGTTTGTCGGGTCATCCCATCCTTTGTCGTCGAGGCTTCCTCGAACACCATCGGCCGTATCGATGTCAAGTCGATCGTCGCACCCTCAAGATTGGCAACAATACACAAATACGCGTTCGTCATCTCTAGGCGAGGTCTCCGGGCCAGTGTTGCCAGGACGCATGGAGTCGTATGTGATGGACGGACATATGCAACAAGGGGCGCGTCTGGCGCTCCCACCATCCATCGCCCTCTCAGCGCCACAGATCAGTTATGGCGGCACTGGATCTCCCAGCCAACAACTTGAATCAACCGATAATCCATTTGCAGAGGTATATTCCGTAAGTAAAAGTCGAGGAGAACATTCAGACAACCTGCACTCGCCATCGCAGTCATCAAGAGACCACATCTCTTCTTCGTTTCTGCCTTCCCACCAAACCCAGGCCATCCCCATGCCTGGCATCAATGCTGCGGCCCAACCAGGACCTGACCAGTCTTACCAGGCATCTGCAGCACCTTACCGGGATTCTCTATCGAGTCAGAGTGACCAACAATACCCTTATCCTTGGAAGCCACAATCCTAGGTAGGGCGATTGTGGGTGAGATGAGCCTTAAACCATGATGACTTTCTGAGTAATTTTCGACCTTGGTGTGATGAGGTCCGAATGAAAAGGAATGGTAGAATGGGAGAGAGGGAGCCGACGGGCGAAAAGGGGGGTCTAGATGTTCGAAGGTAAGTTTCGGATTGCATGAAGAACCCTGTCATATTTGAAGGCCGCAGCTCACGTTCTCTCTGGAACTCGTCGCCAGCCTTTTTTTCGCTTTGTCGACAGTCAAAAATGAATGGAGACGGCAATCAGCGCGGCTCGCATGAAAGAAACGGAAAATACATCCGCATTCTACGGCAATAACAACCTGGTCCCACACTGAAACTTTGAGTCACTTGCCATCCTTGGGATTATAAAGTTGCCTTTCAAACTGGATATTGGGAAAGAATAAACCAATACATACTCAAGAATCATATATGGAATCGACCTTGAAGGAGTTGAAGAACAGAAGGGCCTGCTGGTCGGGTTCGAGTCATCTTTCAGGGTTCGAAAAACGACGTGGTACTAGTACTAACTATGTACTATGTGGAGTTTTTGATACTTTATTCAATCCAGTACTACTAGTAGTACCTTGATGAGATGATTTCTCAATTACATTCCATACTTAATGATCTCAAGATCCCCGGCTTATGAGGTCACGGCCACAAGGCAACTTGATGTATTATAAAAATCACACAGTGTCAAGTAGTATGGATGGTTGACCTTATTCCAATTACTGATCTTCGGAGCCCGAACATGATGTCCCGGCCCTTTTCCAGGAATCAGTCACGATATCTAAGAAAGCTACTGTGCACGGAAACAGCCCTGGAGAGTGGCCTCAACGTACTTCCATGGCTTGTTATCTCGCGCTCTATGGAGCCCAACATACAGTTACTAATTAGTACTAGTAGTGCATGATCGGAATTTTGCCCAAGTGATCACAAGCCAAACCCCTAGACCGGTGAACTCATGTCAACAGGCAATTCACGCTAATTCCTCCTGCCTTTGAGAACATGGAGGGCCATACAGAATGATATATGGCAAAATGTTGGCGTGTAGGTATATGGCTGTAGCCTTGCCGGAGGGCTGTGCTGCGGTGGAGCTGCCTAACGGCCTCATCGCTTAGCATCGCCTTCCCCGGCGCGGGGCTTTATTTTGCCCTTATAAAGATCTCAAGCTCAAACTTGAAGAATAAAATTTTCTTCTTTCTCTTTCTCAATCTCTCAATACCTGAAATCTCTAACTCGCCATGGAACCCCTCAAAATCAGAGTTAATGGCGAGTCGTCCATCACTCGCCTGGCCGAGCAGGGTCTCCTTCGACTTTCCGTGGAATCGCAGGGGCCCAAACTAGAAATCGTATCCAAGGAAGTGGTTTCAAGGTCTAATGAACTCACTGGTCTTTTCAAGACATTGTCTCCAAAGACTCAGGAGGGCACTGCAACTGCAGACGCGGCCGTCACCAATGTCGCCTCCACATTTCTAAGCACGCGGAATTTCACCCCCCCGCGACAAGGATGGCCAACCTTTAGAGAAGGTGTATCAGGCCTCCATGTCTCTGAGCATCGTCTTCCGTGATATTACAAAACTCAGCGAGGTCGTTGGTCAGCTTTTGACTTACTCCAATGTGGAAATCTCCTCCATCGATTGGAGTCTGAGCGAAGCCACTCAGAAAGCCCTGGGCTCAAAAGTTCGCAGGGAGGCCATTCGTGATGCAGTCACCAAAGCCAATGATTATGCCGCGGAGGTCGGAAGAAAAGTATATGCGGTGGACATCATGGACGGAGGTCAGAACGCTACCATGCAACATGCACCGGTAGGGAGATCTCTTTTTGGTTCTGCCCCGGTGCAATCTGGCGGAGGTCTCTTTGGTGGCAGTGCTACTGCTGGGTTTGGATCTTCTACTTCTCAGGCCCCTCAGTCATCTGAGATGCTGAGTTTAAGTCCCCAGAATATCAAATTTACGAGCTCGGTGCACATTGAATTTCAATCGTACCCTGAAAAGTAAGGGCGACAGACAACTAGCCCTTTGCCCAGTCTTCGACATCGAATTGATTGCATATTTGGTAGTTTAATTTATCTCATTTTGTCACTCTTATTATCTATATGAATCAAACGATCTAAAATCCAAGGAGTGGCTCGTCCAACGAATCGACTTCGAAGTCAAATCGAACCAGATCCTCTCTGTAAGGAAGAAAGTATGTATGCGTAACCCTTCATAGATTGGTTAGCTGCGTTCATGATATAGTATGCATCATTTAATTCAGAATCGAAATGCGTGTTACCTTTCATGCTCACTGCTTGCTTGATACGCAGCCAGTGCTGCCCGGTCTTCATGGTAGCTCACTAAGGCATACTGGAAACCCTTGCTCTTCTCGATAGGCTCAGTAATAGAAGGGCCTCCCACGATAAGTCTTTGGCTCTTGACGCAAGGCAATGATTTGAGTGTTTTGATTTGCGTAAGGAACTCCTCTCGTACAGCTGACGAGGCATCTGCCCCGAATTTAAACAGGACTATTGGGAAAGTTAATAAGCGCCCAATTTTGGGAAATATTCTCACGAACCGATATGGCAGATCGTCATTTTCGAAATGGAATCTGAGCCAAGCAATAAATTTCAAGTTATTTGATCGAATTGAAGCTGGCGTGGATGGGCATTTTATGGTGCAGCGAGGCGATTGGGACGGATGACATCCGCTCGGCGGGGGCAACCCGCAGATGCTGTGGCGGCAACCGACGGAAGCTCCCCGCACATTTCTTTCGGCAACGGGACTTCCTCTTCTCATCGCTCCAAGCACTCATAATTCGAAAAATGGAGACCCCACGCCGCAATCGGAATCGTGCTGCGTGCCGAAGATGCCAACGCCGAAAAATCAAGTGTGATGGGACTCTGCCCCAATGTACCTCATGTAAAAAGGCAAATGTGACTTGCATAAACGACGGGAAGCAAGAGGTCAACCGCACGTGAGTTATCTCCTCTGCAGGTACTGGATTTGTAATAACTGGGGAGGTAGTTACATTGCCAGCTTGCAAAAACGCGTTCAATGGCTCGAATCATTGGTGCGTGAGCAGGGTAGAAGTATAGAAGCGGGACCACCCGAGTCCTTGGACCTTGCGCATTCTGAACCTCCACTTGAAGAGGATCATACCTTCGCCCGCTCTATTACTACATCACAGACTCAAAATGAAGAGCCTCGGCCTGAGCGACATTTGGAAGACAACCGAGCTTCCCACACATCAAGACAAGCCCATGAGATTGGATTAGTGTCTCTATCTTCCGGTGGCGATGCAAGATATATCGGACCTTCCAGTGGCTACTTCCTCGCAAATCTCGTCTTCTCTAGTGCCGGTCGACGAATGGGACCAACAGGAACGACTAGCACCTCAAATGACCCGATCTCTTTATCTACGGAGCTATTCAACAGCCCTGCTCCTCTTCCAACCAGGAAAGAAGACGCTATCGAATTGTCGTCCAAATATTTCTCTTCCGTTCATCTCACCTACCCATTCCTACACGAGCCATCTCACATGCAGAAGCTAGAAAAAATGTACAACGATACGGATCACGATCCGTCTACTGCTTTTCATGTATACATGGTGCTGGCGATAGCTGCCTCTGACTTATCTCGGCGCTTCAGACTTCGCTTGCCTGCAGAGGGCTATTACACCGCGGCTACCAAACACTTCGAGGGAGCATGTGCTGATGGGTCCTTGGAAGGGCTGCAGGGCTCTCTCCTTCTAATGATCTACGCTCTCCACAATCCTTCCTGTGGAATCAATATTTGGAGCCTCAATTACCAATGCCTGGGCGCTCTGATCGACCTGGGGCTCCAACGCGATGTACGGGTGTCTTCAAACTTCCCAATATCTTTCCTGGAGCAAGAAATGAGGACTCGGATCTTTTGGGTAGTCTACACTTTTGATCGAACATTGGGAACAATGATGGGAAGACCGATTGGAGTTCGAGATGAGGCATGCGAGCTTCGAGTAAGTGGTTCAACCATGATGGTAAAAGGGACCGTATGCTAATTTATGGATAGCTACCATCAGACGTCGCTGATGAATTTCTTGCCGAGTCAGCTGTTGAAGAAAGGCCTGACCACGCCCCGCCATCCCACATCACATACTCCATTCATCTTTTCAAGCTAGCACGGATCAATTCCGAGATCAAATATGTCATGCACAGCATTTGCCGAGATCCACCAAAATATGCATACCCTCCCGTTGCTGATATCCATCAGTGGCAGAGGGAAATGATCGACAGTCTCCAGTCATGGCTACTTGATATCCCACGGGCAACGGGAATGGAACCCATCGCCAAGATCTGCGAAACAAAATATCACGAGATGATGATCCTGATCTTGCGGCCAAGTCCAGGTACTCCAGAGCCCTCAGATGACATACTCACAAGATGTTTTCAGCATGCAATCGAGCTTCTCCGTGGGTTCGGGGAATTATACCGACAAGAAGCGCTGCTATATAGCAGACTTATTGTGCACTCCATCTTCCTGAGTACGCTCATTATGCTTCATAGTATATGGAGATTGCCCCACATTACATCACAGATCCATATTGACGATGTGGTGGCTGACACGGGTATCAGCTTGAACATCCTCAGCAGTATCGGGGAGTACTGGACTGAAGCCAAGCGAGCCAGAGATTGCATCCACGAGCTTTCAGGTGCTACTATCCAGCGCTTAATTAAAGTTCGTAGCCTTGATAAGTCTCCGCGGGCTACGAGGACTCAGATACAGAACTCGATGCAAGCGCAACAAGGAAACATAGTAGCCGAAGAATTCCCAGAGCAGGTCAATTCGGCCATTGGTATTGCGCCGTCAATGACTTCACTTGGAGAGGACTATGATTTGACTCTGGATAGTTCAACCTGGCTCAATGATTCATTACCTGAGGGTTTCATGGATTTTGCTGGAGCTCCGGACTTTGACAGCCTCATGTGGGATGTATTCAACAATAATTAAGCGCGTGTAAACTCAGCTACAGCAAATAAATATGAACATATATCACAATAGTCAATCCTTTATTAAATTTACAGCGTTTATGCTTTAGTAGAACCGCCCTAGACAATCTCCACTCCAACTGCGTTGACCATGCGGAGTCCCCCCCATTGGAGCGGGAGCCATCCGCTTCCCCAACTTGTCCCCCGCGTACTTAAAGCGGCTCAACATCTCCATATCGAACAAGAGAATCAACCTCAACAAGTCAAAAGGTGCCACAAGCAAGCACTTATACAAGAAAAAAAAAATCTACAATGGCAAACGAAAACCAACAACAAATGCACCTAATCAACCACAAGGACTTGCAATCCTTCGTTGAGCAAATCCTCATCGGCAATGGCACCCCGCAAGAAAGCGCCGCCATCGTCGCGAAATGCCTCGTGAGCGCAGACCTCCGAGGCGTCGACACACATGGAAGCAATCGAATCCCCAGCTACATGGAGCGAATCCGTCAAGAAGCTTTAAACGCCAGCGCAACACCCACTCTCCGCCAAGTAACGCCCGTCGTCGCCCAGATCGACGGACACAACGGGTTTGGATTCGTCGCGGCCCACCAAGGCATGGCGCGAGCCATTGAAATGGCAAAAGATTTCGGCATGGGCATGGTCTCCATCAAACACTCTAATCACTTCGGGATGTCCGCGTGGCTCGTCAAGCAGGCCCTGGACGCCGGGATGATGTCGCTCGTTTTCACAAACTCCTCGCCCGCGCTTCCTGTCTGGGGTGGCAAGGAGAAGATGATGGGCGTGTCGCCGATTGCATGCGGTGCGCCTTCTGGAAATGCTGCGCGGCCGTTTATTCTTGATATGGCGCCGTCTATTGCGGCGCGGGGCAAGATTTACAAGGCTTTGAGGAGGGGTGAGAAGATCCCTACGGATTGGGCTCTTGATAAGAATGGTGACCGCACTGATGATCCGGCTAAGGCGCTGGAGGGGGTTATGTTGCCTATGGGTGGACCAAAGGGGTCTGCATTGTCTATTATGATGGATGTTTTCTCTGGTGTGTTTTCTGGGGCTGCTTTCGCTGGCCATGTTACGAATCCCTATGATCCGTCTAAACCTGCGGATGTGGGCCATTTCCTTGTTGCTATTAGACCGGATTTGTTCATGACTATGGACGAGTTTAAGGAAAGGATGGATTATCTTTATAAGCGGGTTACTGAGTCTGAGAAGATGTCTGGTGTGGATCAGATCTATTTCCCTGGTGAAATTGAGATGATCACTGAGGAGAAACGCCTTGCGGAGGGTATTCCTTTCGCTGATGCAGAGATTGCGAGTTTGAATAAGGAGGCCGATCGGGTCAAGGTCGAGCATTTGAGGGTCCAGGAGTAATTGGTGTCAAGCTGAATGATACTATCGTTACCATGTATACTATTATATTGATGAAACTTCATGACCCAGGGGTATGAACGACTACCAGTACACTTGGGGATTCCGCATTTTAAGCAATTAACTCTTTGTTTAGGTAGTCAACTTGAGACTATCAATCATGATTGATACAGCCAAAATCGAAAAATAGGGCCACTGGAATTCAATTATCGTTCAATAAGCCTCCCGTATAAAAAAGAGAGTAGAAACGTAAAAAGACACGGTTATTGCAATGGTCGCAAATGTAAAAGATATCTCTGAACAAGAACACAGTGCTGGTCCCACTTTACAGTCAGAGTAATAATGACAGGAGAAAGGAAACGTTGAATCACAGAGAAGAAAATGTAGAAGGAAATAGGGATAAGAAACATTAAGCAAGGGGAAAAGGAAAATGTATTCTAACAAAGGAAATGAACATGCTAGATATTAATCAAACACCTGGCGGATGAAGAAGAAATTTCGCTTCATGCACAGAATTGGGGAAGGAAAAGCAGGGTATCACATGGTTATCCAAACAACATCGCTGCTCTTTTTCAGTCGAAAAAGGATGAAATATTAGAACAGGGTTGAATTGGAGTTTGCCTTGCAGGATTCGAACAGTCTGAGGCATGGACTGTTGGTGCCATTTGGTTGCAACGACTGCTCTCGGCGAGATCGGATAAAGACAATTTTTCTTCTTTTTGTTCGAAGCCAAATCGGTGGAGGTAATCACCTGTCGTCACCACCAGCTCGAGACTTGGCACGACGTCGGAAAAAGTCCATCACCTTGCGGGCAGCGCCCGAACTGCCGGAGTGATGGGAAGAATCCCGCTCATACTCGTAAGCGTCGGCGAATTTGCGGTTGTTCTTTTGCAGAACATTGGGCCCACGCCCGAGCCGACCAGCTTGCATGGATGACCGGGGGAAACTGTCGTAGGTGGCATTGTAGTCATCGTAGTAGTTTGGCTTCGACGAATATGTGTAGTTGTTTCCTTGGTATTGGTCATCGTTTTGGTAGACCTGTTCTGAAGAGATGGCTCCAAATGAGTCCTGTGTTTGGTCAAACCGAGACCCAAGCTCCGCAAATTGTTGATCGATCTGAGTTTCATAGCTAAGTGGATCATTCTCTTGGGGAGTCTCATGGACCTCGTCTGATGGTCCTTCATTGACGATTCCCATGGCATCTTGTGTTCCATAGCTCGTCGCACGAGGTCGGGTTGGGGATGGGCCAGTAGCTGGTCCAGTGGCTGGGCGCTGGGGGCCACGAGGGTCAACAGGTCGGGGGGTCTGTGGTGCTTCCTCGGGGGTTTGAGCCCGCCCAAAGCCTCGGATGGAGAAAGATTGGGGGAGAAGAGAAAAGCGACGAGGACGGCCCTCACCGCCAGCTTCACTAGCTTTCCTATTGTGGCCATACTGCATAGACCGTCGAGAATCCATGGAAACGCGAGAATCTTCTCGGGGAAGGGTCTCTTTCATGCTGGTGGGAGGATAACGCTTATTCTGCCGAGAACGAGCTGCAGTATTTTGTGAGTTGCGGCCACTCAGAATAGAACCGGTGCGCCCGAAAAGCTTTTCGCCAAGGCTAGAAACAGTGTTCGATCGCTTATGCCCCTTGGGAGGCTCTTGCCGGGGAGTAGGATTGAAGGTTGAAGGAAGTTGCTGAGTACTGGGGCGGCCGATGGAGGTAGTCGATGCCTGTGCAGGATTCTGACCAAGGGCGAATTGACGGCTCTTTGGCTGTGCTAGACGACCCTCGGTGTTAGTTGCGGTAACTGTGGGGGCCACTGGCTGCCCATATGAGCCCCGTGAAGGCAGGCGACCAGTATTGAAGGAGGCCATGGAACCACCTGTTGTCGGTCTTGCGTTTGAGGGAACTGTGGTGGTATGGGTTCCAGTGATAGCCACGTTGTCCGAAGTGGAACGAGGGAAATGTCCTGGCAAAGGCTTGTCGTAATTGACAGGCGGCTTCTCCTTGGCTTTGATGGGGACTGGCTCCGCTGATTTCTCGGGTACTGGAGGACCCTGTTCTTCCGTCTGAGCAGAGCCGCGAGGGCGTGACTCGGTATCTGCAGGGTATTCTCCTCGTACAGTCTGGGACTGCGGAGCGACATATTCCACTTGAACTGTTCTGCGCTTTGCATCGCGGGATGTCTTCGATTTCTCGCTTGGCGATTCTTGCGAAATGTCTCCAGCGTGGTGGTTGAGCCCACCGACGGCTGCCACGGGACTTTGGTGTGTCTTCGGTGGCTCGCGAACCGATGCGCTGCGTGCCAGAGTGGGCGCTTCCGGTTGAGACTCGGCTGGGACAGTTGTGTTGGCGATGTCTGCAACATTGGTGGTGCTGCTAGTTATGTGAGAGACGATGTGTGAGTACTCGTTCAGCCAGCTGTGACGAGCCACTTCGAAGAGATCTGCACGTTTGCGAGGATCCGGGACAAGTATGCGCCTAAGGAGATCACGGGCGTGTGGTGTAACATATTCGGGGAATGTGAGAGGTGTAGTGACAATGTATTTGTACAGAAGATTGATGTTGTCTCCATCGGGATTTGCTGGGTCGTCATCGAAGGGAAGATAGCCAGCCAACATCGCATACTGTAGAGGTAGAAACTGTTAATTTCAAATAACGCCAAAAACAAGTAAGACCAAGTACTGCTTAAAGAACATACCAGGATGACACCGCAACTCCACACGTCCACCTTGCGCCCAGTATATAGCGAGTCACTCACGACCAACTCCGGGGCAGCGTAACAAGGGCTACCACAGCTTGTTTGCATGAGGTCACCGCGTCGAACTCCGGTGGGACCGAGTTTGTCCAGCCGTTTCCGCTTGACGTATTCTTTATTGGTTAGATTGTATTCAATCTCCTCCTCCAATGGATCAAGCGGATCGAAAGTGTTGGCGAAGCCGAAATCAGTAATAATGATATTCCGATTCCGATCCAATAGCAAGTTCTCCAACTTGAGATCTCTGTGCACGATTCCCTTCTTATGCAGATAGCCAACGCCAGAAACGAGTTGCGCGAATAACCGACGCGCGGAGTTATCTTTAAGGTAGCGGTTGTTCAGGATGTAGTCGAAAAGTTCACCCCCAGATGCATACTCCATAATAATACCGATATGACGGTCAGTTTCCACCATCTCGTGGAGGCGAACAATATTAGGGTGGGCGAGCTCGCGCAGAATCGAAATTTCTCGGTAGATTTTTGGCAGCCGACTCGGATTCGTTCCAAGAGTATCCCGACGTATGAGCTTGATTGCGACTTGAATGCTCCCGTCTCTCTTCCATCCCAGCTTGACCTTTCCAAATTCGCCCTCGCCGAGGGTTTGACCTAGAATATAATGGCCGAAAGTCGTCTCTTTGCGTTTAACAGTGTTACCGTTGTTGCTGTAGTCGTGGCGACTGCGGTGCCCAGTTCGAGTTCCATCCTCAACGGATTCATTAGGATAGCTTGAAGCGACATCTCCAGGCGGAGCTGTCGGGGACGCGCTCACTTGTCGCACCTGCTCTCTCTCCTGGTCCACGATCGGGTCGCTGACCTGTATTGAGTTGATGACTGCACTCGACTCCTTCACAACAGGTGTCCCATGTGCGTTCTCTGTGTCAAGTTCCATCTCTGGGGCGGAAACGGGGGCTGCTCTCGACCTGCCCGAGTCCCGTGTTGTCTCTTCAAGAGGATCCGGGCGACGGGACCGGCTTTTGCCGTTGCGGTCATCACGCGATCGATCGCGATTTTCTTTACGATCACCGCGGCTCTTACCTTGGCGAGAGCCTTTTTCTCCCGATGAACCATTGGGGCTGCGACGGCTGTGGTGCGTAGATGAGACCCTCGGGGGTGGGACTGGTGGTGAGCCTAGCATATCGGGGAAATTGCTGCGCGCATTCCTTTGAGCGGGTGAAGATGCCGATTGAGATACTGGAGAGTCATGAGCGGACAGTGGCAAGGCCGACTGGTGTGAAGTGCTCATAGCCGAAGAAGCTGATCGGGACCGGCCTCAGAAATGGCTGCTGGGCAGATATCAGTAATCTTGATCGCATGTGCTTGTGCTTGTGCTTGTGCTTGTGCAATATGTTCGTTCAGGGGATGGGTGAATGCGGGAGAGAGTGATTGCATAGCGGCCACCGGCATACCTTCTGTTCGATGCGCAGAAAGTCCAGCGATACTTTCCGGCTGTGTGACAAGATACGACACGCTCTATTGGGCCCTTGTCGACAGGGAGGACCTGCAGCCAATTGCGATTAGGACAATTGACGCGCAGGAAACACCTAGCTCTCCCGAGAGTGTTTGGCGAGAATCGAAAGGGAGAGGGTTGGGCGATCGGTCGCACTCACTGAGTGTCGACTTCAGCCTCACAAACTGTAAGTCAAAACGCGCAAGGTTAGCTCAGGATCCCCGCGTTCGATTCTTATCGGCAATCGGCCAAAGGAGAAAACATGCGCTTGAAGCAGGAATGGAGGGGAGAAGAAGGTGGGCACTGACAGAAGCTTCGATCGGAGGAATGGGGGGAAAGGAATGCCACGCCTGGGGGGTGTGCGGACAAGAAAAAAACGCACGATAGGGTCCAAAGAATAGCTGGAAAACTCGATCACGGCTATTAACCGACGGAATAACGCGTCGGCAAGGCAGAGAAACGAAGCAAAAAGGAAACGAAGAGGAAGATACCTGCACTGCAGTTCTGTAGAGTCCCCTCTTCCGACCCACGACCTGGGGGAGTCGCACGTTGTCCGAAAAGCCGGGGGAGAGAAACAAACGCGGAATGAGTATGTCTCAGGCGCGATTGGGTTTTTGCGAGACGATCAAGAGTTCAATTGTCGACGCTGAACATGGTCGAAGCCAGGGCTGAGGGGCGCGGACAGGGGGCGCGAGGGGAGCCAGAAGGCGGGAAATACTGGTCGGAGAGTAAAAAGGGGGTTTCGAAGGCCTGAGATCCCCAAGAAGAAAAAAAACAACAAAGGAAAGAGAAACAAAAGAAGAGGCTGTCGAAACAGGCCCTCACGAAAGGATGAGGATGGGGAAAGGGGAGGAGGAGAGGGAGGGAAAGAGAGAGAGGGTAAGATTACCTCTCTCTACCAAGGGTAGTGTCGTTTAGTCTGGGGGAACCAGCGGGTCTATCCAGCCATCCAGTTCACGTTTACTTTATTGATATTCAGTATTCAATATGCAGTATCTTAGTTCTCTATCTACAGCACTATATTCTATTAAATTATACTAGTACCTACTGGTAGTATCCGTACTCCGTACTCTGATGAGAGGTAGGTATGTTTTCTCAACCACGCCGTGCTAGCTCCAGCCGAGGATACTCAGTAGTGCACTCTGTAAGCCGCAAGAGAGATACTAGTACTCCGTACTCCGTACACTTCCACAAATTGGCGCGACTATTTCCTGCCCTGAGGATCCCCTTGCTGCACCTGTGATAGAACGAAACGGGTGCGAGGCCCGAGGGCTGATCCTCGCATGTGGAGAGCAAAAGGGAAGGTCGGACGGCCTGAGCAGGTATCTGAGGGTCTATGGGAGTACATACGGAGTAGTCATAGCGCAAAGACCAACTGAATGTCGAAGACCCTCGTCATCAGAACGGCCACTATTCCCGTAAAGTAAGCTAGCAAAGGATAGGACGGCGTGAGCCCGTTTCAAAAGAAAAAGGGGAGGAGGGGGTCGGCGCCGGTTGTTTCGCATCGCTGAAAAGTGGGCACCTCGCTAGGACCGACGATCGTCATTAGGCCCCTAGAAGCGCGATCGACCTCGATTCGATATTATGTACTCCGTAACAAGTACAATCTATCGAGATCTCTCTGCATTATCCTGGGGCAGATCGGGCCTTGATAGCTTACTGGTCCAGTTGGGAACGGGTGCGGAGATGAGCTTCAATGTAAATTGGGTGCCCGTGGCTGAATGGTGAAAGAGAGGTGGTCCTGGGGGCGGAAATTGCTAGTAGCAACAAAGCTGAGAGAGAAGCCTCTTCGAGTAAGCTTCAGCTTGGTTGTTTGTGTTGATTGAACTCGAGAACAAAGAGGGTCTCGCTTTCATTTCCTCTAGAATTCAGATAGTTCTAGCCACCACGGTTGGGGAGGTCAAGAGCTTCTTTAGACATCAATCAATTGGCTTCGAGCTCTCCCATACTCTCCTGCCAAGTCGAATCGTATCTTGCAGAAATTCCACCGTCGTCCATGGTTAACAGCTGCATCGAATCCACGGATGCGCGTCGGATCGAGTAGATCCTGCGGTACTCCAGTTTCCTTACTGCAACCTTTCCGTTCTCCCCACGGGAACTCTTTAGATTGAATGACGACTTCGGTTGCTCCGTATGGAGTATGGAGGATGATATTTCAATTATTAAATCGCGGCTCGGACTGGTTCCTGACATGGATATTTCGGGGTATCCGCACCGGGCTTGTCGCGCTCCACTTAGACTCCACTTAACGGCACCGCAGTGCTCCCGGTTGTCCTCTACGTCGGAATCGTAATCAGAAATAGAAAATCGAGGCCCTTGAGGGGTCAGACAGTATCCACGCTTTTCCTTGAGATGTCGGTGTGAGTATTAGATCGATTGGTGTTTGGCGGTGTCCCTGCTCTTCTGTTCTGATCAGCCTCATTGGTGTGAGTGGGCCGGCCAACTGTCAAGCGGATGATGCGCTGGCAAGCTTGCCACCTCTGGAAGCCCCTAAGATCCTATTGAATGGAACGCACTCGGCGGCAACGATGGAGGGGGGGTGGGAGGAAAAGGACATGGGCGAAAGTCGGCGACGGATGACGCACGGCCCTGAGAGCTGGCGGGGACGGGATTTACGTGATTATCCCTGGGAATATCCCATCACCGATGTTACCACTGTCCCACCCGGCCGAAACTTTGATTCTCATCCAATGTCCGTTGACTCGGACAATTGGAGCATTTCTACAAATTGTGGAGTACGGAATATCAATCGCAGAGTCATCTGCATGTACAGCGTACTCCGTAAGTGCTGGCAAAACCTGGCAAGGCCAGCTAGCGTAGAACCTTCAGTCAAGAAACTTTGTCGCATTGACACACTAGAAAAGACTATCTATGGCAGCCGATAGGGGCCACGGAGTGTCGAAATTAGAAATCTAGAATTTGACTGGCAGAAAAAGTAGTTTTGATCCAATTTTCAAAAGATCACCGTTCGAATCGCTGTTTTAATTGCCATGGTCATTGTGATCTAGTAAAAATTGGATATAATTACAAAAGCTACTTGGGTATCCAAATTAATTTCTAGCAATAACCTTCGAATTACATACAATTTGTATACAATTACCACCTTGGCATAGCCATCACTATTACTTGCCCAGGTAAATCGTAGTAGTATTTGATTAGTCTACCTATGTAAAAGTAGGCCTGAGTGTAGGCCGGGCGGGATAGTTATCGCCCGCTCGTACCTACCTAGGTAGGTAGTAACCACTACCTAGTAGTAATACTACCCTCAGTGTTGAATATTTGTACATATCTTTATGATCAAAATCACCAAATTAATTTAAACCCCAAAATCTCAGGAATCACCGGTCGCAAAGCTCTCAGATTTTGATATAGTAATACTCAATATTACCAGATAACAAATAATAAATTTGGTGACGATTAGATGATAGATAGTAAGTGAGCGAGTCGAGAACCAGAGAGAGAGAAAAAGGCGGCGTGGGCGGTATGATGCTTTCTAATTTCGACACTCCCTGACTCCTATCGTCCGCCATAGACTATCTTTGTACAAGATCGGACCTCGTCGAATCGCCCTGGGCCCAGAATCCAAATTCAAAACCAAAAAAAAAAAGGATGAACCACTCGTCAATCACCAGACCAGGACGCCTCAGACTCCGAGTGGTTGAAGAAAGATCAAAAATCAGATCTGCTTGAGCCATTTCATATTTCACATTTCGTGATATTTGTCTGCCTTTTCAATTCCAATCTGTCCGACAAATTGAACGAGAGCTTACCGCTTGGCCCCTGACATGGGCGTGCCGCCGAGCGATTGTGTCCCTGATGCATCGTATGCAGGCGGCGGGCCCGGTGATGGGCGCCGAGCAGCTGGGTCTCGCGCCCCCAAATTCGACGGTCCCGCCTGCGCGTCATGAGGCAACTGGCCACCATCGCCAGCTCCGACAACCACCTGTTGTCCATCACGCATGCGCCCAACCACCATACCCTTTGCCACAGACTTGAGTAGTGCACGTCGACTGACTCCCGTGGCATCAATGTATACCAATCCAACGTTCTTAATGCCACCTGTCAGGTTGGTTGCCACGGAGCCCGCCTCATTGCCGTACTTATGACCGATCATCGTGCTGGCTGCCTGTGAGCCGGTAAGAAGCATATTCTTTGCCCCTTCCTGAATTCCATCAGCCAGGGTGGAGAACGCAATCATGGATTTGTTCAGCACTCCTGGCTTGTAATCAGGCGGTGGGTTGCTCTTATCAAATTTCCTTGGCCTCGCAGCATCCTTGCGCGCAAAAGATGCGCCCAAGTTCTGTGCAACCTTTTCCACCTGCCCTATCGTACGGGACGAAATGTCTGCCGCGCCGTTGGAAAAAGTGCCAACCTTGCGAACGCGGGCGTGAGTTGCTTCGGAGAACGTCACTGGCTTTTGATTGGGCTTCACCTTCTTGGTGAATGTCTCTGCGCCGCTCGTAAGGGCGTTGGCCAGATACGTCGATCCCATGACCACCAAACGCGATGCCGTGGCGGAGGTTTGCACGATTGTCGAATTTTGATACGCCGGGTGTCGGGACATCGCCAGGTATTCCTCGGAGACATTACTCACACTGACGCGATTGCCTTCCCCTTCGCCGGGAAGTTCGATTCCAACAGGGCCTATGGACAGAGAAAGCCGTTACTCGCTGGTCAAATATCAACATAATTGGAGTTCACTTACGTTTGGATCCGGGTTTGACGTCCGGGTCTTCAACCACATTGTATCCATCTCCTAGTTCGCCGACAACATTGCCGTCCTCTTCATCCACGAG